AATTATTTTAAAGAAGCTACAGCATTATAAACATATATGTACCGACTTCATGAAGTCATTTATTCCATAAAATTTGCAGGAATGAATAATTTTAACAAGCAATTATCATAGTATTGCAAGCAATCCATAAGTCCCCTACCGGTTAGAACCCCATCAGCATTCTGAAGGGCCATTGGCCATTCACTAATGTTTAAATTTTTCTCTATTTTAAGTAAATTTGTTGGAAATGTTCTTTAAAAGTGATCACAGGAAAAAGTTTTTATGAACAGACAGACAGACGGACTGAAGGACACTCTAAAGTTAATATTTGAAACATCCCTGTTACCAAAATATAACATTTTAAAAAGCAAAATTATTAAAGAGGAGATAACTCTGGAATTAAAGATGCAATTTCATAAAAAATTTCAGCTCTTTTTGACTTATCACAAATATTGTTATATTTGCCATGTTTAAAGCCTATTTGTTGCCAAGGCAACCAATATTATTTCAAAATAGGAAGAACAGATAAGACATGCATAATCTCAAGACTGCCATCTACCCACATGTCAAGTTTCAAAAAAATATTTCTATTACTTTTTGCGTTAACACTGGATCCAATTTATGTGTAAAAATTGCCATATTTTCAGTCTATTTGTTGCCATAGCAACCAGAATTTTCAACATAGGAAGAAAAGAAAAAGACGTGCATAATCTCCATACTGCCATCTATCCATATATCTATCAAGTTTCATAAAAATATTTCCAGTACTTTTTGCGTTATCACTGGATCCAGTTTATGTGTAAAATTTGCCATATTTTCAGCCTATTTGTTGCCATAGCAACCAGAATTTTCAACATAGGAAGAAAAGAAAAAGACGTGCATAATCTCCATACTGCCATCTATCCATATAACATTAGTTTCAAAAAAATATTTCCAGTACTTTTTGCGTTATCACTGGATCCAGTTTATGTGTAAAATTTGCCATATTTTCAGCCTATTTGTTGCCATAGCAACCAGAATTTTCAACATAGGAGGAAAAGAAAAAGACGTGCATAATCTCCATACTGCCATCCATCCATATATCAAGTTTCATAAAAATATTTTCAGTACTTTTCAAGTTATCGCGGGATCCAGTTTTGTGGCAAACGGACAGACAGACGGACGGAGGGTGAACCTAAAGTCCCCTCCGGTAAACCGGTAGGGGACTAATAATTAAAACTAAATCTAATTTTGACAGAAAATGAAAAAACTAAAAATTACCAGTAATATTTCCTCTATTGTATTCTTTTGTTCCAACTACACCATTTACTTCTGCTTCATCCTTTTGTCACATGTTACTGAAATATTTGGCTTCAACCTAAATTTTGGAAGTAGAAAAAAACAAATATGCAATCATGTCATAATTTTTATTTCTAAAATGGAATGATCAAAATGTATAGTTTACTTAGAAAAATTAAGAATGATTTCATTTTCCCCTCCACCTCCATATTTAAAAACAGGTTTCCTAGAAAGTAACATATAATATTTAAAATCTTTTCAGAATACTCAGAGCTTACAGAATTCATAATTTTATGAAAAATTAAAAATATTAAGAACTGTAATTCAATTATAACTTACCATTTATCTGTTACAATTGGCTGCTTATTTCCCTCCATTTTTTCAAATTGAATAACGAAGTTTAACACATCTATTATGCTCCATGTTATATATAAGTTTCACAATAAATTTCCCAAGAAAGTTCTGTATAGCTGGGGTAGTAATTAATTCTTACATCCAATTTTCTATGTAATTATCAAAACTCATTTATGTATTAATATATAATTGTAAATTGATTTATTTGAATAATAATCACAACTAAAGCCTCCAATATTTCTAAAGAAAATGACCATGCTGGAAATAATTTTCAGGGTGTGATATTTGCTCTGGATTTTAAACTGCTGTCGGTCAATCTGTGGTAACTTCTCTATTTTCATCTGCCAGATAGCCCAGTTTAACATTAAGTATTTTGAAATACACATGTACTGTACGAAATTCCAGTTGAAGGTTATTTGTTTATATAAACTAGAAGCTGACCTTAGAAGTAGAGATTCTGTGCAGATTGTGAGATGATGGATAAAAACTAAAAATCTTGAACATTACTTATTGCTGATCAATTAATGCATTAAATGATAAATTGTTTGTCATAAGTTAAATATAAATACAATCATTTCATAAGTTAAATATATATACAATCAATTACTAATAACAATTATCAATTTTATAGATAACAATAAATCATGTTGAGCTAAATAATCTACATAATTTCAAAAAAAAAAAAAAAAGAGAATAATTCAGTAAATGAAAAGAATTTTTGTTAAATACAGTTTACCATAAATCAACTGAAACTTTCCAGAAGAAGACATTATAATATATTTTCTTCTGAATAATAAATTCAATTTTATCTGAACAGCAATGTAAACTGTACTATTAGTGTTTTACAATATTCATTTCTAATAACCCTAACTAAGAAAAATCAGGCTGGAAATGAAGAACTTTTAAGACTATTAAAACTGCATGGTTCTTGAAAATTTTCTAACTTTGAAATATCTGGGTATATTTTGCTTATTTTTCTCCAAGTCAGTAAAATCTGTGTCAAAATATTTTCAAAGTGAAAATATTCCTGCTTCCAACCTGACTTTTACCAAAATGAAGACGATGTCAGGGTAGAAAAAACTTGAATTCCCATCTGAGATTTCTTGAAAATTCAGGGTCCATGTCTATTTCACCCTGATTTTGCCAATTCTGGTTCAAAACAGGCCTGAATAGGTCCTGTTCTTCATAAAAGCCATGCTGATTTTTCGTACAGGATTACTTGAACTATTTTCAATATATGATAATGCAATTTTAACAATTTGTAAAATAATCTGGAAAAGTGATTTATGTTTTATTTTCAAAGGAAAGTGACTTAAGTTTAATTTTCAAAGAGAAACTGACTTAATTAAGTTTCATTTTCATAGAAAAGTGACATAATTAAATTTTATTTTTTTTAAAAAGTGACTTAAGTTTATTTTCAAAAAAAAATTGACTTAGATTTTACTTTCAGGAAAAATGATTTAAGTTTTATTTTAAAAAAAAAAGTGTCTTTTGTTTTATTTTCAGAGAAAATTGACTTAAGTTTTATTTTCAAAGAAAAATGAATTAAGTTAAATTTTCAGGAAAAAGTGACTTAAAATTTTATTTTCTAGGTTGTTAACCCATTACTTCATGAGCATTTTGTGAAAAATGGCTGTTTTCAGTCTCCCGTTACAAGTTCAAATTGCTATAATACTATAAAAACTGCTTCAACACTAATCAAACTTGGCACAAGTGTTGACTGGACCATTACCCTTGCAACAATATGCTCAGGCTTAATTCTGTTACCATAGCAAGGAGGGGACATCTCAAAATTGCCAAAAATCACTATTTTGCGTTGATTTTTTCCATCGAAATAGATTTCAAAGTGCTGCAACTTCTCAATGGATTGAGATAGAGTCAAATGCTTTTCAGCGTTGGTTACACATTACCTTATGATCAATCTGGGGTCATTTACAGCCTCTCACAAGTCCAAAATTTTCTTGGCGATGAGGGGGACTCCGCCCCCCTTCAAACCCCCCAAACAGAAGGGGGCACATCCCCCTTCTGGCAACCCCCTGATGTATCTTTTGGTTGGCGTGCCGCGCCGAAAAAGAGGTCACTTTTTTTGACAACATTTCTCAAACAAAAACAAGTGTTTGGGGCCTAAATAAGGCATTTTTTCATCATTTGAGACAACAAAAAAGGGGGGGGGGGATGAAAAAGGCGTTAAAAGGCGTGTATATGAAGTAATGGGTTAAAGATTCTAATTTAGCTAATTTTTGTGTCACCTCTACAGAGTAGTGGCGACATATAGGGATCACTTCTCCGTCGTCTGTCTGTCTGTCCGTCCGTCCGTCACAAAACTTGTCCGGACTACTTCTCATAAACTACTGGTGCAATTTCATCCAAACTTTACAGGAATGATCAGTACCAAGTCTAGTTGTGCATATTGTCAGCATTTTCCGGTTCAATGATTTTTGTCAGAGTTATGGCCCTTTAATAATTTTTAATTTTAAAGTTTGTCCGGACTACTTCTCTTATACCACTAATGCAATTTCAATGAAACTTTACAGGATTGATCTGAAGCTGAAGTCCTTGCGCATATTGCACGGGTTTTCCGGTTGAATGATTTTTGGCGGAGTTATGGCCCTTTGATAAAAAGGTTTCTTTTTCTGTGTGTTGCCAGATACACAAAAGCTTGTCCGGACTACTCCTCATAAACTACTGTGCAATTTCATCCAAACTTTACAGGAATGATCAGTACCCAAGTCTAGTTGTGCATATTGTCAGCATTTTCCGCGTTCAATGATTTTTGTCAGAGTTATGGCCCTTTAATAATTTTTAATTTTAAAGTTTGTCCAGACTACTTCTCTTATACCACTAATGCAATTTCAATGAAAACTTTACAGGATTGATCTGTAGCTCAAGTCCTTGCGCATATTGCACGCGGGTTTTCCGGTTGAATGATTTTTGGCCGAGTTATGGCCCTTTGATAAAAAGGTGTTTTTTTTCTGTGTGTTGCCAGATACGCAAAAGCTTGTCCGGACTACTCCTCATAAACTACTGGTGCAATTTCATTCAAACTTTACAGGAATGATCAGTACCAAGTCTAGTTGTGCACTGTCAGTCTGTCACAAAATTTGTCCCAACATGAAATTGGCCATCATGAGGCGACACATGTGATTACTGATCGCTCTTGTCTAAATAATTTAAGATTCTATTTTGGCTAATTTTCAAGGGGTTTTAGATTCTGAAAGTTATAAATTTACTTGAGAAGAAGAAAATGCGTTTTCTAAGATGCCGGCCATTTATAAAATTTTATTTATTTATTTATTTATTCAGTATCTAATTATGAAAACATGACTTTCAGTCTCAAACATGTATTTTCTTTTGCGTCTTTTTCTAAGATGTCAGAAATTTATTTTCAGGACCATTCCAGACCCCGGAAGTCAAAAGTTGAATTGGCATAAAACTCCGTTGACAGTGTTGGTGGTGAAGAAAATATATGATGAAGCTGTGCTCGGTCCATTCAAAGACCTCATATCATGGTTAATAGAGGTAAAATAAGCCGCGCCATGACAAAATCAACATAATGGGTTTGCGACCAGCATGGATCCAGACCAGCATGTGCATCCGCGCAGTCTGATCAGGATCCATGCTGTTCGCTTACAAACCCTATAACAAATAGAGAAACAGTGAGTGATAGCGATGCGCAGGCTGGTCTTGATCCATGCTGGTTGCAAACCCATTATGTTGGTTTTGTCATGGCGCCGCTCATTAATAAGATTATTAAACACATGTGTTGAGAAAGCTTTATATATTTACCTTACTGGAACCGAAAGAGATAGGCCTTTGCCACCAGTAAAGAGCCAGGCCAGCCTGCACTTTCCCGCATCCTGACCAGGCTCTATACATTAATAATTATTTTCATATTGAAATTCCTTCATATTCAAATAGACAGTCCAAAATAGTTGTTATCTGGAATGCTGCAAATCTGGGTTTTTATCGATTCAACAACTTTTACCTTTAAAGCTTAACGGTGCACTGATTATTACAAGATATTTTGAAAATTAAATTGAAAAAAATAACAACAAATAAACAAATAAAATAAACTAAAATACATTTTATATCTTCATTTGCCAATTTTATTTAAAGATTTTTCCATCCTTTGTTGATTCAGATAAGAAATGCAATTTGTTTCTTCTTGCAATTGTTTAGTGCCATTTCATTTAATTACGCATTGAGTTTCAAATTGCAGTATTTCTTTAAGGTAGAAATGTGCATATATGTATCCATTGACAATAATTGTGGTAAAATAATATCTCGAAAAATATTTTTTTCTTTGATCATTCTTGTTGAAAATATTGTTATGATCTTCCATATTATGATAAATCTTTTTATCACATTCCAAAACACATCTATCTGACATTGTTGTTGTGGTTAGAATGCCTTAAAATCTTGGTCTATCAATTATATTGCATTAAATTGCTGTTTTTGCATTTTGTTATATATTTTTGCAAAAATATTTTCTTCTATAATGTGATAAAATGACCTTTTTTTTCGTCTAGACTAACAGGATATAGAAATCGAGATACTCTTTGTAAAAGTCAGAAATGTTACTAAAACTTTCTTATATTTCCTTTCATGGTTCGTGTCATGGTTAAATAAGCCTGTTTTTTGCCCACACAAAATAAAGTATGCCATGGCCTATTAAACATCTTGTTATATACATAACTGATGGAAATAATGTTTGGACTTGATCATACTTTCAAGTTACATAATATTTTGTCATGATTTACAAAAATGTTTTGGGGTGTTTGTGGTAGGTTGTTGACTTCAAACCACTTGCCCCTCACTGCTGTAGGTTGGAATACCGCCAGGAACTTTGGATTTCTTCATGTGAGGAAGTTATCCTGAGCTAGCTTACTGAACATCAGTGGTTCTACTAACTTGTGCCTTCTCATGCTTGAAATAATGCACAGAGGGGCACCTGAGGTGTCTTCCTCTATCAGTAAAGCTTGAAGAAGCCATATGACCTTAACAGTGTTGTGCGACGTAAAACCTAGCTAAAAAGACATTAAAAATGTTAACTTTTGTATATGGTTGGCAGATATTGAACTTGGGTATTTACTCAAACATTGCTTAAAACCTTAGCTGCAACACAATTGCCCTCAGAAAAGAGCAAAGGTATAGACTGCACAATCTTGACCAGGCTCTATACTGTTAGTGTTGGCAGTTTAATTTCCAAGGTTCCATTTTAATACTCCTAAAATTTATAATGGACTGTCAGAATGGAAGTTGGACAAGGTCATATAGCAAGATAGGTGGATAAGATGAATATTTTAGTTTCCATAATTATATGACAATGGATGATTTGAACTTTAACTAGTGACCTTCATGATCTCTTATTATTTATGATTTAGGAACAACATTTTATGTTCCTTATTTGATATCGGATGACCTTGAACTTCACCCAGTGACCAATATAATCCCTTTATTAGCTGTCATTATAGATAAATATTTTACTTTCCCTATATTACATAAAATGACCTTGAACTTTACCTTGTGAATTACATTTACCATCAGTTTAGAGAGTTAAAGGTCAGAGAATGGTTGTAAAGGTCAGTGAATAGCTGTAAAGGTCAGTGAATAGCTGTAAAGGTCAGTGAATCACTGTAAAGGTCATAGAATAGCTGTAAAAGTCAGAGAATAGCTGTAAAGGTCAGAGAATAGCTGTAAAGGTCAGAGAATAGCTGTAAAGGTCATAGAATAGCTGTAAAGGTCAGTGAATAGCTGTAAAGGTCAGTGAATAGCTGTAAAGGTCAGTGAATCAGTGTAAAGGTCATAGAATAGCTGTAAAGGTCAGAGAATAGCTGTAAAGGTTAGATAATCACTGTAACAGTCAAAGAGTAGCTGTAAAGGTCAGTGAATCACTGTAAAGGTCATAGAATATATCTAAAGGTCAGTGAATCACTGTAAAGATAATGTCATTATCATTTTCTTTTTTTTCTTTTTGAAAATTACTTAACCCATTACCAGATATATACGCCTTTCTCAGCTTTTTCACCCCCCCCCCCCCTTTTTGCTTTCTCAAATGGTGAAAAAATGCCTTATTTAGGCCCCCAAACACTTGTTTTTGTTTGAGAAATGTTGTTTAAAAAAATTGACCACTTTTTCGGCGCCGTCCCCCATCCAAAAGATACACCAGGGGGTTGCCAGAAGGGGGATGTGCCCCCTTCTGTTTGGGGGGTTTGAAGGGGACGGAGTCCCCCTCATCGCCAAGAAAATTTTGGACTTGTGAGAGGCTAAAAATGACCCCAGGTCGATCATAAGGTAATGTGTAACCAATGCTGAAAAGCCTTTGACTTTATCTCAATCCATTGAGAAGTGGCAGCACTTTGAAATCAATTTTGATGGAAAAAATCAACGCAAAATAGGGATTTTTGGCAATTTTGAGATGTCCCCTAGTTGCCATGGTAACAGAAAATTTAAGACTGAGCATGTTGTTACAAAGGCAATGGTCCAGTCAACATTTGTGCCAAGTTTGATTAGTATTGAAGCAGTTTTAAGCTCACCTGTACCTTTGTGACAGGCTGAGCTTTTGTGATCGCTTTTCGTCCGGCGTCCGTCCGTCCGGCGTCCGTAAACTTTTACTTTAAATGACATCTCCTCATAAACCACTAAGCCAATTTCATCCAAACTTCACAGGAATGTTCCTTTGGTGATCACCTTTGAAAATTGTTCAAAGAATTTTATTCCATGCAGAACTCTGGTTGCCATGGCAACCTAAAGAAAAAACTTTAAATATCTTCTTCTAAAAAACCCAAAGAGCTAGAGCTTAGATATTTGGCATGAAACAACTTCTAGTGAGTGTCTACCAAGTTTGTTCAAATAAAAGCCCTGGGGTCAAAATTGGCCCCGCCCCAGGGGTTCATTGATTTTCCCTATATGTATATAGTAAAAACTTAAAAAATCTTCTTTTAAAGAACCCAAAGAGCTAGAGCTAAGATATTTAGCATGAAGCATCTTCTAATGGGTGTCTACAAAGTTCGTTCAAATAAAAGCCCTGGGGTCAAAATTGGCCCCGCCCCAGGGGGTCATAATTTTTCCTGTATGCATATAGTAAAAACTTAAAAATCTTCTTTTAAAGAATCCAAAGAGCTAGAGCTAAGATATTTAGCATGAAACATGTTCTAATGGATTTCTACCAAGTTTGTTCAAATAAGAGCCCTGGGGTCAAAATTGGCCCCGCCCCAGGGGACATTGATTTTCCTTATATGTGTATAGCAAAAACTAAAAAATCTTCTTCGAAAAAACCCTAATAGCTAGAGTGTAGATATTAAGCATGAAACATCTTCTAGTAAGTGCCTACAAAGATTGTTCAAATAAAAGCCCTGGGGTCAAAACTGGCCCTGTCCCAGGGGTGTCATTGTTTTTAAATATATGTGAAAAGAAAAAACTTAAAAAACTTCTTTTAAAAAATCCAACGAGCTAGACCTTTGATGTCTAGCATGAAACATCTTCTAATGGGTGTCTACCAAGTTTGTTCAAATAAAAGCCATGGGGTTTAAACTGGCCCCGCTCCGGAGGCCTATATACAGGTGAGCGACTTCAGGGCCATCATGGCCCTCTTGTTATAGTTTTATAGCAACTTGAACTTGTAACGGGAGACTTTTCAATGAAAACAGCCATTTTTCACAAAATGCTCATGGGGTAATGGGTTAAAATGTATCTTTAACTTTATAATAATTTAGGTTCGGAAGATGATAGTGTTCCTGGAAAGTAATGTTTTAGAAGATGTGCTCCTAGCAAACGATAGTACATTTATAAAATACAAGAGCCGGCTTCAAACATTCAGAGAAGGTAGGTGTTGTATTTCTGGTCATTCTTTAGTTGTTTTTTAGCCAATGGTTCTAAGGGTCAAGATATATTTTTTTATTGTTTGATACATATATTTTTTCATAATAATAAAATAGTGAAAAAAAAGGAATACCTAGAGAATGTCAAAAATGACAATATTGAAAATAATAGAGGCTTGGTTGATTGAGCCTGTTCATGAACAGTATTTGAAAGTGCAAGATAAGGGCCACATGCCTTTGCACCAGATTAAGCAGAATTCAACATTTAACTTATGCTGAACCATCTATAATGATTTAAAATTTAATGGATACGACTGACAGAAATTTTGAGTCTAATTGTTGGATGTTCTTTTTTGTAAGTTTTATAGTTTAAGTTTGGTTGTTTACCTTAAATTTTGTTCAACTCAGTCCCACTAAAATGTGAACCTGCCCCAGTCTGTGTTAATTACAGAAAGTGGGTTAAGGAAAGAAATGAAAGTAAAAGAGATTGAATAAAGATAGGGGAAAATTGTAGACTGTATTTGAGATAGGAAAAATGGTCGAGACTGTAGGAAAAAAACTAGTTGTTACTGTATTCTGTGTTCTTGTTATCAGATTTAATCTTCATGTTGAGTACCCTTCTATATCTTTCACATAAAAGTTTTAAAATTACGGTTATGAAATATAATCCTTTGAAATTTTGTATTGAAAGTGAGCTAAATGCAGCAGCTGATGGTTGTGATAAAACGTAAAACAAACAAAAAATTGAAAGTTTTAAGATTTGACATCTTTCTGCTTGATGAGGTTTTGAAAGTTGAAAGGATCATGCCTCCAGATTGATGCTAATTTTCATGACAAATGTGAAAACATATTTAAATTTTAAAAGTAAAATATTGTAAATTGAACAAAGGAAGTATTTTACATGTTGCAAACTGCACTTACAGTTCACGTAACTTACCAAAAAATGGTCAAAATATGCCGAAATAGCCCTTACTGTGATAGTCATACAGTAGAAATATTGTGATACATTGTGAATACTTCAAAAACAGTCATTAAATAGCACAAGATGTACATTATTACTAGAATCTTGAATCTTTTTTCCTTCCTTAAAATCTTATTACATTACTATTAAAGACCTATAAGTCTAGTATGCATTGCTACTGAATTATATCCTTTTGTAAAGTTTTTTCGTGTATTTTAAATGAAATCTTCATCCTTGTGAATTCATACATTGAATTTGTTATGGCACTGATATTAGGCAAGCGCCCAACCCTACTCGCAGCTCTTGTAATTCAAATCCTGCTTGATATTACTTCGATTGCTTGGAGTTATTGTAATGTACAAATGAGCAGGATCCATGCTGTTTGCTGACAAACCATATAACAAGTAGAGAAACAGTATGGATCCTGATCAGACTATGCGGATGAGCAGGCTGGTCTGGATCCATGCTGGTTGCAAACCCATTATGTTGGTTTTGTCATGACGCGGCTCAAATATTGAAATAGGATGTTAATGTTGGACTCAAAACTGTAAGTGATTGTTGCCGTAGCTTTTACTAAAGTATCATCGAAGTAGTTGAAGGAGAATTTATTTTTACTTGCATTGATAATTTAACTAAATAAAGTTATTGTGCATATTATTTAAATGAGACTTTTGTATTAAAAGATTACATCAAAGATATAGAGAATATTTATTTGTTTGTACGTAGCCACGAGTGAGAATACTGTTTTTAAAGTTCACGAGATGAAATAAAATTACATCTTGCATAACAAACAAATTTTCTTTTTATTTTATGCTTATAAACAAGTTAAAACGAAATTTCCTTAATAATAACTTTGATATTAAAATCTGTTTTCCACACAGGTAAGCCTCATTTAAGTCGAATTTCTAATAAATTTTTTATGCCACCGCAGCATCTGCGATGCGGTGGCATATAGCGATTCACCTGTGTGTGTGTGTGTTTGTGTGTGTGTTTGTGTGTGTGTTATATAGATTATATAGTGAACTTAAAAAATCTTCTTGTGAAAAACCACTAGTCCAATTTTAACCAAACTTGACAGGATTGCTCCTTGGGTGAAGGGCTTCCAAAGTTGTTCAAAGAATTTCATTCCATGCAGAAATCTGGTTGCCATGGCAACCAAAAGGAATTATAAGAATAAATTTTAAAAAATCTTCTTGTAAAGACCCAAAAGGCCTAGAGCTTAGATATTTGCATAAGGCATCGTTCTGGTAGACCTCTAACAAGATTGTTCAAATTATAGCCCTGGGGGTCAAAATTGGCCCCGCCCCCGGGGTCATTGATTTTCACTATGTACATATAGTAAAAACTTAAAATACCTTCTTGTAAAAACCCAAAAGGCCTAGAGCTTAGATATTTTGCATAAGGCATCGTCTGGTAGACCCTTACCAAGATTGTTTAAATTATAGCCCTTGGGTCAAAATCGGCCCCGCCCCGTGGTCATTGATTTTCACTATATGTACATATAGTAAAAACTTAAAACACCTTCTTGTAAAGACCCAAAAGGCCTAGAGCTTAGATATTTTACATAAGGCATTGTCTGGTAGACCTCTACCCAGATTGTTCAAATTATAGCCCTGGGGTCAAAATCGGGCCTGTCCCGGGGGTCATTCGTTTTCCTTATATGTATATAGTAAAAACTTATAGTAAAAACTTCAAAAAAATTCTTCTAGCAATTGACAAATGCTAGAGATTAGATATTTTGCATGAAACATTGTGTAGTAAACCTCTAGCAAGATTGTTCAAATTATAGCCCTGGGGTCAAAATTGCCCCCGCCCTGGGGGTCATTGATTTCAATATATACACATAGTAAAAAATCAAAAAATATTATTGTCTGAAGGTACAAGGCTTAGAACTTTAATATTTGTTAAATAATATCATCTAAAGGTACTCTACAAAAGTTATTCAAAATTTGCCTCTTGTGTCAAAATTAGCCCCGCCCCCGGGGGCCATAGGTTTTCCTTATATGTATATAGTAAAAACTTAAAAAATCATCTTCTCTAAATTTACAAAGGCTAGAGTTAAGATATTTTGCATGAAACATTGTGTAGTTAACCTCTTGCAAGATTGTTCAAATTATAGCCCTGGGGTCAAAATTGGTTCCGCCCTGGGGGTCATTGATTTTCATTATGTACATATAGTGAAAAAAATAAAGTAAAAAAATTTCTGAAGGTACAAGGCATAGAGCTTTGATATTTGATATATAATATCATTTATAGGTCCTCTACTAAAGTCGTTCAAATTTTTACCCTGGTGTCAAAATTGGCCCTGCCCGGGAGCAGTGATTCTCATTATGTACACATAGTAAAAACAGAAAATAAAACAAATGTTTTCTGAATGGGAGAAAGCTATAGCTTAGATATTTGACTTGAAATGTTGTTTGTTGGACCTGTATCAAAATTGTTTTGAATTAAACCCTTGGGTCAAAATTATGCCTTGCCCAAGGGGACAGTGACCTACTTTCTTGTCCTTTGATGTACAGCAATGACATTTTGACCATGTGCACAGTTTTAGTTGTAAAATTGAACTTTGATATCAGGTGACCTAGATTTTGTTGATGTGACCTACTTTCTTGTCCTTTAATGTACAGCTATGAAATTTGAACCATGCGGTGGCATAGCATTTTTCTCAAATGCAATCTTGTTTATTTTTATTTTTTTAATAAAATACAAGAAGTCTTGGGCTGAAAAATAAGTTCCAAAATCAATGTTAAATGGCGGTGATATTATTCATCTTATTAAAAAATAGGAATGTTCGCTTGTTTTAATAATAAAAACAAACATTTTATTCTAGTAGAAGAAAAAATCACACCTTCAGACCTTATTTCCAGGGACTCCACTGAGCTTTTTTGACATGACAGGACTGGAATTAATTTTTTCGAGATTAATGTTCTGTTTGATATAGGTCTAGACCAATAACTTATGTGCAAAGTTTCAGATCATTCGCTCACTCGGTTTTTCCAGAATAATTATTCTAAATGTGAAAATTAACCCAAAATTGACAGTGTTGCAATCAAATCAGTTTATAGGTCATGGTACAAAATTACGATTTCCAATTCATTTCTTAGCATATTTCTTAATTATCTTTTGTGTATCTTTCTGTTTAAGTATCCCAGCTTATCTATGCAAGTTATTCAAATTTTATGGTTTTTAGGCTTTGAAACCTACGTGCAGTTCCTTTAAAAACTGTAATTAACAAGTTTCATTAAAAGTGTCAATCATCTTTGACTTGAGTATTGCACATATTAACATAATTATTTTTCTGCAGCAAAAGATGATCTCACAGACAAGATAGACTTTATAATATGTCTTGGAGGAGATGGTACATTACTGCACGCGTCTACATTATTCCAGGTAATTAGCACTCGGTCAGTAGCATGTATGAAGAACTTGTTATTTACTGGTTAGTTATCAAGGTTAACTGATTCCCATTAAACAATTGGAAATATTACATTGGCCATGAATATCATGTTTGCCAGGTTCATATAATTGTTTACAACATAGACCATGGCCAACACCACAAGAGTTGTTTATCACTTAGACCATGGCCAATACCACATAAGCCATGAATATCACTTTTGCCAGGTTCATAGAATTGTTTATCACATAATTATACCATGGCCAATATCACATTAGTCATAAATATCACATTTGCCATGTTCTTAAAAAGTGTTATCACATAAACCATGGTGCCAGAGTGTAATAATGTCATTTAATAAAAGGGATATTACAATTCCGTATTAACAATTTGATGATTTTAGTCAACCTGTTCAATAAATATGATATTAGACTTTATCACATACCCGTGCCATTTTTGCGTCTCCGTAAATATGGTATTTCACGGCCATGCATATATGAGCCGTGTCATGACAAAACCAACATAATGGGTTTGCGACCAGCATGGATCCAGACCAGCCTGCGCATCCGCACAGTCTGATCAGGATCCATGCTGTTCACTTACAAACCCTATTACAAGTAGAGAAACTGATAACGAACAGCATGGATCCTGATCAGACTGCGCGGATGTGCAGGCTGGTCTGGATCCATGCTGGTCGCAAACCCATTATGTTGGTTTTGTCATGACACAGCTCATATTTTGATGTGACCTCATTTGAGTTATATAAACATTATGATAAGCGTTAAGATGCACCAAATGTTAATGTTACACTATTAGGTGCATCTGTAAAAAAATGGTTCTTTTTCACTTCAAACGGTCTTTATTTTTGGTATATGATAAATAGAAAATTAATTCACTCGTTGAATGAAATAATACTATGCTCACCAGAGGCTCGCATAATATAATTTTATTCAACTTGTTCAATAAATTCAGTATTAAACTTACACTCTTTCAATATCCTCTATTTATTGCATGATTCATCATCATTTTCATTATTTTCCTTACAGCAAAGTTGTCCCCCTGTTATGGCATTTCACCAAGGATCTCTGGGATTTTTAACACCCTTTAGTTTTGACAACTTTGAGTCACAAGTTGAACAGGTTCTTGATGGTAGGTACATTTTCTATTTTCATGTTTGAATTCCCTTTTCTTCATGATTTACCAAGTATATTAAACCTTTTTGTAAGTTTTATTTTCTAGTAATGCACACAATTTTTTTTTTTTAAAGGGAAATTTTCTCAATTTGTTGCACTCATTGATATTCTAGGACGTAAACTGCAGGAATTTCATCAGCTATTCAAATTAATTAAAATTTTAAGGTCCGTTTCTCAAAGATGATTAAAAATAACAAATATTTCCTTATGTTTACTATAGTTTTCAGTCTGGCAAAATTCACAAAATTTGTAAAGTTTCAAAAGTTAATTTTTACTTAGGCCCCCAACCTGAATACAACATGAGTACAATTATATTATTATTCAAAAAACATTGTGAGTGTTGACAAGGAAAGAAAGGTCAAACTTACAGATTATAACGGACATCGGTGGTTCTACTCATCTGCCGATTTGTACATGAAATTATGCATTAAGGGGCACTTGAGGTATTTCTCCATCAGTAAAGCTGAAAAGTCGCCATATGATTATACTGTGATGGTGCAACTTTAAACAAAACCAAAAAAAAAACATGATTTGAGACAGATTTGGAAAATTGCACCTTACAACATATGAATTATAAACATGTTTATTCACAATGTATGTTGCTGCAAGTCTGTAATCCCCTCATTTAAAGGATTTAAACTCTTGTAAACAGTTAACCCCTAACTTGCTTAATTTCTTAAATAGACAGAAATGTCCATTATCAATTTCTGATGGTAAAAAAATTCTTGATTAAAATTTTGAAGTTGGTCAGCAAGCACTTTAGAGCCAGGTCCAAGACTGCAGGGATTTGCAGGCTGGCCTTGCTCTGTACCGGTGGTAAATGGCAAAGTCTACTCACTTTTGGTTCTTGCCAGGTAAAGGTTATATTTGAGAAGAAGATCTTATTTTTCCTTTGGATGTTTTAAAGGCACATTGCGCATCTGACAGAAACAATTAAGTTTTTCATACTTTAGTAAGAACAGAGTTTCATAGCTTTAAATAATAGTTTTAGAGCATGTTAGATGTCTATCACCTGAAGAAAGTAGGGCTGAGTTTGATATTATTATTGTATTCAAACAGTTAAATGTAAATAAAGTAGTTTTTTTACCTTCCTACAAAATTTAAATCACTATAACTGTACTAATTGCTTAAAAGCAACAAAAGGAAATGATGGTTCAGGAAGCTGGCCGGAATAAGTAACTTTTTGGAAAATAAGAGAAATGAAAAAGATGCTTTTGATAAATTGAAATAAAAGAATTTCTTGTTTAATACTTTTTCAGGAAATGCCTCTCTATTGTTAAGATACAGATTAAAGTGTGTTATATGCAAGGAAGATTCAGAACTTGGTCGAGTGTCGAGAATAAAAAATATTGACAGTTCCTCTCCATGTGGCAGGTCCCAAATACTGGTAAGTAATAATTATAAGTGTTTTACATAGTATTTTATATAAAATTTAGGTTATACAGGGGTTTTACGTCATGCTGACACAGTATAGGCCATATGGCAATGTTTCAGCTTTACTGGCGGAGGAAGACCTCTGGGCCTTTCTGTGCATTATTTCAGGCATGATCGGGCACTGTAGTAGAACCACCGACGTTCCGTAAGCTAGCTGGATAGCTTCATCACATGAAAAATCCAAAGTCCCTGTAGGAATTCAAATTCACAGTGGTGAGGGGCAATAGTTTGAAGTCAATGACTTTAACCACTCGGCCACGGAAGCCCCTATAGTTTAAGTAATACAAGGGTTTTAAGTGACCATGGTTTATTCAAGTTCTGTAATATTTCAAAAGTGGAGTGCGCTGTTCGCAGGTCTAGTTATATATGTTAAACCATGATTTGTTTACATTTTACTATATTTCCTTAATTTTAGGAATCAGAGTAGGTATACCATGATTGAATAAGGTTGAAATGAACCATGGTTTATTTAAAGTGTGCTATATTTCTGTGATTTTTTCATTTGTAACTAACCATGGTTTATTTAAAGTGTGCTATATTTCTGTGATTTCAGGTATTGAATGAGGTTGTTATTGATCGTGGATCATCATCGTTTATATGCAATATAGATGTTTACGTAGAAGGTCGTCTCGTCACTTCTGTTCAAGGAGATGGTAAATAATTATAAAGGCTTTTGCCAGTTATTGTTCGAAATATGTTGTCCGTCATTTTTTCCGTTATTTTAAAGAATCGTACACCTGCCTTCTGTAAAATGTCATCTTGCTTTAATGTTAATAACTGAAACTTGTCTTATGAAAAATTAGGATTTTAGAAATACAATGAAATAGTTTTACGCAGTCAAGTTATTACAGTGCTATCGGCTTTTCTCAACTAAACAGGCTTGCTGTGTATTAAGATAAATAGCACTTGAAAATGAATGGCAATTATATTCATTTATTTCTTTTACAGGTCTTATAATATCAACGCCAACTGGTAGCACGGCATACGCAGTAGCAGCTGGTGCGTCGATGATTCATCCAAACGTCCCAGCGATCATGATCACCCCTATATGTCCGCATTCATTATCATTCCGACCAATTGTTGTCCCTGCAGGTGTCGAATTAAAGGTATATCTTCCGAAGTTACCTTTGTTGAAATTGCTGAATAGGAATGAATGGAATAGAATATTTTATTATTTTGTTGTGTTGTGTAAACCTGATGAAAGCAATATTTGAAAATCCTGATAAATTTGATGGGTTTTTTTTGTTGTTGATGTTTCGTTACATAATGATGAAACAATGAACATTTCTATCACCTTAATACATTCTCTTGTTAAAGGTCAGTTAGAAATGATAGAATAATATAAGATGACTGTTCTCTTCCATCCATAGATAATGTTGTCCCCGGATGCCCGTAACTCAGCCATGGTGTCATTTGATGGAAGAAATAGACAAGAAATCAGACAGGGTGATAGGTATGTAAAGTATACGCACGTTCCTTCACACTTAATTCTTTCAGCAGTATTGTTGATAATGGCAGACCTTGGCCATCTGTGTATGGCCATCTTCGGGAATCCATGGTACACATTCTGTATTGTACTATATTTTACTATTACTGGTATGCAGTAAGTAGCCTTTGTTATCGCCAAACAGCAGGCTTTCTTATTTAATTAAATTTGTCAAAATACTGCCATCAGCATGATTCAAAATTTTAATTTTTAAACCCTTAAACCAAACAAAAGATAATTTTGATAATCAAAAGCGGATGTTGTTAATGACATACTGAACCACGCAAAATATTTGAAATGGACTTATCCATCTTTCAATTTTGGACAAGAGCATTTTACTATTTTTAGGGACAATTTCATAATATGTTAATATGACTTAATTGCAAACAGTGCAGGCCTGGAAGAAACTTATACCGGATGCCGGTACAGACCAAAATATTTGGTCCCAAGGTAACTGTTTATTGCGTTAACGACGCTCTGTTTTTGCTAAACAGTTACCATTAAGCTAGATAATCCGGTCTGTTATGGCAGTGGGTGTTTGATTCTTTTTCTTGCATTTTACATAGAAATCATATTTCAAAAAGAATTTACTGTAACTAATATTTTCATTTAGTTCTTTTTTCTTATGGTGTATGACTTTACAACTTTTTATTACGACAAAATGACATCATTTTAAGAACACAATTCATTCAGAAAAGGGGCGCAAAATGACTTCATTTAAAGCATGCGACTTGTCTTACAGGGGCGGGGGGGGGGGGGGGGGGGGGGGGGTCGGGTAGGGGGTAGCACTAGTGTAAGCAGTAGATAATTCTGTCTGATATGCAAGAAATGATCAGGATGTGCTTGGTTGACTCTTATCGTATTGGGATAAAATACTGCATGCAGGCTTAGCCCTATTACATCCCATATCATCATATATATATCATGTGAAAAAGTAATTTAATATAATACATATATATATATATATATTTCCCCCTGCAGTTTTGAATATTTTGGCTCTGATCCAAATTTTTTGCAACTCTTTGTCTTTCAGGTTTAGAAAGTGTATAATTTTTGATATGTATGTTCAAAATATGCATTTTGCATGTTTTTTTGTTGTGTGTTGTTGAATATTTTTTATTTGTTATATTTGAACAGTGTTCGTATAACAACGGCCCAGTTTCCACTGCCAGCGGTTTGTGCCAAGGACCAGATTGAAGATTGGTTTGACCGGCTGGCTGAATGCCTCCACTGGAATGTGAGAAAACCACAACGCTCTTTAGACTCTTCACGTAATACCAGTGACTCTAATATTTCAAATAATGATGTGTTCCATGAAGAGCATGGCTCTTGACTAATCAGAATGGCTTTTACAAATTCAGTAAAGAGACGTGACCAATCAGATGATACGATAAAAAAGAAGCTGACCAATGGGTTTCCAGGATTTTCATAATTTAAAAATTTGAAAGCGGGCTTTCAATGCTCATAATTTTTTGCATTTGATTTAATCATGTTTGTTATAGAATATTGAAAATTTTTTTAGTGATATATAAAATAAGGTCCAAATTAAAATACAGGTATAAAATTAAGCAGATAAGAGTCTGAATGACAATTCCTTTAAAAAAAAAGATTATATAACTTGAGGGAAAATGTTTGTTTTAAAATTTTTAAAGATTTGTTTAAAGTTAGTTTTATTATTAGGAAATGTATGTAATAAAGTTATTTATTTAAACTTGTTAAAGAAATTACACATATTTTTATCATATCTAGAGAAAAAATATAGAGGTGAACCGGCCATTGGTTCTTATAAATATTAATCAGTTTCAAAAGGATTGTCAGTGGAGGAAACAGTTGATATTACATGTATTTGCCCAAGATGATAATTTGCTCCAAGTTGCTTCCCTTTACATGGCTTACAGCCTAGATAAGGAAATACTGGTGGATTTCTTGTCACTTCTTTAACTGTGGTTTAGGGTAGATATAGAAAAGGAAAATATTGTGTTTAATTTATTTGTTAGTTAGACTTTTTCTGTGAATAATGTGAGCTATTGTACTCACCCTGATGTCGGTATCGGCTCTGCCGTCGCATTTTAGTTAAGTTCTTGCGTGCAAGTTGGTATCTCCAAACCTGCTGAAGGGAATGTTTTGATTCTTTACATATGAGCTGCGTCATGACAAAACCAACATAATGGATTTGGGACCAGCATGGATCCAGACCAGCCTGCGCATCCGGGCAGTCTGATCAGGATCCATGCTGTTCGCTTACCAACCCTATAACATGTAGAGAAACTGATGGCCAACAGCATGGATCCTGATCAGACTGCGCGGATGCGCAGGCTGTGTAGTGTATCTAACATTACAAACACAAGTCTCATGACTGTTGGTTACCATATTACAGAGTTATGTCCCTTGCCTTACTGTCAAGCACTGAGAATAATCAAGTGGCCGTCTCACTGACAGCTTTTGGGTTTATCCTAAGCATTTATATATCACAAACTGTGAATTCACACTAGCTGATTAAATGTAAAAATGTTTTTATATTTTCAATACAAATTGCAATATTTTTGTCTCAAAGTTTCACCCGATGTACTTATATTCAGCATATATATATCTACACAAAAAAATAATATATTTGTTTCCATGTCTGTTTAGAAATATTTGTGTACTTTTTCATATTTTCACACATAGGGAAAAATATGTACAAGTATATGTCCTTAACACACAGAAATAATGATGATTATTGTAGTATTTGTGTAATATTAGGCGAGTTTGATGAAGAATTAAGACACATTTGTTTAATACATATATAGTCCTTATATTTTGGTTTTCTTTTGTTAAATATGAATTTTTTGTTTGCTATTTCTCTGATTGGTATTCTTATTTGTTTACTTATATACAAAATAAAGCATTGTGTTCATTTTCATATTTCATTCTATGCAATATGCAATTAATTAACTGATTATGATTACTCAAATTTTTCTAATTTCTCTAACGTTCTGATTGTTCCTTATTTCGAAAATGTTTCTTATTGCCCTTAATTATGTTCCTAATTTCCTTAATGCTCCCAAAGAGCTAAATATTTCTGATCACACAATATTCCTGATGTCCCGAATATTCCCATTGTTGCAAATGCTCTCAATTTCTTTAATGTTCCTTAAAACTCAGATGTTTGAGATGACTCAGATGTCCTTTACGTCATGAATTCTCTAATTTCCGAAATTTATCTTATTGCCCTTATGTCGCCAATTTCCTTAATGTTCCCACAGAGGAGCAAAATGTTTCCAAGACTCAAATATTTTCTAAGACCAAATGCTTCAACTGAGTTGGATGTTCCTACTATTATCAATAGAGTTTTGAAAAAACTAGACATTTAAAAAGTGTTTAAAAGCTTTTTTATTTTATATATGGAAATATCTCTTCCACTTTATATATTCTTAAGTTTCAAGGTCTTTTTATGTTTGATTTACTTTTACTTTTTGTACAGTTACCCGATAGTGTACGTATTTTATTTTTCTCTATCACATGATACATTAACCTTTAACCTGCATCAACTAAAACTGATAAGCCATTTTCACCAGTATAGAGCCAGGCCAGCATGCACATCCATACAGTCCGACAAGGCTCTATACTATAATGTAGCTTGCTTTTTTTTTCATTTTGATATTGAAATTACTTAAACTTTAAAGGGACTGCACTGAGATATTTTGACATGAATATGGGACTTGAAATATTTTTTTTGAGATAATTGCTCAATTTGATGAAGGTCTAGAACAATAACTTGTGTGCAAAATTTCAGAACATTTGCTCACTTCGTATTCTAAGAATAAATATTCTAATTGTGAAAAATTATCTAAATTGAAAAGGGTTGCAATGTTTTTCACTCAAATCGGAAAAAATTAGCATCAGAATATGATTTTCTTTTTATTTCTAAGTATATTTCTTAATTATCTCTTGCATAATAATTATTATCTTTCTGTTTTGCCCCAGCAGCTGATCTGTGTTAAAAATTAAAAAAATGTTAGGCTTTTTTTAGACCTAAGTGGAGTTCCTTTAAATGGAGGTCAAAGCAGGTCAAATCTGTTAAGAAAATTCTGCAGGTTAAGGGTTAAGATGGGTGCAAGCTCCTTCGAAACTGGACATTTGTCCCCATGCAATTTACCATTTGATTGAATTATCTTTTACTTCCATACCTATGTACTGTTAGTGTGATACTTCTGTCTTGTTCATTTGTACATTCCTGTTATTAATGAAATATTTATTATATGAATTATTGGTACAATTTTATTTGCTTATTTTCTTGAAGAATATTTTCAGAATAAATCGGAATAAGCGTCAAAAGTGTTGTAACTTATATGTACATGTTGTCTTATATGCTATCCATGATAAGGTTTGCAATGTCCTTTTGGCAGTAGATCGAATGCACTTAATCTGTTTTGAAAAAAAAATGCCCAGTCCCAAGAAACCAGACACTTTGTGGGTCAGACCTTGACCCCTTTCTTGCTCAGCCTTTGTTAATTCTCAGTAGCTTTTAAGGTGGTCTTACTGTTATGCTTTCCCTACCCAAAAAAAATTTAACCAATATCGTAGCAATATCAGTTATTTTCAGAATGTTATTTTTTCCAAAATCTTTGGCAGTAGATTATTTGCAATCACTCATCCTTAATCACTATGTACTAAATTCTGGTTATTAATGGTTAAGAATTATTAAATTATTAATGGATTGTGAAAAATAGCGTTCCGGAAATGACTGATTTACTACGACATTGGCTGAATTGTCAGGAAAGCATTTTAGTAAGACTACCTTAACAAGAACACAAGTTGAATATCTGTCTTAGTCATAAACTTTGGTTGTTTGAATTTTCATGTGAGTTAAAAAAATCCCATTTATCAATTCATTTAATGTTGATTGAAACTTGATAGTAACTGGGATTATTTTTTTATTTGTCTGGAAAAGGTTTTAAAACGAATGTTATGATTAAGATGGATGCCCATTCTGTGTTCAAATGTTAAAAGTTTTGTTATTGAAAGTTGACAGACGGATCAAGCCAGGGCCTGGTTAACACTGACATAAATTGTTACTTCCAGTGCTTTAGATCTCCTTAGACATTATAATGTTCAGAGCTAAAATATTTAACCTTGTGTTCTTTCTTATAAAATATTTTTAATCATATCAACCCCCTTTGGTTAGAATAAGATATAGATAATAATGGAAAACGAAATGAGACTTGGCTTCGTTGAGTCCTAATTAAAGTCACAGTCCTCCGATTTGCACACTTCGCACAGCTTGTAATTACAGCCTATGATAATGGCGGTGTATTACCGACAGATTATGTTCCTCTTGGACATGTATGCATTTAACTGAGGAAGTATTATGATAATGAAACATTTTTGAAAGAGAATTTACCAGCTATCACTCACAGGAGAAAAACAACCAGCTCTCTTAAAGTCAGGGATTCACAACGCAACTCACACCCAGTGATGTGTCAAAAATTGACATTTATAACTGAGAAGTGTTGCCTCACCCCCCTTAATCCACCGGACATGAGTTCCTGTGACTATGACCTTTTTCCTAACCTCAAAATGCCACTCAGGGGTGTAAGATTAAATGACTTACATGTCATGGTTCAGAACTGTTCACTATTTAGGGGAGATGATGTGTAAGCCGCCGGATAGCTCAGTCAGTACAGCCGTGGTATGATATTCCAAGGATCCCGGGTTCGAGTCCTGGTCAGACTGCACATTTTTCTAACCCTGTGACATAGAGAAACTTATAGTTGCTATGGCCAATGAGATTCAAAGCATCACATGTGGTTGCCTGGCAACGGCAATTGCTAATCTTCGGAACAGATGGAAAGCGGTTGTTAGAAACAGGGGTAGTGACTTTGAAGGAATATTATAAGATATGGTAGGTGTGTATCACTTATAGTTTTCTTACAAATTTAAGGCCATTATCAGAACTTATTGAATGACCCTCATACTTCTCTTGTACTTAATTGAGGTTTTTCTTGTGTGGCCTATCAAACAGTTTTAAGAAGCCAAGTACATGTAGTGTAAAATCAGCATGACTCAATTCCGATTTATTTTTAAGTGTTATCAACTAACATGAAGACTTGGGTTTCACAATACTTCTTTTCCTAAAATCTGTTCATGGTAAGATAGAGTAAAAACTTCCTACATACTGAGAAAAATGAATTTTTAAGCCACAATGTCTCTGTATAAACAGGGGGCACACAGTGTTTGGATGGTATATACTGCTTGATGGTGACCTTATAATGAGATTTAAGTCATAACCTTATAATATGTATATAATATGTATATATAAAATAGCCTATAGACTATATTTATATACATATTATAAGGTTATGACTTAAATCTCATTTTAAGGTCACCATTAAGCAGTATATACCTGATCCAAACACTGTGTGGGCCCCCCTGTGATCTATATTAATGTAACTTTTATAATTATAGTAGTCTGATGGGGTCCAGTCTTATAGACTTTAAGGTCCAATGGACTGTCAGTTAAGTAAATCTTGGGATAATTTAACAAATCAGCATAGATATAACATAATTTTCTTAATGTTACTGTGTCATCAGGTTAAGGACTCCCTTCTCAGGGTAAAGGGTCAACTCGGCCCTATACCAACTCGGCACAGGTCAACTCGGCACGGGTCAACTTGGACCTCTTTTAAAAACTTATATTAGGATATAGATTGTTTAGTTAATATAACATAACATTGAAAGAGTTAATTATTTTAAAAGTATTCAAAAGTACGATCAATTAAAAACAGAAATTGAAAAGGGTGAAAGTGTACATGTATTGTTTGAAATTATCTTTGTTAAGAAGAAACAATATTAATGTATGTTAAATATTGATCAATAAATAAAGTTTTTGGATTGAATTTTTATGACAATAAATGTTATTGTATTTAACACAGTTTGAGTGTTTGTTCTTTTATACGACCAATGCTGTTTTAACGATATTTTTTTTACTAAAAACATCATTCTGAAGTAGACAAAACATGCATATAAATTGTAAACACTTCCTTTCTTTACAATTCACATACAAATTGGTACTTGTTAATGAAACTTTTCAATATCCTTGAGTAGAGGTCTATTATTGTGAAAATGTTAAACAATGAAAGTTATGATGAAAACATTTAATAAGTTATCATTACCAGTAATATATAATTATGGGCCGAGTTGACCCGTGCCGAGTTGGAATAGGGCCGAGCTGACTCGGGGGCCGAGTACGTTTTAGGGCCGAGCTGACCCCGATTCCTTCTCAGGGAGGTAAATGTACTTTAAAGAAGACTATGAAAATGTCTCTTTCCGTTAAAAAATATATACTTTCCTTGAATAAGAGTCCTTTCGCATTTTATAAGTATCTTAAAGGGATACAACTCTGCAACCGGTGAGATTTGCGTCGTTTTTCTTTATAATTGTTTCTTTATGTATTTAGGTTGTTTTATGTTATGTAATATCTTTTTTGACGAGACAATTAGTTTGTTTGTGAGCTATGACTAATTTGTTTTTTTTCCACTTACACTTTCTTTCGAGAATTCTTTAAATAATCAAGATAAATAGAAACCGGACGGTAAAATTCGGTTAGTCATATTAGTCACTCGAATAAAAAAATTATGCATCAGGGATTGAAAGTTATATGTTTTCCTTAATTTTTAATTCTCCTTACTATAGACACTGTACGTTAAGACATATGGCGGAAATTTTACAGTTATTTTATACTTATTATCAATTAATTTTTTTTTATTTATCATCCTCAATTTTAAGTAAAGTATCTATTCTAACTCATCATGCTAATGAAAGAGAGAAATATGTTTTTCCGTATGTTTCTTACTTTTACAGCCGCTTGTAACCGCAAATACTTAAGCAGCTTTCTGATTACAAGAGGCTATGGAAAGCCATGGCTGTCTGATATTGTTCTTTTTCAATTTATGTAACCATTTGGATAATATATGAGTTCACTTCGACTATATATGAATTGAAAACACCTTCTTATTTAACCGGAATCCATTATATTAATCCACAGTAACAATATATGAAACCATACTGTCAGTGTATGAAACCGAGTTAGCAATATATAAGTTGATTTTCTCAAAATATGATTCCAATTCTTCACTATATGTTACCAAAGTAGCAATGTATGGAACCAGATGTCCTTATATGAAACCGAATTATCAATATATTAATTCATTTTTACAATATATGAAACCATTTTATCAATGTATGGAACCAAAGTAGCAATATATGAGTTGGTTATACCAATTATTCAATATATGGAACCAAGGTAGCAATGTATGGAACCAGGTGTCCTTATATGAAACCAAATTATCAATATATTAATTCATTTTTACAATATATGAAACCATTTTATCAATGTATGGAACCAAAGTAGCAATATATGAGGTGGTTATTACAATATATGATACCAATTATTCAATATATGGAACCAAAGTAACTATGTATGGAACCAGGTGTCCTTAGGCCTAAAAAAAAAAATTGTTTTGTTCGGGTCACCCGACCCTACCTAATAATATGCGCCGACCCTACCGTTTTTTTTCGTGTCCAAAAAAAACAAAAAAAAAAAACGATGAAAATACCGTATTACTGGAGGTGCGGTACGGCAGTGCTCACCCGGAAGGCAATTCAGGCGAAAATTTCGCTGTGTATATTTCCATTTCCCTCTCTCAATTGATTAAAGAGAAGTCAACATCGCCGATAAAATCTTAATTCCCAAAGAGTATTTACTTGCCGATGTAAAGAGCAGAGATTGTATCCGCCCATATGACGACTGCTTATTATCATTATCCAATCAGAGCATCGCTGTATACTACCCTTCTACCTGTATGCAAAGCGATAGACCGCCTACTCTAAACAGTAAATAATGAGATCATCGGCCCGAAACGGGTATATTTTGCGAGTTTAATACGGGATTTGGCGATAATTATAGATTATTTTTTTCCGATCATCTAAACACGTGCAAATCTTCCCTAATTGATATACACGCGGTGTTTAACCTGTGCAATGGGTTCTTCACGGCTATCACAAAACTGTTAGTCAATTAAAAATAATTAATTTCATTTCACGTCATGGCTTAGGGTGAAATGCCAAAACCTAGCAGTAAAAAAAGTTACTGATTCTGATACACATAATACACGCGAAAATTTAAGAAAGCCAAAGAAAGCCAATTCGCAAAAATCTTATGATTGGTATGTTGTAGACAGCTCATGAAAATAAAGGGAGATAATTAGAAATTTATTTTCTATAATTTCTCAGTTGAATTTTTCAATAAGAAATGAATGAATATAATTTTAGTGATCAAATATAATGTGCACAAATGTTTGCAGTACAAATTTTACATATTCTTCGATATTTGAAAATTGTTTTATAAGCATAATTATATGCACATAAATGTGACATTACAACATAGAAGATCATAAAAGAAATTTCTGGAAACAGAACAGGATAGACAGATTTTATTAATCATTATCCAATGTAACTTTATCTTCTGTTAAAAGTGAGGAAAGTAAAAATATAAAGTTAATTTATTCATCATATTTTTTCTTACACATTATTATCAATAAATCTACATGAAAATATATAAACAAATATTTAGAGAAAGCTTATAAATAGCTGATAAATAGATTGTGTTTCTATTCTAGTTAAAGGATGTATAGCCATGCATGTTAATGCATACACATTGGGATGTTTCCCTTCTGCCGATTTTTCACGAGGAAGTCACTTCTCCCTAAAATTTCCCCCCAGGATGAGCCCTGGGTACGGTACAGGTTTTATCGCCGCTCTTAGTTACAAAATGGCGGATCACATCGTCAATATTTGTAAAACGGCGTGTGATCTTCACCAGTAGAACACCAGGTTTTAATGATTGTTACACCTGAAATGTCTTTTGAAAACATAGAAGGGATGTATTTGTGCCACCCGGGAGGGATGTCAGAAATTTCCATATCTACATTTCAATATACTGGTGAATAATAATAATAATAAAAAAAAAAAAAAAAAAAAAAAAAAATCCGACCTACCCTACCTATTCCTTGAGAGCATGTTACCCTAACAAAACAATTTTTTTTTTTTAGGCCTTATATGAAACCAAATTATCAATATATTAATTCATTTTTTACAATATATGAAACCATATTATCAATGTATGGAACCAAAGTAGCAATATATGAGTTGGTTATTACAATATATGATACCAATAATTCAATATATGGAACCAAAGTAAAAATGTATGGAACCAGGACTGGTGTCCTTATATGAAACCAAATTATCAATATATTTATTTATTTTTACAATATTTGAAACCATTTTATCAATGTATGGAACCAAAGTAGCAATATATGTGTTGGTTATTACAATATATGATACCAATAATTCAATATATGGAACCAAAGTAACAATGTATGGAACCAGGTGTCCTTATATGAAACCAAATTATCAATATATTAATTCATTTTTACAATATATGAAACCATTTTATCAATGTATGGAACCAAAGTATCAATATATGAGTTGGTTATTACAATATATGATACCAATTATTCAATATATGGAACCAAAGTAACTATGTATGGAACCAGGTGTCCTTATATGAAACCAAATTATTAATATATTAATTCTTTTTTACAATATATGAAACCAATTTATCAATGTATGGAACCAAAGTATCAATATATGAGTTGGTTATTACAATATATGATACCAATTATTCAATATATGGAACCAAAGTAACAATGTATGGAACCAGGTGTCCTTATATGAAACCAAATTATCAATATATTAATTCATTTTTACAATATATGAAACCATTTTATCAATGTATGGAGCCGAAGTATCAATATATAAGTTGATTATCACATTATATGATACCAGATCTTCAATATATGGATCCAAGTATGTCATGTATGGAACCAGATGCCCTTATATGAAACCGAATTATTAATATTTTAAATCAATTTTACAATATATGAAACCAGTTTATCAATATATGTAACTGAAGTAGCAATATATAAGTTGATTTTCACATTATATGATACCAGTTCTTCAATATATGATACCAAAGTAGCAATATATTGAACCAAAATGTCATTATATTGACGGGACTTTTTTAAAGGCTGTATTCTATCCTTGCACCGGTATTACAGTTTCGCGCCAATATTCCTTGTAGAACAGCGTGCTTCACTGACTGCATACTGCACATTTTCTGAATAAGGAAATATTTGAATTTAACGTCACATTCACTTAAAATGGGCTGGGCAGGCAAAACTTATCGTTTTATATGTAGGAGTTGTATGTCATAATTTAAGCTATTGAGTCGTACTGACCATTAACAAAAACATATTTAAAAAATAAGTTCATCTCGACCTTTACCTTTGATCAAAAATAGGCATGGCCAGAAGGACACATCAAGGTTAATCTACTCACAAAGTTTAAAAAATAATCAGTCAAATAATAATTGATTTCATGAAAAAGTGTATGCATTGTAATAACAGAACCCAGTGACCTCGGCCTTTAAATTGTTGACTTGAAAATAGGCTATTTTGGTTCCATATAATGAAAATTGCTATCATAGAATGTAACATCAACTTATATACTAGCTGCTACTTTGGTTCATATATTGTAAAAATGACTTAATATATTGATAATTCGGTTTCATATAAGGACATCTGGTTCCATATATGGCTTCTTAATGGTACCATAAATTGAAGAACTGGTATCATATAAAGTGATAATCAAGTCATATATTGCTACTTTGGTTCCATACATTGATAAATTGGTTTCATATATTGTACAAATGAATTAATATATTGATAATTCGGTTTCATATAAAGACACCTGGTTCCATATATGGCTATTTTGGTACAATATATTGAAGAATTGGTATCATATAATGTAATAACCAACTCATATATTGCTACTTTGGTTCCATACATTGATAAATTGATTTCATATATTGTAAAAATGAATTAATATATTGATAATTCGGTTTCATATCAGGACATCATCTGGTTCCATATATGGCTACTTTGGTACCATATATTGAAGAATTGGTATCATATAATGTTATAACCAACTTATATATTTCTACTTTGGTTTCATAAATTGATACATTGGTTTCATATATTGAATAATGAATTAATATATTGATAATTCGGTTTCATATAAGGACATCTGGTTCCATACATGGCTACTTTGGTAACATATATTGAAGAATTGGAATCATATATTGAGAAAATCAACTTATATATTGCTAACTGGGTTTCATACACTGACGGTATGGTTTCATATATTGTAACTGTGGATTAATATAATGGATTCCGGTTAAATAAGAAGGTGTTTTCATTTCATATTTAGTCGAAGTGATCTCATATATTATCCAAATGGTTACATAAATTGAAAAAGAACAATATCAGACAGCCATGGCTTTCCATAAGAGGCTACAATTTTTCTGTTAGTCAGATATTGATTCATTTATCTGAACTTTTAACTACTGATTATATTGTTTTCATATGGCCATATATTGATATAAGATTAAGACAGTGCTATCCAGCTATTTTGGGAAACCCCTTGGATTAGAGAGGGGGCACGAAATACCCAAATATCATACATGCCATAATTTCTGGACTGATTTCTGGGACACTTTAAAAAATGTTTCTAAAATTGACATAGTAGCATATAACCTACTAGTAAGCCGATATTTACAACTTGCAAATATTATGATACAGAGAAGCATGTACTACGTCCCCGCGAGGGGTTTGACATTAATGGAAGATAGGTAGATGCTTTATCACTGTGGTAGCGTAAGGTATTATGCTTACTTGTCTTGTACGGTGACAATTCCACATGTGACAAAAATGTTAAAAAACGGCTTGTAAAGTTTTGGAAGCCAGAACTATCACTGCGGAAGCTTCATGGCAAGGGACATTCACTGTTAAATTACCGCGATATATCTCCGAAAAGTCACCTTGTTTTATATCATAGATATGTACCTTTCTCTTTTTAATAAATTAAAACCATTCTAAGTAATTGTCTTGAGACTCGTATGTTAAAAACAATGCTCAAAATCGCGACACTTCAAAAATAATTGCAATTTGCAAACATTCGAAGAACTTGTAAACATTATTTCCTAACAAATATTTCCTTATAAATGTACAAAACAAAATCGCAAATAATGACCTAAAATTGGAATTTGTTGTCACACCACCCTTCTATTTTGTGAACTGATCCTGGAGACAAGTGATTGACAGGTGCTAGAGATTGTTTGGTCAGCTAGAAGTGTCAATCATCATTAAAGGGCGGTCTTATTAAGACTTCAAAAGACTTTGCCAATGTGCGTACATGACAAACTGCTAGGTAAATGTAGGCGGAGTCATTTATGCAGACAGTTTTTGACACACTTGCCCAGCAAGTCTTTTAATTGACGGAGAAAGGTCACACATGTATATTTGTCAATCAGTGGATTAGTGTCAACAGTTCTTTTGTATAACTAAACTGTTTGGGAAAAACTATCTGATATCAAAGTTTTAGGATAATTAACATGCAAATATAATTGCATAATATTGGAATTGTTCTTGCTGCAAATAAGTTCCAAATTTTTATTTTCATCCTGAAAAAAACTTTTCTGGGACTGTCGGCTGATTTCTGTGACAATCCCCGGGATGTTATGGCATGTATGCCAAATATACCCAAATACACCCAAATATAGCAATATTCATTTTTGTTTGTATAAAATATAGATTGTAATGAGAAAATGACTTATTATTAATAAAAAATAACATGACGAAGCCAGCTATAACTTTCATTCCAATGAAATGGGCAGTTGAGATTTTGTAAGACAATAAACTTGTGACAGTCATTTGCTGATCTAGGTTCAATAACATACTTGCATTTTAAGATAAAGCTACATGTATCATATGATAATATTTGTTGTCTACATTCAAATTTTTAGAGTATAATTTTGTTGTAATTTCATTCAAGTGTCCATTGTATTGTTATTGTTGTAATTTAATAGCTGGACTGGTATGCAAGGCGTTCCAGAAGCATGCTGTTAAATCTGTTTGTTTAACCAAGTACATGTATTCACTTTTATATTTGTAGATTTCAACTTTTGCATCGCCTATATAGACTCCTAGAAAATGTCGGTGTTTAGTCAATATTTTGGGAAAATAAGAGTTCCACAAGGAGGGGAAAAAGTCTACAAGGATGAATGTGCTTTCTCTTTTGACAATCCAGTAAGTTGTTAAAATTTATGTAAAGTGTTGTATTCAAGAACAGCTGAAGGCCTCTCTCCACAATAAGTGTGAATGACCGATTCAAAACAATATGCTCTTTTTGCATAGTATTTTGAATTGTACAAAATTGTTTTATTCCAACAAATGCAAATATTCAAAGCATAAAAAAAATTAAAATTTAACAATGAAATGTATGGAAACGTCTGTCTGATACCATCCTGAAATGAACTCCAGCAAATTTGTCGGTTTTGATATTGAGAATTTCAGTTCAATTGGGATTTTTTTTAAAGATTGGGAAAAAATAAGAATATTTGCCATTTGGAATGGGTCTCAGGTAATCTGACCAATAGTGGCAATTGGAAAAGTTATGAATTTTTCACATATAATGTTGTTGTTTTTCATTTTGTTGACAATTACCTCCCCTTGAAGGATTATAAATAAAATTGATGTTTCTTGGTAAATTAGGTTACAGCCATACACTTTATGATGCTCCTGTATGAATATACCAGAATGGGAAAGAGATGCAAATATGTATGACTTCTTACATACAACACTTTTTTTACCTTTTTACAAACATTATTTACTATTCAGTCCTATGATTTACAATGTAGGATATATAATTATTTTGTTGCAGGAATCTGAGACAGGTTTATATGTGTGTATGAACACATTTCTTGCATTTGGTAAAAAACACTTAGAGCAGCATTTCAAGAAGACTGGAAATGGTGTTTTCCTTCACTTACGAAGGAATAGAATAGAGGTTTGTGATTATGTATTTTTTCTGTGGCATTTTTAATACAAAAAAAAAATATTAAGAAATCACCATTTTTATGAGATGAATTGACTTAATTGACTCAATCCCCTGTTGATGGAATCAGAAGGGGTTTATTGTTTGGAGTTGTCCGACAATATGTCTGTTCATCCATTCGTTCGAATTTCCTTTCCGCGCTACTTTAATACTTCTCTGCAACTACTGGCTAGAATTCAACAAAACTTTGTGGGAAGCATCTGAATACCAAGAGGAGATGTGCATATATACCTTGTTTTGGTCAGACCATTTAACACAGAGTTATGGCCCTTGATTAGTTTGCATATAGTAATGATGATATAGTTCAAATTTCATTTCCACGATATTTCTTGCAACTACTGGCTGGAATTCAACAAAACTTGCTTACAAATTCCTAGGGGCTGCTTACAAATCCCCAAAGATTGCTTATAAATTCCCAAAGATTGCTTACAAATTCCCAAAGATTGCTTTCAAATCTCTTAGATATCATATGTATGAGAGCGATATTTATTGACATTTTATGACAATTTCAGGTTGTAAGTGATGAACCTCCTCCAGAGAAAAAACCTACAAAGCTTGCCATAGGTGAGTATGAAATTGACAATTTGAAAATAAAAAATGACCTTGACCTTTAAATGACCTTAACCATCAAGGTCAAATTATTGTGTTTTGCTTAAATTGACATAACTTTAATATTTATTTATGGCTTTGATTCATTCTTTTACAAAAGAACACTTAATATGACCAAAACTAACATGTTGAATAATTTAAGTATGACTTGATCTATAAATGACCTTTAGTCAAGTCAAATTATAAATTGAACAATAAAATGATATTTTCTAGGAGTATTCTTTAGTACAATATTTTCTTCTCTGATGTGATTGATGTTAGAAATAAAACAAAAAATCGAGTTTTGGCCCCTGCTTGGCTTCAAATGGCTCTTGTTATGAAATTACATTCATTACACTCTAATGCTATGGTTTAAGTGATAAGTACTGGTATCCCATATGCTGTGTCCATTAACATGTGTACATGTATGTATATGAGCCGCGTCACGACAAAACCAACATAGTGCGTTTGCGACCAGCATGGATCCAGACCTGAGACTAAGCCTTGGCATCCGCGCAGTCTGATCAGGATCGATGCTGTTCGCTTACAAACCCTATTACAAGTAGAGAAACTGATAGCGAACAGCATGGATCCTGATCAGACTGCGCGGATGCGCAGGCTGGTCTGGATCCATGCTAGTCGCGAACCCACTATGTTGGTTTTGTCATGACACGGCTCATATAGAATGATGTGTTATGAAACAGCTGTTTGATTTTAATTATTTTCCTATGCAGGCTTAGAAGGAGGTTTCCAAACAGATGAGAAGAAGTTCAAATTTGAGGAACATAACTCAGTTGTGGTTTTACCTGACTGGAAGATATTCCCTCTTCCTGATCAAGAACTTCCAGATATTGTGAGTGAACTTGTTACATTTTTCATTTTTTCTCTTAGAGAATGGCTTTACTTAACATAAGTGCTTTCTCATACTTTTATTAACTTTAACCCTGGTCCATGCTAAAATATGAGACACCATCACGCGTCACGACAAAATTAACATAGTGTGTTTGCGACCAGCATGGATCCAGACCAGCCTGCGCATCCGTGCAGTCTGATCAGGATCCATGCTGTTCGCTTACCAACCCTGTTACAAGTAGAGATACTGATAGCTAACAGCATGGATCCTGATCAGACTGCGCGGATGAGCAGGCTGGTCTGAATCCATGCTGGTCGCAAACGCACTATGTTGGTTTTGTCGTGACGCGGCAAAATTAGGTCAATCTTAAACGAAATTAAAGTTGCATGCCTCCAGATGAGCCAGAATATTTCAAAAAAATTAAACTTGAGAAAAATGTACTAAGATTTTAAGAAAAGTATAAAAATTTAAGATTGAAAATAATTTATATGTTGTGTGTGATTAAGGACTGATTTTTGCAGTAATATTCACCTTATTTCAACTGTGTTAAGTCTAAAGAGCTATGGTTTTGGTAAATTACATGGATTTCAAGTGCTTTTTGCAATGTGTAAATTATTTTCTTTGTTCACTTCACAATATTTTACTTTTAAATATATTTTCAAAATTTTCATGAAAATTAGCATGAATCTGGAGGCATGCTGCTTAAATGAACCAACGAATCTGTAAAACTGCCTTTTTTCTTTGCTAAGGTTATGAATATTAATTTCCTGTCTATTTAGCCAGGTACAAATGTCAGTGGTTATGAGTTGTGATTTCTTGACTATTTATGTCAGGTACAAATGTCAGTGACAGGTATATTGAAAGCAGAAGATGCATGGAAACTTGAAGAAGCAGCTGCAATGGCTGGAACGTGGGATGGCGAGAAAAGAGTTGTATCAAAGTACGTATGGAAGTCTTAACTTCAACCTCCTTATGTGTGAAAGTTAACTGCCTTGGCAACAAATTTAAAAAGTGAACTTCGTCACCAAGCACATCCTGACAGTCTGACCAACCTCTCTATGGCCAATGAATTGAAAGTAAAATCATCTTGATTTATTGTCGAACCCTCTTGCCCTAAGCTCAACTAAGTCATCACTTTTGGTGTTTAGTTTGGTGTATGTGCGTCCATGTGATGGTCTGTCCGGATTTGTCCAATCTATTTCTATCTCATTCTTTACAAAATGTGTCTGGTGCAAAGGTCAAGGTCACACTTAGGGGTCAAAGGTCAAGTAACTAAATAAAACATTCATTTGCAAGTATAACTTCTATATACATAGATGGATTTTAATATAACTTAGAACATAATTATGTTCTTAATGAATGTTGAATTGAGTTGTCTTGTGCAAAATGAAGGTCATGGTCACAAGAGGTCAAAGGTCAAGTAAAAATATTAAAACTTGTTTGCTTGGACTGTATCCTGCATATTCTTTGAAGTATTATGTTTAGTGGTCAGAGGATTTTTAAAGTGTTGAGCCCATTTGTGGTGAGCTCGATTTAGCCACCACTTTTCACTTTTGGCCATTTAGTGTATGTGTGTCAGTCAGGGACATGCAGACCTGACTTGCTCATTTCTGATGGCAACAGTGTATCAGTTTTGGTTTTAGTAGCACAAGTAATTTGGAAGTGAAAAAGTGAAATCAGCTTAACATACCGCAAGAATAAAAAATGTGAATTTTTGGAATTATTGAATATTGCTTTTCTGCACTTCCTATATTTATCATGACACTTGTTGGTGTTGGTTAACATGTCAATTAAGGCCTTTTTCCCAGAAGCTGTCAAAACTGTTGACACAAATTTGGTATTCATTGTCAATTTCATTATGGTACACCATAGCTAATAACAGTTCATCCTGAAATCAAATCTAATTCAAAGTGATATTTTTGCCCATCCAAGGGTTCACAGTGAGTGCACCGGTGAAAATCAAAATTTGTTTACATTTTGCCTTAATTCCAGTCAATTTTACAATTTAATTTGCTCGTACGATGAATCTCCAGTGGCCCAAGGAAATTTATCCATGGGAATTTACCTGTAATGTTCAATTTATTTAAAGAGTGGGGCAGTAACTTTTTGTATTTTAGGCAGATTGATATTTTGTCCTAATCATTTTCCAATATCAACTGTTGATCAATCTTTTGAAATATTTCATCATTTCAATTCAACCTTACAATGAAAAAATGAGTATAATGTCCTTCAAGTAAACAAGAGAAGGATGTACAACTGCACGTCAAGAACACCAGACTACATTTAAGCTACTTTATTGACCAGATTCTGTCAATCAGTGACCTACATCGGAATTATTTAATGCAAAACTTCAGACCTGTTGTACACTAAATGTGGTCACTAAATATCATGTGACTTGCTCAAAATGTTACTAAATTTGGAATTATGCCAAAAGATTTTCAGGGTCAAAGGTCAAGGTAGCATTGACCTTTTATATCAAAACAGTTTCCAACTAATAACTTGACCATCCATTGGCCCTTGGCCCTCAATCTTAACATATGCATTGGTCTTTGCCAGTAGATGACCATTATTGAGTTTGCGGTCACGGAGTCAAAGGTCAAGGTAACATGGACTTTTATAACAATACAGTTTCGAAGTAGTAACTCGACCACCCATGGCCCCTCTGCCCTGAAACTTCACAAGTGCATTGGTCTTAGCTAGTATTAATGTTGGGGTCAAAGGTCAAGGTCACATGAGCCTTGCATGTAAAAGCAGTTTCTGACCAATAACCCGACAACCCATGGGTGTACGGCCCTCAAACTTCACAGGTGCATTGGTCTTTACCAGTAGATGACCCCTATTGATTTATCAATACTTCTTCCATTCTTGGTCTTATTTTTATATTACGCTCAGTTGTTTGTATTGTAATTAAAGACCCTGTATGTTTTGTGATTGATATTGTCACTGTGTGTATACCACACTTGCAAAAAATTATATATGTTTATAATTATGCAAATAAAACAATTTTCAAACATCGAAGAATATTGTAAAATATGTACTGCAAATATTTTTGCACATTATATTTAATCAATAAATTACATGCATTCATTTCTTCTTAGAATTTATAGAAAATAAATTTTGAATTACCTCCCATTATTTACATGAAATGTTAAATTGGGTAATATCTTTATAAATACTGCATATTGGAACTTACAACATTGACAAATTTTAATTTGAGGGTCATATTTATGAAATAAAACCATGAAGAAATCATGTTACAGGATCTTTAAGTCAAAAACATTATATCACTATCAAAATTGGAATGTAATCTTATGATACATTGTGTAAGTACATCTATTAATAACTATTATCCTAACTAGAGGTAGACCTATTCTAGGTTGGAGTTATCTACATCGAACAACAATGTTTCTGCTCAACTATGTTAAGTATTAGGAAGAGCTGTTGTACTAGCCCAGGTGTTTGGTTGTCGCCATCACACTTTGGTGCAAGTTGTTATCTCCAAAACTAATGAAGAGAATGGGTTGAAACTTCCAACACTTTTTTAAAGAGCATAAGTAAGAGATCAATATCCAAGGCCAATAACTCTAACATGGAATTTAACAGAATAATGGCCCTTTTTTGAACTTAGAAATTCTACATTTTCAAGCACTGAGACTTGTAAGTCAAGCATGCTTTCTTTTTGACAGCTCTTGTCTTTATTTATTCTATATCATGCAAATGTTTACAGCATTGTTGAAATTGATAATTACAGGCAACTGGTAAAAAAAGAAATACATGAAGAATTGTATTTATTTATTCATATTAATTGTACAAAGTTACATAGAGATGCCATCTAGAAGTTTTAGCATTCTTGTTAGTGTAACAGTTTGTTCATGTTTTGCATTAATATATGAGTGAAAATGATGCTATGAAATAAGACTATACATAGACTTGTATTTGATTACTTTTGTAACATTTATAATAATTGAAATGACTGTTTCCCTCATCATCACTAGGTTTATATCATATTTTAATAAATTTGATACTTGAAACAAGGATTTTATTGTTACTGTCAATTTCAAAATTGGCAGTTAAACCACTTGGCAATAAAGTACTTATTCGTCCATATACAGTTCATTAACACTTAGTACAGAATGAGTGTACTATAAAAGATAAGCCATTAAATGTCCTGTAAATCATCTATGTATTGTTTTTAATACTGATTGTTTACAAGTCTACTCAAAAGTCTGCAGATATGAATCTTTGCAGCATTGTTTCTCCTTCTTATATTCAGTGACAGGGAATAATACTGCAATGCATTTATAGGTCTGTGTTCCTGTTCCATGCACTGCCCTAATAAATTCAAGGCTGTTTCCCGGTGAGCTAGGTTTGGTTCTTGTTCAATGGTTCTGGTAAGTTTAGAGAGTGCCAGGCGTGTATCTTCTTGTTTATTGAGATGGCTGTATATCTTGTACTGTAGAAAGTACAGGAAAGTTAGAGAATCCACTTCAACATGGTCCATCCAGGAGTCTCGTATTGTTCTGAAAGCTTTGTCCTCTTCTGTAGATCTAAACATTTCCTGTCTTAATTCCTTTGGAAAACAATAGACTTCACATGGCCAAAATTGTACACAATTTGCTGTAGCGTTTTGTAAAGCTTCTTCAATATTTTGATCACATACTGCTTTAAAAGCTTGCCTTCTTGTTAGTCTGTAAACGTGATGTGGACAAAATGGCTCAACAATGTTTAGGTCGTAGTGCCTTTCAATATCACAGAGAACAATTTCAGCTCTTCCAAACTGCCTTGTACAGTAAAGCATTGAGGCAAGTTTCAGTTTACTAGATGCAACATTAGTGTTTAGACCAAGGGAGATCCAGTTAAGAGCCTCAGCTGATATTGTATTATACTGTTGTATGTTGCGGGAAGCTAAAACAGATCCTAGCCTTGAACAGACCCTTGGTGCTAGAAGATTGCGAGCTGTCTTGTCTAGTCCATGACATTGAAGACTAACTATGTCAGAAATGTTCTGCTTTAATGCTTGTATAGGTCCCCAAGTCCAATAGCTAAATGAGGTAGACTCTCGAGAAAGCTGAATTGCTATGAGGTGTAGTAGTTTTACTGAAATATCCTCGCATGTTCTGAATGGGCATATTGATATATTGTTGAACTTGAGCTGAAGCCTTGTACCAAGATCATCACACTTGATTCCTAGTAGTGCTACCACATTACTGTTGATGATACGCTGAAGTATTTCAAGTATGAAAGGTTTGACTTCAGGTGTAATCTTCCCTCTCATCAAGTTGTTTCCAGGAATGAAAAAATGTGGACAATTTTCATTAAGAATGTTAGTGTACAAATCATGGATACACAATGATAAACATACAATTAAGTTCTTTTCTTGCCAGATGATAGACTGGGTATTTTCAATACAGTGGAACAAAACTGTCTTACACATGTAACTAGAAATTACGTCTGTAAACAACGGATTTATGAATGTTTTTATTATCATTTTCATCAAGACATAGCAGCGAATCTGTGTTATGTTTAGATTATTCATTAAACATCTTTCGGCTAAAGATGTTGATATTCTCCATTCAAGATCCTCATTTTCACTGCCATGTCGACCAACTCCAACAAGAAGACAACCAGAACTACAGCAGTATTGTTTGATTTCATCAGTAGGCCATTGACCAACACTTTGTTGGTGCAACCATTGTCTAGCTTGTAACGGCCATGTTGTACAGGGAAGGGCAATAACGTTATCATGCTCACAAAGATTGCATTCCAATGTAAATGCTGGCCCATGTCTTTCTGGTCTTTCATGAGGACCTCTATACATTACATTATGACATATCAAAGAATTTTTCAGTAATACTCTTCCATATCTGTCTCTTCTGTAAATGGTACATGGGGAGTTTTTAGACTTACATTTATAATAGCGCATAGGTAGAGGAGAATCATGTCTTAACAATTGAAGTCGACAGTAACCTGGGGATACAGAACGATCTTGAATCATCAGTAGATTTATTACACCAGGTTGCCAGTCACTCCAGTCTTGTATCACATGGTACATGTCAAGACAGTAAATATTGTCAGTATCTGAGTTTAGTCCTAATGTAGTTGTGCCTTCTGCTTGACTACCCATCATATAGGGACAAGTTATATGTTTTTTTATAAAACATAGCCTGGAACACTGCATAAATATTGATTGCAACAGAAGCATTGATCTCCTCCTTTTTAGTACCATTCTGGTATCCACACCTATATCAGCAAGAACTTCTGACAGCTTCATTGATACAGCCTCCTCCGAGTAATCTGGTGCTTGAAACATTCTGAAAAAAAAATTGTCGCTTGATTTTACCTTTTAATGCTGCTGCATGTATCGATTTATATTTGTAATTTTTCAACAACAAAAAAAATAATATTAATAAAAAAAATAAATAAAAAAAGAATATTAAAATTTTGTGGTGTTGCCGAATTTTGTTTGTGTTTATTTCTGATCTCTATGAACTAATTAGTTTATGTATATTTTATATTTTTGTTATTGTTGAAAGTGTAGTGATACAAGAATAAAACTACAGAATTTTTTTTGTTACATAAAATTTGGTAAAAATAAAATAAGTTTTTTCCTTGACACTAGTGTTGGAGCAAACACTAGTGTTGGAGCAGTACCTCTAGAAGCTTGACAGAAATCATGATCACAAAGTAGAAAATTATTGCTATTTGAGGCAATTCTTACATTTTTCAGTCATGATGGTATTTAAATCGGTATGAGGAAATGAATTAGCCATCTAAAAGTGCATTTCAGCAGGTAAAAAGTGCAAAATTTTAGCATTTAATCATTTAGGCACCTGCCCGGAATGTACTGGAATACAGCATGTAGTGTGGTGCTCCTACACTGTAAATAGTCTCGATCAAGAAATAAATACCTTATATTTTTCCAGTAAGTTAGTTCTCTTTGAATAAAGTGCCTCACACTGTGTATGATGATATGTGCGTTGAAATTTATATCCCTCCAGTGTCTCCATTTGAATACTTTCTGTTCCGGTTTTAACAGAAGGGGAAAAAATTTCTTGGAAAAATTGATGATTTTTTTACGCACTTAATATTTATTTTCCTCAACAAAACTTGGGTATTTAATTTCCTATAAATGTTTCACTGTTCTTAAAGCAGTTTTCCTGTGGCAAGTATGGTACTGAAAGTTTACATGTACTGTGTGTTGCTATAGAAACACATTCTAGCTGCTCTTGGGCAGGGTTCAGTTTTTCTGTACATTGAGAGAAAAGGAACTGCATATCTGTTTGATCATATGAGAGGAAGGCAATAAATGGTTTTTGATAGGGCCGGGAACAAGGCAATAATGGTTTTTAGCTCGACTTTTCTATGAAAAGGGGAGCTATCCTACTCGCCCCGGCGTCGGCATCGGCGTTAGCGTTGGCGTCACACCTTGGTTAAGTTTTTCGTACCACCCCACTTTATTTCAGAAGTATTACAAGTATGGCTTTGAAACTTACCATACTTGTTCACCATCATAACCTCCATCTACAGACAAGAGTACATAACTCTGTCAAGGTTTTTGACAGAATTATGGCCCTTTTTTGACTTAGAAAGTGTATTGAGCTTGGTTAAGTTTTTTGTACCACCTCACTTTATTTCAAAACCATTGGAGGTATTGCTTTGAAACTGACCATACTTGTTTACCATCACGACCTTCATCAACAGACAAGAGGACATAACTCTGTCAAGGTTTTTGACAGAATTATGCCCCTTTTTGACTTAGAAAATACATTGAATATGGGTAAAATCCACTTATTGCCTTAACCCTTTGAGATATTGCTTTGAAACTTTTAATGCTATTTCACATCATTACCCCCATCTGTACGCAAGAGAAGGTAACTCTGTCAAGGATTTGTTTTAAAAAATTAAGGCCTTTTATCGACTTAGAATCTTGGTTAAGTTTTTAGTACCAGTCCACTTTTTGACTGAACTGTTTGAGATATTAATTTGAAAGTTGGAATACTTGTTTACAATCATGATTCCCAAACATGTCCAGGAGAAGGTAATTCTGTCAAAGATTTTATTTGAATTATGGCCCTTAACTGTCAATGTTTTGTATTATAGGCAAGCACTAAAAAAGTCGAGCGTGCTGTCTTACGGACAGCTCTTGTTATCTCAAAATTCTTATGACAAATCTTAATGACTTAATTACTTTCCTTGCAAATTCTAGGATAAATTTCTACTTTACTTCAATGGTTTGTACACACAGGCAGTATCTTACACAAGTTTCAGGGCCGTTACAAAAATATGGAAATCATGGTCTGGGGTAAAAAAATATAGAAGCGATTGGTTACTTTGTATCACAGGGTGAGAAAATAGAAAATACATGGTTGATGTCGGGAATCGGGATGGAGACGGTTTATCCGGTGAGGGAGAAAGTGTATCTTGGCGAGCTTTAGCGAGCCAAGATTCACTTTCGCAGCGAACCGGATAAACCTTCTCCATCTCGACATCAACCATGTATTTGATTTATCCTGCTTTTTATCATGTTTTAAGAATAATTAAATGGTTTCATTCTCCTTTTCCCCCGATAAAATAGCATCTATATGCAGTTTTGTTTTGCTGCTAAATATGTGACGTCATCATGTGACCTAGTGACTGGAGATAGATAAGTTTATCCGGCAAGGCTTTAGCCAGCTGATGATATACACAGTAGCAGGATAAAATGTGAATCCATATGGCTGTCTTACTGTGGTTAAGTTGTTGTGTGAATGATTGTATCTTCAAAACTACTGAAGGGAATGGGTTGAAATTTAATTTCAGACTATAGTTCTGTGTGATTATCTTACATGATTGGCACAGGTCCCATAACTCTGAGTTACCTTTTTACAGAGTTATGCCCCTTTCTTTACTGTCTTATAGACAGTTCTAGTTAGTTTCAAGATTGTTAAAGTGAAAATTAGGCTTATCAGGGTATACATGTATTGTGAGTGAACAAGTTAAAGGCAAAATGAGTTTACAATTTGATGTAATTCTTTTCAATTTTATTGGCGTCCGCGCCGAAGCGCGGCGCCTTTTATGGAATGAAATCAGATTTTGTGAAAGGGCGACAGCAACTTCTCGAGCCTTTTATAGTTGTTCATAATCGATCATTCCGATCGGTATGAGGGTGCTTGATTATTAATTAGTCGCGATGTGTACAATGAATAGCGAACTGGAGAATTTCGCAATGCAAACATTTTCAAATTAATTAACCTTTTCCGTCAATAAATCGCGCTCTTCTGGGTATTTTTATTTATCATTTTGTAGTACACAGTGGGTTATTATGGTATATAATTCCGAAAGCTGTAAATAGAATGTTGAGTTGATGACCTAAATATTCCGAAAATCTATTTATAGAGGGATGTACTCCTGTCGGTAATTCCCGGTCTCTCCTGGTCTATTTTGACGACCGGCGAATAGTACCACACGTTTATTGTCCGGTCTCTTCCGGTTTTGGAGTAGATGTTTGATGTCGTTACAGAACAGAACAAAATATTTTACAGATAAATAAGCTTTTTTTCAAAATGAATGTTTGTCACTTAGTTTGGTTACAATAATTAATAAAAATAGATCAACTCTCAAATTTATTGATTATTATTATACATAAACATACAATTCGAAAAAAAATCCAACAACACAAATCGCATGTTTTATTTTATCTGTATGAGATAAAAACAATAAGTATGTACAATAATTGAGAAAAAATGTACATTTTTATGGCATTAATATGACACTATCAACTTTGAAACATTTTATTTAATTTGTTATTCGTGTTTAGTAAAGATGCCGAGGAATTATTCAAAGTTACAAATCAGATTTTATGAATTATTCAATTGATTGATACTTTAAAAATGATAAAGAAAAATACAAATGCACATGTATATGGTTTAAGAATAAACAATATTATATATTGAAAGTTTAACCTTAATTTACTGACTTTTTGTGCCCCCACGTTAGTGGCGGGCATTTAGATTTACCCTTGTCCGTCCGTCCTTCCGTCCTTCCGTCCGCCTTTCCGTGCGTCCGTCCGTTCACTTTTGTGTCGCACGTAACTCAAAAAGTATTTGACCTAGAGTCATGAAACTTTACAGGAATGTTGATCAGCATGTGTAGTTGTGCACCTGGGTATTTTGGTCGGGATATTTTTAGTATTTTCAGAGTTATTGCCCTTGACTTAGTAAAATTTTGCAATTTTCAACTTGTGTCGCATGTAACTCCAAAAGTATTTGACCTACAGTCATCAAACTTTACAGGAATGTTGATCAGCATGTGTAGTTGTGCACCTCGGTATTTTTGTCTGGATATTTTTAGTATTTTCAGAGTTATTGCCCTTGACTTAGTAAAATTTTGCAATTTTCAACTTGTGTCGCATGTAACTCGAAAAGTATTTGACCTACAGTCATGAAACTTTACAGGAATGTTGATCAGCATGTGTAGTTGTGCACCTGGGTATTTTCGTGTGCATATTTTTAGTATTTTTAGAGTTATTGCCCTTGACTTAGTAAAATTTTGCAATTTTTAACTTGTGTCGCACATAACTCAAAAAGTATATGACCTACAGTCATGTAACTTTACAGGAATATTGATCAGCATGTGCAGTTGTGCACCAGGTATTTTCGTCTGGATTTATTTAGTATTTTTAGAGTTATTGCCCTTCACGTAGAAAATTTTTGCAATTTTCAACTTGTGTCGCAAGTTTCTCAAAAAGGATTTGACATAGTCAATAAACCTTATGGGCTTATGTGGATTTATCCAGTATTTGTAGAGTTATTTCCCTTGACTTAGTAAAAAGATTGACAGAACAGTGTCGCGGTGGGGGCACCCGTGTCCTATGGACACATTTCTAGTTCCAGTTAAGTTTTGACTTATAATCGTCGGTCATTATGACAATTGAATTCTTAAAATAGTAGTAAACGTAAAAACTCAGTATTAAAGTAGTGCATAAAACACAAAAAAGAAAAGAAAACAATATTCATAAAATCTGTATTTTTTTTATTAAAAAAGATATTACAATTAGTGTATTATAAACATTTATGCTCAACATGGTAATATAACAAGTTTCATATTGTTACTAAGTGTGAACAGATACCTTAAGAGGGGGTCTTCGCTAATAGCGATAACATAATAAGGGACAATTACACAAGTGTGGTGTTGATCATGTGTTACTCATATGGATTATAAATGATTGTATACATGTATATCCGTTGCTATTAATAACCACGATCATAAAGAAATAACAAGTAATATTCTAATTTCTAGCATGCCAATCAAAGTTATGAATAATGAACAATGTTTTTCGTTCGTTCATTCATAAGTGATATACAATTCTGGTAAAAACCAATGAACCATTGAACAGTTTATAAGAATATCTTGTCATCATATATCTACTAGTTCATCTGCACCTGCTGCATTTCTTGCTTGGACGCCCTTTGATGCTTTGCATCAATGCTTTTCTTGTAACTAACTTAGCATGAACGATAGATAACTCACATGGCCCAATGAAATTTCTAGTAATATCCATGGGAAATTACATTTAATATCTTTTTATCCTTTAGGTAGATTTATATCAACTGTTGGTTAATCACCATTATATTATAGTCAGTCTTTTGAAATTTATAGTCAACTCAACTCAACAAAGAAAAGAATGAGCATAATGTCACTTTAAAAATTATGTCATATTTTGAAGTTAAATCCATACTTTTCAGGGTCATATTGGACAAGGTCTGGCCCGGCTTTCACTAACGTTCTCAAAGTCAAAATCTCAGCTCAAATCTGAGATTTTTCTCAAATCAGAAATTGAGATTGAGATTTTTCTCAGTTTGGCTTTCACTAAAAAATATTGAGAAAAATCTCAACTTAAGATTTGAGATTTTTCTCAGATATATTGAGACAAGGTTTGGCTGTCTCAGATTATGTCTCAGTGAAGCTAAATTATTATTATCATGGGTATTTTTACTTTCTGCATGGTTATTTTGATAAATAAACATAATTTGACATTTTAGGCAATTAAGTTTCTATTATTTTCATATATTCAGTACTATATTGACTGATTATTGTGGGTGACATCATGCGCTCTAATTCATGACGTCATGAAATTATGACGTCACAATAATCATAATAAAAATGATTCATTGAATTTTGTTTGTTTTCTTTTGATGTACATTCATTCTTGATAACTTATTTTCATTAGCATTCAAATTTTCACACATTTGCAATTGCTTCTTGGTGTTTTTGTTATTGTTTATTTATTTATTTATATTTTTTTTTAAATAAAACAAGAAAATATAGATCTACTTAATGTAATAAATATACAAATATTTCCCTGTTGCGTCAGCTTACATCAAAGCAGCAATTATATACATGTACATGATATACTTCGTAAAATAGAAGCTCGATCATCAATAATGCACACTAAGGTAGCCGCTTATGTCTTGAGAAAAAAACAGTCTCAGTTGAGAAAATTCTCAAATGTTGAGAAAAAGTTTAGTGAAAGCCAACTTGCGATTTTTCTCAGGTGAGTAAGAATCTCAGTTAATATTGATACAATCTTAAGTTGAGATTTATCTCAGTTTGAGAACGTTAGTGAAAGCCGGGCCTGATCTGATTGTTTTTTTTTTTGTTAAATTCAGACATGCAGAAAGCCTGCAACAACTAGACAATGGGAAAAAGATTCCTCCATCCGGATGGAAGTGTGAAAAGTGTGATCTTACAAATAACCTTTGGTTGAACCTTACTGACGGTACTATCATGTGTGGACGTAAATTCTTTGACGGCAGCGGAGGAAACAATCACGGCGTAGAGCATTATCACGTCACTAAATACCCACTCGCTGTTAAGCTAGGAACCATAACCCCAGATGGTGCAGGTATGTGTAATTGTATTTGGTACAAGAGATGGTGACCTTCGTCTGCCCGTGGATAAAGTCAGTTACTGCTAATCACTTGGCTGTATAATTATCCAGAGAAGTACCCTAATTCCTCAAGTATAAGACAGGGATTTTTTTCTTCCATTTTTAGGACAAAAGTGTGATTTCTGTCTTATAAAAGGAGCAAAGGTGTTGGCTACCTACCTTCACCTACGAACATAGTCTCAATCTATGTCCAGTTATTCAGTTATGAAACACTACTCAATAACACCTGTTAAAGGTCAAGTAGGCCATAGCTGCTCTATTGAAATTTTAAATAAATGTGACAACAGATATACAGCGATAACTTGTCACATAAGTTTAATAAAAAAAATTTAAAGGATGATTTAGAATGAAAGATAAATAAATATGAATAACAAGTATTAGTAATAAAAAATGTAATTCTAATAAAGTATCAGAAAAAGTAAACATGTGCAAGGATCATGTACTCTGTTGCAAAAGTGAGTGGTCCAGGGCCATAATGGCACTCTTGTTACATTGTTTTATATCCTTATTAACCAAATTTGAAATTGAATCATTTCAGATGTTTTTTCTTATGACGAGGATGATATGGTAGAAGATCCATACTTGTCCAAGCATCTGGCTCATTTTGGTATAAATATAACATCCATGCAAAAGGTAAACCTGATATCTACTATAAACCCCGATTTAAATTTTCCCTTGTTAAATAATGTCCTCTCTACTTTGTCTGCTTAGAATAGAATTGTACCTTTTAATAAGTTCACCATAGCACATGGAAATCTGCCCATCATTAATCTTTTGTGGTTATCGACAACATCTCCTAAATAATATGATGGATTTTTACCAAACTTAATAGGAATGCTCCATATGTAGTCCTCTAAAAAAGTTACATAGATTGTTCCAGTCTGATGCATAAGTAGGTCACAGGAGCCCAAATTTGAAATCTTTAAAAAATCTTCTTCTCAGAAACTTCAATGTCCAGAGCATATTTTGCATGAAACATCACCTTTTGGTCCACAACTGAAGTTATATTAATCATGCCTTTTGGGTCAAAAATGACCCTGCCTTAGAGGTCACATACATGTCGTTAACATAGGCTTATAAAGGAAAATGCATTTTAAGTCTTCTTTTATGAAACTGCATTGCTCTGCCTTCAAGGGTTCAAAATATGCCATTCCCCATTGGTCACATGATTTATATAGACTTGTATAGTAAAATATCTTTAAAGACTTCTCTTCAAAGACTACAATGCCTAAAGCTTAGATTTGCACATAGCATCACATTGTGGTTCACTACTATTATGTAAATTATGCCCCTGCAGTCAAATCGGCCCCCGTCCTGGGGATCATTTAGTTTATATGGACTTAATTGTATAAGAAAATACATTGAAGTCTTCTTTTGTGAAACTACTATGTCAAGAGCGTAGATATTTTGTAGGTAGCATCACCTAGTAGACCTCTATAAAATGAATGTCATTCAAGCTCCTTGGGTAAAAAATGGCCCCACCCCGGGGGTTCAAAAAGCATACATAGACTTATACCTTAAAAAAATCTTCTTCTCAGAAATATTTTGCCAAAAGTTTAGATACTTTGCATGTAGCATAACCTTCTGGTCCTTTACAAAAGTTGTATAAGTCAAGCCCCAGGGTAAAAATTGACCATGCCTTAGGGTCATTTGATTGTGTTACACAATGTGTAAGAAAGTACATTTTTCTTCTTTTGTGAAATTGCAATGCTTAGACATTAGATATTTTGCTTGTAAAATTACCTAGTGGACATATACAAAAATTATGGGGCAAAAATGGCCCACCTTTATTTACATAGACTTGTATCATTTAAGTGGCTAGACCAGTAAATACCGGAATGTGACATTTTGTGCATGGAGCTCCAACAATTTTTTTTAGTCTCACTCATATTTTACAGACAGAGAAAACAATGATTGAGCTGGAGATAGATCTGAATCAGAAGATTGGAGAGTGGGATGTCATTCAGGAGGCTGGGAGTAAATTGACACCAATGTACGGACCAGGGTACACGGGCATGCGTAACCTTGGCAACAGTTGCTATATGAACTCGGTGATGCAAGTGGTATTCACAATACCAGATTTTCAGCAGAGGTATTGTCCAAGTTCTGGAATAAGAAATATTACAAGAATCTTACACTGGCTGCCAGTACAGACCGGAATATTCTAGCTTGAGGGTAACTGTTTACAGGGGTAATGAGGCTCTGTCAAGTTTCCGCTAAACAGTTACCCGAGAGCTTGATATTCCCGTCTGTATCAACAGCCGGTGTTTGATTCTTTTTCTTGCATAATACGTGTCAATTATTGTTGGAACAGAAATAACAGTCATTTAAAGCACGCGACTTGTCTTCCATTGGGGTGTAAGATAGAGTTTTCTAGCACCAGTGAAAACGGTAGATAATCCTGTCTGATATGCAAGGAAAAAGAATAATCTTTGTAATTGACTTTATCTTTAACATGATCTTAATGGAAAAAAAGTGTATATTACACTGAATAAAACTTATAAACTCCTACTTCATATTTTGAGAATTGTGGTAAGTCTATTAAAGGACCTCCTCTGAAAGCCAAAAAGCATAAAAACATAACATTTGAATTTTTGCATAGATCTGAAGTGGGCCACATAAAAGAAAGGCTTAAGATTATTAAGAAATATACACAAAAATAAATTGAAAATTGTATTTTGTGTATTGATAATCCAATTTGTGTGAAAAGCATTGCAACGGTATTCAATTTTGGGTTAATTTTCATGATTATAATAATTATTCTGGAAAAATGGAGTGAGCGATTGATCTGAAATTTTACTCAAAAGTTATTGGTCAAGACTTTTATCAAATGGAACATAAATGTCGAAAAATTATTACGGGAAGCATCATGTTACAAAAACCTCAGTGGAGTCCCTTTAAGCAAATATAACAAATGATAACATTTGGGGTCACTACATTTTATGCCAAATACCCATGCATAATTTTATCGATTTCCACCAATATTTAACACAATTGCAGTTATTTGGTTAAACATGACATCGTCGAAACTTGAAGTCACACGATTGGTTAAACATGACATCGTCGAAACTTGAAGTCACACGATTGGTTAAACATGACATCGTCGAAACTTGAAGTCACACGATTGGTTAAACTCAGCCCTGATCATCATCAGTGTGTCATCACCTAAGTGCAATAACTGGTTTACTCCTATTAAATTTAGAAGGACTTCACCCATTACTGCACTAAGGTTACAATGTATTCTCAATATCCTGTTTTGGGTTTGGTATGCAAAATATTACTTATTAATTAAAATTATCTTAAATTACACCTCCTTGAATACACAGGAATAATGATATGTGGTTTAATGGTTAAAAAAAATTCAAATTTTTTTGTATCTTATAAAAATTTGGTTTCATTTTTCAAAGGGCTTACCAGCAAGTGCTGATAATACACATTTTCACAATTTGTGTGACTTTTTGTTTGAAGAGAGTAATGTTTGACTTAATAATATGTAACTTAACTTTTAGCTTGTCTCTTTCGAAAAAAAAAAAAGTCGAGTTATTATGGTCACAGCTTTGTCATTATTGTCATTCTTGTGCAAAAAAATTTAATGTTGCCCATTATTCGAACAATATAAAAGTTATCCAGATGTAATTTGAAATACTTGCTTATCATGACAAGGCTCAGTTGTTAGACATAGTAAGGGAGGATAATTCTGAAAGTTATATTTTTTCGGAATTATGCCACTTTTTTAATTTAGAAATTTTTGTCAAAAGTTGGTAATTGATAGTTGATGCCTGTAAGTAATAGATAAGCATTTATACGGCATGCAGTGCTTTTTTTTTATTTATAGATATTACAATGTGGCAGAAGAAATATTTGCCAATGCACCTGTTGACCCAACATCAGATTTCACAGTACAAATGTAAGTTTTATAGTCACTAGTGCATAGGAAGATAAAGGTAAAATATTGTATTAAAATGTGATATAATCACCCAATCTTAACTTCAAACAGTAATTTTATTTAGCTATAAACTCACTAATATTTTGATTGTAGCACATCAACAAAAAATGCTGCCATACCTGATATCAAGCTAAATTATGTGTATCGCGCTGCCAATTTAATGGTCTAAATGAGCCGCGTCACGACAAAACCAACATAATGGGTTTTCGACCAGCATGGATCCAGACCAGCCTGCGCTTCCGCGCAGTCTGATCAGGATCCATGCTGTTCGCTTACAGATCCTATTACAAGTAAAGAAACTGATAGCGAACAGCATGCTCCTGATCAGAGTGCGCGGATGGCACGCTGGTCTGGATCTGTGCTGGTCGCAAACACATTATGTTGGTTTTGTCGTGACACGGCTCAAATATAGGTCGTCAGCAGTGATTTTATTGCATATTTACACACACTTGGTTCCTTCAGTACTCAATAGGGGAAAATGTGGATAACTAATTAATACAAAATCAGTTGAGTTGACAAATCTAAACCTTTACATGTTGGTGGCGATTGAATCTACCCATGCAACCAGTGTAGACAAAGATGGCACATTCATGCCAACTTAATCATGGTCTGCAATTTTCATTATTCATGCGGTTCATATTTTGAACATTTTTGCTTGATGAATGGTTTTTGTCCAGATTTAAAGATTGACAAGTCTATTTAAGATATTTAACATGGAAAAGGTTAGTCAGTTCCTTTAGTCCAATATGTTTAGCATTTCTTTTCTCCTTGACAGCAGTATACATTAAACTCCATTTATAACAATAGCGCTTAAAATGATATGACGCTTATAACGATACTGTTGCAGGAGTCCCAACTGGGTCACAACTCTTGTTTTCAGATTGGTTGCCTCTCGAATATATAATGATATCCTGATATAACAAATATGAATTCGGTGGTCCACTGAAGGTCGCTATAACTGTACACGGGCATGCTATCTACATGTATTTTACCCCCTGCATTAATAAAGGTTATTTTCACATGTTATTCCCTTAAAGACGTTATCCTGGCTTGTCTAAAATGTTCATATTTATATCCCTAATCCCTTTCCGTGGCCAAGTGATTAAGGTCATTGACTTCAAACCACTTGCCCCTCATTGCTGTGGGTTCCAATCTGGACAAGGACTTTGAATTTTTAGCTCGACTATTCGATAAGAATAAGTAGAGCTATTGCAGTCACCCGAGCGTCGGCGTCGGCATAACCACTTATGTTAAAGTTTTTGTAATAGTTCAAATATTTTCAAAGTCCATAGACATATGGCTTTGAAACTTTGCACACTTGTTCACCATCATGACCCCAACCTGTAGACAGGAGGAGGTAACTCTATCAAGCATTTTGACAGAATTATGCCCCTTTTTCGACTTAGAATTTACGTTAAAGTTTTTGTAATAGTTCAAATATTTTCAAAGTCCATTGACATATGGCTTTGAAACTTTGCACACTTGTTCACCATCATGACCCCAACCTGTAGACAGGAGGAGGTAACTCTATCAAGCATTTTGACAGAATTATGCCCCTTTTTCGACTTAGAATATACGTTAAAGTTTTTGTAATAGTTCAAATATTTTCAAAGTCCATTGACATATGGCTTTGAAACTTTGCACACTTGTTCAACATCATGACCCCAACCTGGAAACAGGAGGAGGTAACTCTATCAAGCATTTTGACAGAATTATGCCCCTTTTTAGACTTAGAATTTACGTTAAAGTTTTTGTAATAGTTCAAATATTTTCAAAGTCCATTGACATATGGCTTTGAAACTTTGCACACTTGTTCAACATCATGACCCCAACCTGTAAACAGGAGGAGGTAACTCTATCAAGCATTTTGACAGAATTATGCCCCTTTTTCGACTTAGAATATACGTTAAAGTTTTTGTAATAGTTCAAATATTTTCAAAGTCCATTGACATATGGCTTTGAAACTTTGCACACTTGTTCAACATCATGACCCCAACCTGGAAACAGGAGGAGGTAACTCTATCAAGCATTTTGACAGAATTATGCCCCTTTTTCGACTTAGAATATACGTTAAAGTTTTTGTAATAGTTCAAATATTTTCAAAGTCCATTGACATATGGCTTTGAAACTTTACACACTTGTTCACCACCATGACCCCAACCTGTAAACAGGAGGAGGTAACTCTATCAAGCATTTTTTTTACTATCAAGCACTAAGAATAGTCGAGCGTTGCTGTCCTACCGACAGCTCTTGTTTCATGTTAGAAAAGATATCCAGCATGGCTAATTCAGAACATATTTTTCCTAGCAAAATTAGGACATGGCTTATTGATAGCATAATTTTCAGGGCAAAATTTGGACATGGTTAATTCAGAGCATAATTTTTAGGGCAAAATAAGGACATGGCTAATTCAGAACATAATTTTTAGTGCAAAATAAGGACATGGCTTATAAAGAACATAATTTTCAGGGCAAAGTAAGAACATGGCTAATTCATAACATATTTTTCAGGGCAAAATTAGGACATGGTTTGCTATCAGGCGAATATTCCAAGTCAAAAGATGGCGGAGATGAAAATAATATGGTAAATACAAATTGTTTCCAATTTATACTAAATCAAATTAAAACAACAATACAAATAAAAGACTTATATATCTGTATTTTGGCACTACTGGCTGAGCAGTATCAGGTTTAATGAATGATGGACCTTTCCGGTTTTTCGTAGCGGAACATTTAGCCACACCTTTTCCATTCATTGCTAGGTCAACTGCTCACAAGCAGTTTCACAAACATAAGCAAGTGTTCTTTTGTGCAAACCAGGTCAACCGGTGACTATGTATTATCTCAATGTAGCAATTGGATAACAAGTTAGCCAATTTACATAAAACTGTAAACACTGGAAAGGTCCATTATATAGTAAATGTAATTCAAACTAGAAATAAGACATATACATGTTGAAAACCATTTAGTGAAGTGCTTTGCCTTGGGTGTTTAAAAGACTTGCAAGAATCTTAAATGAAGCATGAAACTTAACATCAGTCTCTTTTGGGACTTTTGGACTTACCAAGGCTGGTAACTCTTGCTTAGACTTTGACTGAATTCTAGCCCTTTGTGATTTTTGCTGCTGAAGGGAACATTAATCAGTTGTTGTTGTTTTTTTACAGGTATCCACAGGTATAAGACCTCAGATGTTTAAATCATTGATTGGCAAAGGTCATCCCGAGTTTTCTACCAAAAGACAACAAGATGCACAAGAGTATTTCCTGCATTTACTCTCTTTATTAGAGGTGAGGCTGGCTTAATTAGAGGGTTTGTTTGTTAATTAGCTGGGTTTGTTTTAGGTAAGACAGGTTTCTGTTTAACTGGAAATTTGCTGAAGTTTCAAAGTGGGTATTTGTGGTACTAAAGGAAGGCTGACATAACAAAATTGTCCTGTAAAAATAGACACTTGGAAAATTTAGGAGAATTATGTGTTTAAGAAAAACTTAAAATTTCAAGAAACCAGATCAATTCTGTCACTTAAGAAATTACTTTATTTGAATGGTTCTACTTTTATCATTTGAATGTATATGGTTACAATATCAAATTATATCGAAAGGTAAGAGGTTGTCATGCTTGACTTTTTTAAAGAAAAAGTTAGAGCTATTGCTACAGTCATGTTGTTGTGGCCCATGCTGATGCCTTTGCTAGCCAGAAACTTTAATGTGGGTGAGGGTGAACATGTTAAAAATTTAAGTATGACCTTGATCTGTAAATCATCTTGTCAAGGTAAAATGTGAAATGTACATAAAAGTTTTGATTTTTTTGAAAACCATGGCTACAATGTGGAAATAAAAAAATGTCTAGCATGGCCCCTGTTTGGTGATGACTCTGGTTTCTTCTTATTATTGTCATTGCTGAAAAAAAAATTACAATTTCTTTGTTATCATTATTTATTGTTGACAGTTGAAAGCTTGTGTGCATCTTCATTCACACCTTGGTAAACATTCTTCCTTGGATAAACTTGTATACATTTAATGTCACCCTCAGATGGATCTGATATTTAAATGTAATTAGTTGCTTCTATAACTGAGTGGGAGCATTGATACCAAATGAGCAGCATCATGACAAAACCAACATAAAGTGTTTGCAACCAGCATGGATCCAGACCAGCCTGCGCATCCGCGCAGTCTGATCAGGATCCATGCTGTTCGCTTACAAACCCTATAGCAAGTAGAGAAACTGATAGCGAACAGCATTGATCCTGATCAGACTGCGCAGATGCGCAGGCTGGTCTGGATCCATGCTGGGTGCAAACGCATTATGTTGGTTTTGTCGTGACGCTGCTCAAATTGAAAGCATTCTTCATTATATATAGAAAAACAATCGAGGGAAGATGAATCCAAGTGATTGTTTCAAGTTTAAAGTAGAAGAGAAAGTACAGTGTTCAGTATCAAAGAAAGTGAAATACACCGACAGAGCAGATTATCTTATTGGCTTGCCGATCTCTATGGATATGGTTACAAATAAAGGTAAAGTAACAGATTATTTTATTGTGTTGCCTTGAGGGGTTGCTTTTGATGTCATTGTTGGCATCGTCCCCTTAGGCTTGTCCAGAGCATAACTCAGTCACTTTATGTCAGATTGACTCCAAACATAGTATGCATGCTTCTTTTAATGACCCAAAGTGAAGTGCACAATAATCATTACTCTTTACTTCATGATATTTGAGTTATTGCCCTTTGTTGTCCCCCGCCTTTTCGAAGAAAAAAGGGGGATATAGTAATAGGCTCCGTCCGTCTGTCCGTCCGTCCGTCTGTCCGTCTGTCCGAGCAGACGAGAGCTACATTATGAGGTTTAGGTTTATGTACAGGCACTCTGTATGGGGTTCATTCCGTAGAGACATGTATTATGTGGTTAAAAATGCTCTTATGGGGTTAAAAAAATTTGCTCTTGTGGGGTTAAGAGATCAAAGGAATAACCCCACAAACACGTCTGCTAAGTACGGCCGTCCGTCCGTCCGTCACACTTTCGTGTCCGGTCCATAGCTTTGTCATGTATCAAAGGAATCTGAAAGTGAAATAACTTGGCACAAATGATTGTTATAATAAGACAATGTGTCATGCGCAACAACTAGACCCCTACCTCCAAGGTCAAGGTCGCAATTGCTTATTCAAGATCAACATTGTCTATTTGATGGTATATGTCGTGTCCGGTCCATAACTTTCTTATCTTTGAAGGGATTTTGTAAATACTTGCCACAATTGTTCACAACAATGAGACGATGTGTCATGATTAACAACCGGTCACCTACCTCCAAGGTCAAGGTCACACTTGGAGGTCAAATGTTAACATAGTCTATTACAGGGTATATTTTGTGTCCGGTCCATAACTTTTTCATTTATCAAAGGAATCTGAAATAACTTGGCACAAATGTTTGTTATAATAAGATGATGTGTCATGCGCATCAACCAGACCCCTACCTCAAGGGTCAAGGTCGCACTTGCTCATTCAAGGTCAACATTGTCTATTTGATGGTATATGTCGTGTCCGGTTCATAACTTTCTTATCTTTGAAGGGATTTTGTAAATACTTGCCACAATTGTTCAAAATAATGAGACGATGTGTCATGAGCAACAACCGGTCACCTACCTCCAAGCTCAAGGTCACACTTGGAGGTCAAAGATTAACATAGTCTATTACAGGGTATATTTTGTGTCCAGTCCATAACTTTTTCATTTATCAAAGAAATCTGTAATAACTTGGCACAAATGTTTGTTATAATAAGAAGATGTGTCATGCACATCAACCAGACCCCTACCTCCAGGGTCAAGGTCAAACTTGCTCATTCAAGGTCAACATTGTCTATTTGATGGTATATGTCGTGTCCGGTCCATAACTTTCTTATCTTTGAAGGGATTTTGTAAATACTTGCCACAATTGTTCACAATAATAAGACAATGTGTCATGCCCAACAACCGGTCACCTACCTCCAAGGTCACACTTAGAGGTCAAAGATTAACATAGTCTTTTACAGGGTATATTTTGTCATCGTCCCCTTAGGCTTGTCCAGAGCATAACTCAGTCACTTTATGTCAGATTGACTCCAAACATAGTATGCATGCTTCTTTTAATGACCCAAAGTGAAGTGCACAATAATCATTACTCTTTACTTCATGATATTTGAGTTATTGCCCTTTGTTGTCCCCCGCCTTTTCGAAGAAAAAAGGGGGATATAGTAATAGGCTCCGTCCGTCTGTCCGTCCGTCCGTCTGTCCGTCTGTCCGAGCAGACGAGAGCTACATTATGAGGTTTAGGTTTATGTACAGGCACTCTGTATGGGGTTCATTCCGTAGAGACATGTATTATGTGGTTAAAAATGCTCTTATGGGGTTAAAAAAATTTGCTCTTGTGGGGTTAAGAGATCAAAGGAATAACCCCACAAACACGTCTGCTAAGTACGGCCGTCCGTCCGTCCGTCACACTTTCGTGTCCGGTCCATAGCTTTGTCATGTATCAAAGGAATCTGAAATAACTTGGCACAAATGATTGTTATAATAAGACGATGTGTCATGCGCAACAACTAGACCCCTACCTCCAAGGTCAAGGTCGCAATTGCTTATTCAAGGTCAACATTGTCTATTTGATGGTATATGTCGTGTCCGGTCCATAACTTTCTTGTCTTTGAAGGGATTTTGTAAATACTTGCCACAATTGTTCACAACAATGAGACGATGTGTCATGATTAACAACCGGTCACCTACCTCCAAGGTCAAGGTCACACTTGGAGGTCAAATGTTAACATAGTCTATTACAGGGTATATTTTGTGTCCGGTCCATAACTTTTTCATTTATCAAAGGAATCTGAAATAACTTGGCACAAATGTTTGTTATAATAAGATGATGTGTCATGCGCATCAACCAGACCCCTACCTCCAGGGTCAAGGTCGCACTTGCTCATTCAAGGTCAACATTGTCTATTTGATGTTATATGTCGTGTCCGGTTCATAACTTTCTTATCTTTGAAGGGATTTTGTAAATACTTGCCACAATTGTTCAAAATAATGAGACGATGTGTCATGAGCAACAACCGGTCACCTACCTCCAAGCTCAAGGTCACACTTGGAGGTCAAAGATTAACATAGTCTATTACAGGGTATATTTTGTGTCCAGTTCATAACTTTTTCATTTATCAAAGAAATCTGTAATAACTTGGCACAAATGTTTGTTATAATAAGAAGATGTGTCATGCACAACAACCAGACCCCTACCTCCAGGGTCAAGGTCAAACTTGCTCATTCAAGGTCAACATTGTCTATTTGATGGTATATGTCGTGTCCGGTCCATAACTTTCTTATCTTTGAAGGAATTTTGTAAATACTTGCCACAATTGTTCACAATAATAAGACAATGTGTCATGCCCAACAACCGGTCACCTACCTCCAAGGTCACACTTAGAGGTCAAAGATTAACATAGTCTTTTACAGGGTATATTTTGTGTTCAGTCCATAACTTTTTCACAGATAATATAATAAAAATAATAAGACAATGTGTCTTGCGCAACACCTGCATCCCTACCTCCAAGTTTAAGGTCACACTTAGAGGTCAAAAGTTAACATAGTCTGTTTAAGGGTATATTTTGTGTCTGATCTAGAACTTCTTCAGGATTTTAAAATAACTAGGCACAAATAGTCACAATGATAAGATGATATGTCATGATTAACACATGTGTCCCTACCTCCAAGGTCAAGGTCAGACATAGAGGTCAAAGATTTACATAGTCTGTTATAGGGTATATTTTGTGTCCAGTCTGTAACCTGGGATTTTAAAAATACTTTGCACAAATAATCACAATGATCAAAATGATATGTTAGGTGCAAAACATGGGTCCCTACCTCCAAGGTCACACTTAAAGGTCAAAGATTGACATAGTCTGTTATAGGGTATATTTTGTGTCTGATCTATAACTTCTACATAGTTAAAGGGATTTTGAAAATACTTGGCACAAATAGTAATATTGATAAAACGATATGTCATGCGCAACACCTGCACCCCTACCTCCAAGGTCAAGCTCACACTTAGAGGTCAAAAGTTAACATGATAGAATTTTAAAGTTCCGCGTTTCATTGAACTAGTATTTCTTTAATAAATTTATTGTTGCATTTGCAGATCTAGCATTGATCATAATTTTGGACTGAAAGTCCTGAATTCCATACCTCAATCTTTTGAAATAGCACAATTTTATGCTTCATATAAAACTTCCCCGGGGCGGGGGACGTTGGTAACACTGTTACAAATTCTTGTTAATTTTCATATGTAAATTTTTCCCAGCCTTTTCTCATAACTATAAAAGCTATAAACTTGAAACTTTATAGGATGACAGATCTCATTAAGAAGTGAAGTGCACAAGAACCGGTACTCTGCCATTCGTATTTTTGCAGTTATTGCCCTTTGTTAATTTTCGTACTTTATTTTTGTCCATTCTGAGTATATTTATATTTCCTGTTTGAGGAGCACCATTTGATCTGACATGTAAGAATATTAAATTGTATGTATTTTCAGTTTGGACCTTAGTGAGGCCAAAAAAAATAAATAAAATAAATAACAACATCAACAACACAAGTAGCAACAAATCGAAAAAAAAAATAAAAAAAATCTTTTTTATAATTTTATTGTGTTATAAGATTGTTTTTCTTTTTATTCTATAACAGAGGCTGTTGCAGCATGGGAAGCAAGAAAAAAAGAGTTAGAAAGTCTGAAGCAAACGATGTAAGCTATATGTTTCTACTTTGTGTAAGATTTAAAAAAAACAAAACCTAAAAAAAAATATACCAGTGAAACATGATCTTAAAAAAGTGTTTGGAAAAAAAATGTATTGTTTAATTGACAGTACAGCCTCTATACAGTGTGACCTTTTGTAAAGAAGTACAGTTCAACCTCGATTACTCCACTTGTCGGGGGACTGAAAATTTAAGTTAAAGTTTCCAAATCTTGTTTTATGTCATCAGCATGTAATGACAACCACTGTAAGACAGTGATTTTTCACCGTAATTAATAGAGGCTCATAAAAGGCATCTTCCCATTTGAAATTTTCTTTAATATTGTGCAATTTTCACAAAAATCTAAACTTACCTCCCAAATTAGCAATTTTAGCGATAATTTTTCTCACCAGAGGATTTAGGCCTGTTCCCAACAAATTGAGAAAAATCACTGAAGATATTTTTTACAGCTATAAATATATGGAAAATTATATCACATTTAGTGCTACTTTCTTCAGGTCATTAGCATTTAACATACCCTAAAATGATTATTTAAATGTTAGAAAACTCATAATGTCCCTTTCTTATTGCTTTCTGAGTCATAATGTGCCTTTAATGTAAATGTATCAATGAAAAAAATCAGCAAAACTTCATTATACATTGTAATGTATCAATATTTGAACTTGTGTATGCATATTGTATCAGATGATGAATATCAATGATATGTCAATATAACGATATTCAATTACAGCCCTAAATCATAGCTCTGTTAAATTGGGACGGATATCATGAAACACCCTGTATGTATAATTTTAGTAAATTCTCCATTTTGATTAATTTCAGAGATCCTAAAGATATAGTCCGTCCAAAAATATCAATGCAAACGTGTTTAGATGCATTTGGAGCCACTGAGAGTATAGATGGTTTCTTTAGTAGTGCAATCAATGGAACATGTGTAGCAAATAAGTAAGTATCTGAAATGCTTCTAGAGTGACGGCTATCATTTTCTGATATTACAGAATGCACGCATATGTTGGAAACTTTTGTGCGTTACTGTTTGTATACAAATGAAATAGACCCCCTGACAAACGGCATTATAAATCTAAAGTACGGTGGTATTTTATACTACAGTTTTGTATGAACAATTTTATATGTAAATTAAACTTGTCTTGTATGTAGTAATGTCAGATATGGTAAGATTTCCCTATGAAGTCCAAAATAATAGTTGTAACCTTGTAATTTTAGCAAAAATAAAATGGTAATGTGAAAAATTACAGTAATAAAAAAATGAAAGAAATCTGCCATTGAGGTCGTGCATTTCATATGTTGTTGAATAATATTTATGACTCTACATGTTTTCGTTCCAGGACTACCAGACTTCTTACATTCCCAGATGTTTTAGTTGTTCAGGCAAAGAAATTTACAGTCGGAGAAGATTGGGTTCCCAAAAAATTAGGTGAATATTTACAGCCTAACCTTTAGAGTGCTTGCATCTTAGCCTGAATTTCTGAAATGGACTTGTCCAGCTTCTGTTTGTCTGTATTTTATGGAACTGTCCATTATCAATTTTTTGGGGTATGAGGATGAAAATCTAAAGTTCATTAGCTCACAGTATAGAGCCTAGTCAACTTAGGCTTACATTTGTAACACCGGTGGTCCTACACAGGTGCCAACTTGATGTCTGAAATTTATCAAAGTGGCAATATGGCCTTGACTCTCATACTGTTATCATCCAGCTTGAAGAAGAGAGGGTATTTATACGTGTATTAATTAACTTTTACAGATGTGTCAATAGATGTTATGGAAGAATTAGACCTGTCACCACTCAGAGGTCACGGCCTCCAGCCCGGAGAAGAGGAACTCCCTGAAGCCCAGGACCAGCAAGCACAAGGTACTTGTATCCACTTAAAAATCAATTCCATGTAAATATATAGGGAATTTCTTTGTAACTCTTTTAATGTGAACAGAAGAAGTAAATATAATGGGAATTTCTTTGTAAAAAAGTCTGTTGCAGACATGTAAAAGTGTGAAAACTAATACAGAAGAACTGTGGTAAGTCGAAGTTGCAGGGACTTTGGTAAAAGCTTTGACACATCGGGACTTTGACTCCTGAATTGATCGCAGTTTCATAAAAAGAAAATTAAAGTCCTTGATGTTTAGAAGAGAGTTACAAAAGGCGTAACAAAAGGAAAGGGCGATAACTAAACCAGCTTATAGCAAAAATATCCTGTGTGATCATCACTTGCCACCGGGTCACGGAAGTTCTCAAATGAAACTAATTTGAACTGTTTCAAATGCAACTATGGCAATTTGAATGATAATAAAAGAGCATATTATCCCACATTTGAACGCATACATAGGCTGTTAGAACATACAGCTGTGTATTTAACACCTGTCACACATCATCTTCGCGGCCTGAAAAGGTTTGAAAAATGTCTCAAGATCGAAGGTGTCAAAATAATCAGAGGACTATATGACTTATTTATGGTTAATTGTAGTGGATTTATTCTATATGTACCATGAAAAAACATTGGCACATCGAAAACTTCGACACATAAAATGTCAACTCATATATAGGTTTTTATAAAGAATATATAGGGGGGAAAACTGACTTTCATTTTATTACAACATATCAAGAAAATTGACTAATCAAAGTTCAACTCATAAAAGTTCTTCTGTATTTGAATTTCAGTTCAAAACTTTTGTTCCTTTTCCAATTTCAGTTCAAATAGATGAGGCAACTGTTTCCCAGCTTGTTGATATGGGATTTCCTATAGAAGGTTGTAAGAAAGCAGTTTATCATACTGGTAATGCAGGTGTGGAACCAGCCATGAACTGGGTTATGGAACATATGGAAGATGCAGGTACGCTTATCATTATGATCAGTATGTTTTAAGGGCAAATATAGCCTTTTCTGGAAGATATCTGGTATAAATTTGTATAACCCTTTCCCTCATGAACATATTGTGAAAAATGGCTGTTTTCATTGAAAAGCCTCCTGTTACAAGTTCAAACTGCTATGAAACTATGAAAAATGCTTCAATACTAATCAAACTTGGCACAAATGTTGACTGGACCATTTCCTTTGTAACGACATGCTCAGTCTTAAATTTCCTGTTACCATGGCAACGAGGGGACATCTCAAAATTGCCAAAAATCGCTATTTTGCCTTGAGTTTTTCCATCAAAATTTATTTCGAAGTGCTGCAACTTAAGGGATTGAGATAGAGTCAAACGCTTTTCAGCGATCGTTACACGTTTCCTTATGATCGACCTGGGGTCATTTTTTAGCCCCTCACAAGTTAAAATTTTTCTTGGCAATGAGGGGACTACCACCCCCCTTCAAACCCCCCAAACAGAAGGGGTCACATCCCCCTTCTGGCAACCCCCTGATGTATCTTCTAGATGGGGGGCGACGCCGAAAAAGTGTTCACTTTTTTTAGCAACATTTCTGAAACGAAAACGTGTTTTGGGCCCAAATAGGACATTTTTTCACTATATGAGGCCTAAAAGAGGGGGGGTCAAAAGTGCGTTGTTTCGCGTATATATTAGGTAAAGGGTTAAAAGGAGCTAAATGAGTTTTAAGCTTGCCCAGATTTAGTTTTTTTTTAGAGCATTTAGTGGCTGGTTGGTCCTTCAATTATGCCTTTAATATGTCATTAAATCTTTGCTTCATTTAGTCCTTTTCCTTCATTTAATCGTTTGGTCAAAATTATTTACTTTTTCTCAATTGACTGGTAACTTCGATAATTTGTTTGTTAATACCTGTCAAGGGCTTGTACATCCTGACAGAGTTTTTTTCATTGATTTCATCAAGGTTATGATTAACTTTGGATGAAAATATATTTTCCTACATTTCTTTTAATTCTTTGAAATATAGAATTTGAAAATCTAACTTGGATCAACTCTGGTACTTAGAGCATAAACTACATTGTATGTCTGTGCTGACGAGTTAATACCTGAACTACCTCTGTAACAATAAGCTAAACCTTAACCAGCTTAATTTGTATAATGGATTTACCTAGATTTGAATATGGAACAGTCCAATCTAACTGAAATTGATTTCAATATTATAAAGCAAAAATTAAGCTGCCAGCTGTATAGAGCCTGACCTGGCTCTAAACTAGTGGCAAAAAGGATTATTACTTTTGGTTTCTCCCCCTTTACTTGTGGCTGAGGGGTTGCCTTTAAGGGTAGAGGCATCAGAATTGCAGCCATCTTTCGTCCTAAATGGGTTTTAATTACTGGACTCTATGCATCTCTTAACTCCAGCAGGTGAGGTGGTTCTGACCGCTGGTGTTGTTTCAAGTTTGTAACAGCGGAGGTTAGCCAAAATCATTTTCCCTGCATTGTGTTGGCGTGCCGTAAAAACAAAAAAACAAACTTTTGGTTTTAGCATGTTAAGAGTAAAGGACATTTGAATTTGCATTAAATTCAAATACAAAAGTATTGTAAAAATACATGTAGTTTGAAAATACTTTCAGGTAAAAAAATATTTTCAGATACACTATAGGCTGGTCTGTTTGGAAAAAAAAGTCGAGCTATTACAATTGCTGCAGCGTTGTCTTTGTGTAGTGCAATAACTTTAATGTAGCCCATTATTTAAATAATCAAAAAGTTATCATCATGAAACTTTAGCAGTGCTTGAGGTGCTCTTGTTTTCAGAAATTGAAAAAAAGGTGCTCTTGTTTTCTTTTTACAGTTACATTTTTGTTACCATTTGTGCTGATATTTCCCTTTCAGATTTTGGTATGCCATTTGAAATCCCTGGTGCAAAGAAATCCTCATCATTTACACCTAATGAGGAAGCTCTCATGATGTTGATGTCCATGGGCTTTAATCGAGATCAAGCTACAAAAGCTCTTAAAGCCACAGTAAGTATGTCCGTACAAACTCAAGTTACATTATTGGATGAATATATGCCACCTTGATGCTACTTTAAAACAATTTCAAACAATGCATTTGCTTCTGTGATTTGATAGTGATGAAAGAAAGTTTTATTTTGCAATCCTGAAATAGGGTAACAAATATAATAAAGATTAAGTTTCATGTTGTCACCTTAGTGCAATATCTTGTTAATGCCTATTATATTTAGAAGGACTAAACCTATTACTGTACTAAGGCAATATGTTGTCAATCATGCTTAATACAGAAATACAAGGAATGAAATATTTTATTTCTAGGAGAACAATTTAGAAAGAGCCGCTGAATGGATATTTAGCCACGCTAGCGAGTTAGACACACCAATGGAAACAGATGAACAAGCAGCCCCGGGCAAAGAATATAGGGACGGTAGTGGGAGTGAGTATAATATTTTAATATAGAAAATATTTTTATATTTAAATGTTTGCCTATTTTAAACCAATTTGCCATCAATTAAGTAGTCACTGCCATTGTAACTGAAAGTTTATAAATTAGAAAAAGCCTGTATGTATGAAAATATGAAAATTGTCTTTTGTTAAAGAAAAAGTATTTTCGACCTTTCTAGTTTTCCTACTTTTCTGTCATTGGAAGACAATATTGTAAAGATGTAAGATGTGAAATATTCAAGTTATCCTAAGAAATAGGCTAATTGGTCATTTACTGTTGACATATTTAAAAGAACTTCCCCAAGGTTTTAGACATGACAGGCGAGTCTGGTCTGGAAAAGTTTTTTGAGATTTACGAGTATATACCATTTAAAGAAGGGCTGGACTTATAACTGGTGTTTAAAATTTCAATTTTCAGGTCATTATCAGACTTCATTTTTCCTGAATAATCATTTGAATTGTAAAAAATGACCCAAAAAAAAAACGATCTTGATAAGAATCACACAGGAATACAATTTTAATTTGATTATTTGTAAATCGCTTTATTACCTTTTGCATATCATTGAGTGCCCCAGTTGGTTCAAATTTTATGTTTTAAGACAACTGGACAGATACAAGACAAAAGTAAATACGTGTTTTATTGTAAAAATTTACCTTTTTTAGGGGGGGGGGGGCGAAATGGGGGTTGGCTTTTATTAAACTGAAAAATGTGAGGGAAAAACACTCATATACAGTCAAACATGTGAACAAAGGCCAGCTAGGGGAGATTAATGGCCATTAAAGACAATTGGTCTTTATACGGGTGAAACTATGTTCTATATAATCAGTTGACAAAATGGTCTTTATATACAGTTTGATGTTTATTCAGAGGTGGTCTTTAACAAAGGGTTTGACTGTATGACATTTTAACATGCTCAAATAGAAAGACCGTTGAGATAGGCAGATAAAGAAAACACTACTAAACCAATACTGTTCATGCATTTCTCTGCATATCTATTCCTCCATGCAATTCTCTGTGTAACTATACCTGTTATGTCCTATATTTTTACAGAGTACAAGCTTGTAGCCTTTATCAGTCACATGGGAACGTCTACAATGGTTGGACATTACGTCTGTCATATATTAAAGGAAGGCCGATGGGTGATTTTCAACGACGAGAAGGTCGCACTCTCTGAACATCCTCCAATGGATCTTGCCTATCTTTATATATACAAAAGGGTGTAAAATTATATAATAATAATAGTAAATTATTTCACAAGGACAACCTACAACTGCCAGAACTAAAAACAATGTGTACATTTATATAAGGGCAAGCAAGAAAAATGTTCTTTTCTTTCTTTGACTGACCCTTTCATTTTAGTAAGCATTCAGCTTGTTTACTTAAGCAAATTGAAAATTTTTAGATTTCATTCTGAACAAACAAGACATAGAAAAGTCAAATTATCAACTATGAAAGTTTTAATTCTATGTATTAGTGAAAAATGATTTTTTTCTCTTAAAGGGAGATAAGTATGTTAAGTGCTAGGTGGCAGCACTAAGGAGTTGTCAAATAGATTATGTCATTGTTGTTGAATTTTATTTAAATTTTTTTCTTCAGATCCTTCAGGATCATATATTTAAATATTTTATAATTGTTAATGATCAAACTGCTTCTCAATATCAAGGCAAGTCAGTGCTGGGGGGGGGGGGAGCAGAGGAGGTGGGGGGGGGGCATATGATCGATGCTGCACTTGATGTTATATCACATGAAACAGACTGTATAAATATATATAAATGTCTCTCTTTGTAAATATTAGATAAAACATGTTTTGGCTTCTTACAAAGTAGATATGTTATGTTTAAACTCCTACACACTAAAATGACTATAGATGATCACAATATGAATATATAGTGTCATTTAAAAAAAAATACTGGCTGTTTTTTGTTGTTTTTTTTAATAAAAAAAACCCCAATTTTTCTTGACCTATAATAGAGAACGCAGCTTCCTTACATTAGTTTATTCATTCTTTTATCAAAAATTAGACCTATTATGTAAGAATTAGATTTCCATAAATTTCTGTGATTAAAACATTTTATTCAAGGATGAGCATAGTATGTCTTAAGGCAGCAGCCTTTTACCATAATTTGTTTGTGAATGAATTTGAATAATTTATGTTCTTACAATGAATTTTATTAATTCATTTAAAATGTTAATTATTGTTTAAGAAAGTCTTCTGTGAATGATATTTGTTTGGGTTTTTTTTTTAATGAAAGAGGATAAAAAATTGGATAAATAATCTTCCCCAATTGTTCTTTCAAGCTTACAGCTTTTTCTGCTTTATATACCTTAAATCTCACATATTTGACATATAAAGCAAAAAAATAAAATAATGTTTTGTTATATCTAATATTATGTATGAAGGAGCTTTTCTGTTCTAGTTATATCTAATGATTGCAGGGACTCTTCTTAGGGTTGGTTACGTCTAATATAATGATTGCAGGGGCTCCTAGGGGTTGGTTATATCTTATATTGTGAATGAAGGGGCTATTCAGTTCTGGTTATGTTTAATTTAATGATTGCGGGGGCTCTTTGGGTCTGGTTATGTGACCATGTCTGATATAATGTATAGAAGGGCTCCTTGGGGTTGGTTGTGCGGGCTCTTCAGGTTTGGTTACAATATAATTATGCCCCCACTTCAAAGAAGAGGGGGTATATTGCTTTGCACTTGTCGGTCCGTCGGTCTGTAGACCAAATGGTTCCCAAGTGATAACTAAAGAACCCTTAGGCCTAGAAACTTCAAACTTGGTATGGTGATTGGTCATGATCAGTAGATGACCCCTATTGATTTTGGGGTCAAGGGGTCAAAGGTCAAGGTCACATTGACCTCTTAGGTAAACGGTTTCCGATCAATAACTAAAGAACCCTTAGGCCTAGGGACTTCAAACTTGATATGGTGATTGGTCATGATCAGTAGATGACACCTATTGATTTTAGGGTCAAGAGGTCAAAGGTCAAGGTCATATTGACCTCTTACGTAAAAACAGTTTCCGATCAATAAGTAAAGAACCCTTAGGCCTAGGAACTTCAAACTTGGTATGGTGTTTGGTCATGACCAGCAAATGACCCCTATTGATTTTGGGGTTAAGGGGTCAAAGGTCAAGGTCACATTGACCTTGTAGGTAAAAATGGTTTCCGATCAATAACTTAAGAACCCTTAGGCCTAGGAACTTCAAACTTGGTATGGTGATAGGTCATGACCAGCAGATGACCCCTATAGATTTTGGGATCAAGGGGTCAAAGGTCAAGGTCACATTGACCTTGTAAGTAAAAACGGTTTCCGATCAATAAATTAAAAACGCTTAGGCCTAGGAACTTCAAACTTTGTATGATGATTGGTCTTGACCAGCAGATGACCCCTATTGATTTTGGGTCAAGGGGTCAAAGGTCAAGGTCACATTGACCTTGTAAGTAAAAAGGTTTCTGATCAATAACTAAAGAACGCTTCGGCCTAGGAACTTCAAACTTGGCATGGTGATTGGTCATAACCAGCAGATGACCCCTATTGATTTTGGGGTCAAGGGGTCAAAGGTCAAGGTCACATTGACCTTGTAGGTAAAAACGGTTTCCGATCAATAACTTAAGAACGCTTAGGCCTAGAAACTTCAAACTTGGTATGATGATTGGTCATGACCAGCAGATGACTCATATGTACTATTGATTTTTGGGTCAAGGTGTCAAAGGTCAAGGTCACATTGACCTTGTAGGTAAAAACGGTTTCCAATCAATAACTAAAGAACGCTTAGGCCTAGAAACTTCAAACTTGGTATGATGATTGGTCATGGCCAGCAGATGACCCCTAATGATTTTGGGGTCAAGGGGTCCAAGGCCAAGGTCACAATGACCTTGTAGGTAAAAATGGTTTTCGATCAATAACTAAAGAATGCTAAGGCCTAGGAACTTCAAACTTGGTATGATGATTGGTCATGACCAGTAGATGACCCCTATTGATTTTGGGGTCAAGGTCATATTGACCTTGTACTTAATGACGGTTTCTGACCAGTAACTCAACAACTCAAGTTGCCTTGGTTGATATTTTTATATTAAACTCAAAATGCTTTTGGTATACACATTTGAAGGTCTTATGTAATATAACAACTTGGCTGTCATTAATGAGGCCTACATGATTCATAAAATTTATGCATATATTATTTGGTAAGATTTGTAATAACTTAAATTGCTTCACACAACCTATGGGGTCACAATTATTATTACCTTGTGACTAGTCATGACCAGTAGATACTAGATAACTGATAACCTTTATTAATTGTTTGTTCACTGGGTCAGAAGTCATGCATAATAACCTGATCACATGACTAATTGGCTGCTGATAGGGGGCATACATGTTTTACAAACATATCTTGTTTCTAATATAATGTACAAAGCAGCTTTCCGGGTCTGGTTATGTCTAATAATTATATAATGTATGAAGGGGCTCCTAGGGTCTGGTTATTTCTTATAGTAAGATATAAAGGAGCACATCCAGTTTGGTTATGTCAAATATAATTTATAAAAGGGCTCGTCTAGTTTGGTTATGTCAAATATTATGTATGCAGGTGCTCTTTGGGTCATCTGCATACAATACAAAAGTGGCAATATTGATTGAAATAGTGTGTTGTGAAGGTATTGTAAAAAAATAAATGAATATTAGGTCCATGGGATTCAAGTTGATAATCTTTAGGCATAGGCTCTTTTGCTTTAGAAATTCCTGAAACTGGAAAGTCAATATCTTGTAGATGTCTAAAATTTGAAGTTATGTGTTTATGAATAGTATTTCACTTATTTGATTATTAAGGAATGTGATGTCAGAATTACTTTCATAGTTAATTGGTTTAAATAGAAATATGATAAGAAAAAAATATAAAAGAATGTTCATTGTTACAGGGTTTTAAACCTTATGAACTGTGTTCTTCACTTTCGTACATCAGATATAAATGAAGGAAAATGTATGTGTGAAGTAATTTTTGTGAGCAGTTTACTTGGATACATGTTTTCAAGGATTTTATTTCCATGTTTGCTAATAGTTGGTGCATTTGTATTATTGTCATGTATTTTTATGAGTCAAAATGTTGATTAAAAGCCTTCAGTTCAATAAATATAAGTGCTATCACTTTGTTATTATATATGTGTATGCTCCTTAGAAAAAATTTGGGGAGCAAATAGTCACTGTTTAGACCTTTTCATAAACAAACAAATATGTCATACCAGGCTTTTGTAAGGAAATGAAGAAATTGAAGTACTTTAAATCATTTTATTGCACATAGTTTTAATAATTAATATACATATACAATAATCAACAAATAAGACAAAATCTTCAACATTATTTTTGTTAATAAACACTAAAGTAATAATGATTAACATAAAAAATTTCTTTTTTAAAATCCATTTTCATAAATCATCATGTTAAAATAAGGTACAAACAACAACTCTGATTAGAGATTAATAAAATTTGGCAGATTCACTTGGAACACTTTGCTGATAGGTTGAACACTGCCAATTCACTTAATATATAGATAGAACAGTACTATTTAAATATCTTTTATGCTTGTTATCAAATCATAACAGCCCTACATGTCATAGGAAGCACCTCATTTCATATTAAGAGCTATCAAAGAAAAAAAGCTGGAGTTGCCACAGGGCCGACTAATACCCAGACAATCTCTATGGCAGGATTTTATGTATGTCCTTTGAAGATTATTAACATTTTAGCTATAGGAGACTCCTTCAAGGGGTAAACAATTTATAGTGCTGACATAAAATTGTCTTGAGCTTAGCCATGAGATGGCACAAGGACATACTTTTTGCACATCATCTTGTTGAGATGAACATTTGAACCAAGTTATGCAAGGTTTTATTACTTTGTGTGTGTTTGGGTTTGTTTACCCTTAACACCGGAAAAATACCACATGGGCGAGCATATATATTACTTACTTCACAGTTCTCTCCCCTTATATATTATCACTTTTAGGAGAGAAAATAAAGATTCAATCAAATAATCATATTTTAGTTTAGCAACAGTTCCCTCCATTCATACACTATATTTTATTTAAGTAACAGTTCCCTCCTCTTATACACTCCATATTTTAGTTAATTAATAGTTCCTTCCCCTTACAACCTATATATTAAATTACAAGAAAATAATTTAACATCTATTTCACAGATTTTTGTCCTCTTCTACTGTAAAATATTCTTTAAAATAATCTTCATCTTAAAAGATATCATTTTTTTTTTTTAACAAACAAAAATCACAGAAAATAATATTACTAAAGTTCATATTGCAATGTATAATGTTAAATATTTCAAACTCATCCTTTTAGACAAGTCAAACACAACCATCTTACAAAACACATGCATACAGATTTTCCATGCACTCGTACACACTGGATCTCAGATGATGACAAGAAGATCCATCCTTTACCAGTTAGCCTAGTGGTGGCAACAGTCTACCCAGGTGACCAGTGCAGACCCAGGATCAGACGGCACATTCCTGCCATCTTATCAAGGTCCGTACTTTTCACTAATCAGTCACTACATATACTGAAATTTACCCTAAAAATAATGAATGGTTTTGTCAAGACTGAAAGATAGACAAGTCCATTTATTATGCTATTAAGCGTAGACAGGGTTATACTTTAAAGCAACACACCTTTAGACAAGCAAGCAATGTTTAGAGAGTATCTGAAGGTGAGCTACTTTAAAATGTCTTTATCTGATTTTAAGTTTTAAAACATTTTTTTTCAGTTCTTGACAAATCAAAAATTTTGTTCTAAGTCTAACCCTAATAATATTTCCAATTTTCTTTGATCAAGTGCATATCACAATTTTCACAAATGGTAAGTTCTTGGAATTTTTTGTTCTTTTTGACATCATGTTGCAGCTAAAGTTGTTTCTTTTCTTTCTTTTTTTGAAAATCACAAAAGGTCATTTACTTCCAGACTTTAACTACACCATTTCTTGAGGCAGTCAACACCAAACATTGGGACGCTTGACATAGATTAACATCTGTAATAATGTCATTATGACCCTGGGGCGGAGTATCTGGTCCCCGTCGTGGAATGTCTTCACTGCTCGTCTGTTTCTTGGAATACGTCTCCTCGATCACCTCAGTACCTTCTATAATTCGAGACCTACAAATGTGGGATGAAATACTATATTAAAACCTTTAAAGTTTGTCAAAATGAAACAGGCAGACTATAACTAAAGCATTTCAAAAATTGTATAATAACTAAGTTTTTCATACATTCCTGATCATATGGAGAAAGTTTAAGCAAAAAGGATATCTAATTCTCTAACTTGCATGGATTATGTATGAAAACGGACTAAAATGTTCTAAAACAAAATATTCAGCTGCTTAATACAGTATACATACATGTATAAATATGTAAACTAAACCAAGAGGGCCATGATGGCCCTAGATCGCTAACCTGACCATCAAACTCATCCGAACAATTACCTAGACAAGCATTCTAACCAAGTTTCATGACAGGTGAGTCAAAAATGTGACCACTAGTGTTAACAAGGATTTTCCATATTTGAGCAGTGTGACCTTGTTTTTACCCAGGTGACCCATATTCGAACTTGACCAAGAAATCATCAAAACAAACTTTCAGACCAATTTCCAGGATATTTGGATCAAAACAGTAGCCACTAGAGTGTTAACAAGATTTTTCTATTTTTAGCTCTGGTGACCTAGTTTTTCATCGGTGATGATGCATGTTCGAACTCATCCGAGCAATTACCTAGACAAGCATCCTGACCAAGTTTGATGATAATTGTGTCGAAAATGTGACCAAAAGAGTGTTAACAAAGTTTTTCCTTATTTAGGCGGTGTGACCTAGTTTTTCATCCAAGATGACCCATGTTCGAACTTGACCTAGAAATCATCAAAAACAAAGTTTCAGACCAATTTACAGGATATTTGGATCAAAACAGTAGCCACTCGAGTGTTAAGTAGTTTTTCTATTTTTAGCTCCTGTGACCTAGTTTTTCATCAGAGATGACCCATGTTCGAACTCATCCAAGCAATTATGTTGACAAGCATCCTGACCAAGTTTGATTACACTTGAGTCAAAAATGTGACCACTACAGTGTTAACAAGGTTTTTTTATTTTAGCTCCTGTGACCTAGTTTTTCATCTGAGATGACCCATGTTCGAACTCATCAAGCTATCACCTAGACAAGCACCTTGACCAAGTTTGATGATGATTGAATCAAAAATGTGACCACTAGAGTGTTAACAAGGTTTGTCTATTTTTAGCTCTGGTGACCTACTTTTTCATCCAGGATGACCCATGTTCGAAGTCATCGGAGCTATCACCTAGACAAGCATCCTGACCAAGTTTGATGATGATTGAGGCAAAAATGTGATCACTAGAGTGTTAACAAGGTTTTTCTATTTTTAGTTCCGGTGACCTAGTTTTTCATCCAAAATGACCCTTGTTTGAACTCATCCGAGCTATTACCTAGACAAGAATCCTGACCAAGTTTGATGATTGAGGCAAAAATGTGACCACTAGAGTGTTAACAAGGTTTTTCTATTTTTAGCTCCCGTGACCTAGTTTTTCATCCAAGATGACCTATGTTCGAACTCATCCAAGCTATCAACTAGATAAGCATCCTGGCAAAGTTTGATGATGATTGAGGCAAACATGTGACCGCCAGAGTGTTAACAAACAGCAAGCTCAGGTGAGCTAAAAAAGCCCAATGTAGCTTTATACTCTTTAAATCCCTTTGAACAGTAATGTCCTAAAACAAACATCGAATTTCATGAAATCTTGTAACACTTTAACATTTCACCTGCTGTATTTGTGCAATGGAATAACCTTGAATTCGTCCAGTACAAATGATGTTTATGTTTTTAACTTTCAAGTGAAATTTCTCAAAGGTAAATAAGGAATGAAGGTACGTTCAAAACCTTAACTGAAGAGTTATGTGGACAACAATGCCAGCACCACAAATGGTGACTAAGATATCGTGTCCTACTCTTCCAATTGTTAAGCTACAAATAGAATAAAAACTGTCAAACAGTACCTGTAACTAACAGCAGTTTGTTGAGTGAGGTCGCCAGCTGCATTCGCCATGATGAAAGAGTTGGCTGGATAACTGAGATCCCAGTATCGTACTCTCATGTCTGACCCTCCAGTCAACAGAAAGCTGTTACTGTCTGTAACACCTACATGCATACCATAAATAGCATGTGGGCTTTCCTGTAAAAAATCATAAAAAAATAAGAAAAAAAAATATAAACAACTGTCAAAATGACACATATGCCCCCACCACTATTTTCTTTTTTATACAGGGCAAATATGAGTTTTATTAAATTCAGAGCAAGTTACCTGTTTATCACTTGAAGGAAGGATTGATGAGTGTGAAAATGTCTGTCACAAAAGTAGCAATATGTAAACAAAGTAGTATCTTGACTACCATACAAAATACTAACATAATTACTAATTAACAAAAGAGACAAGAAGCAAAAGATACGGTTCAGGTAATTGGCCAATTTAAGTAACTTTTCGGGAAACTATAACACTATACCAACAATGAAAAGGTTTTAAGAAATACAATAAAAGCATTCCTGGGGCATAATGGGCCTTTAAGATTGTAACCTTGAATCAGTGTCTTATTCTTAACATCAAACCTGTTTTACTTCTCATACGGGATTATCCAGCTTCCAATTTTAGGGATAGTTCATTATCAAATTTTGAAATATCAAGATGTAAACCTTGAGGTCAAGTTGGATTGCATGAAGGGGTATATATTGGTAACAAAGGCTCTTCTAAGTTAGAAAATTAAAATGTTGAAGTTAAAATCATATCTTGAATATCACTTTTTGTGAGTTAGAGAATTTTAATGTTGTGCTTTGTGAATAGCATACACAAAATACATGAATCTTATGCAATTGTACAACAAGCTTTGGCTTGGCTGACAGAACAAAATATTCAATCTTTAAAAAGAATAATTAAAAAAAGAACTTCTCTGAAATTTGTACCTGGGTCTTAGACAAGGTTGGCACAGAACTTGCCCAGAGTGCCTTTCTACGTGCAGCTGTTTCTATATCCCACATCGAGATCTCATTGTTCCCTTGTACCGCCGATATGATCCACGATTGTTCCTTTGGATGAGCTAGAGTCTTCGTACACGAGACCCTGTAAATGATGAATAATTGTTATATTTTATTCAAATTCATGTGGTATAAGGGCGTCCCAAGCCGAATGGTTAAGGCAGCTGACTTCAAACCACTTGCACCTCACTGCTGCAGGTTCGAATCCTGACATAGACTTTGGATTCTTTTGAGTGAGGAAGCTATCCAGATAGGTGGTTCTACTCGGGTACCTGAGGTCTTCCTCCACAAGTAAAACTGGAAAGTCTCCTATACTGTGTTGGTGCCATGTAATGCCAGTCAAAACTAGAAATGTGTCCATAGGACACTGATGCCCCCACACGCCACTGTTCTGTCAATCTTATGACTCTAGGTCAAATATTTTTTGGACTACATGTGCCACAAGTTGAAACTAAAAATCAACAAAGAGCCATAATTCTGTTAAATTTGTTCGCAGCAAAAATTCCTTCCTTTACTACCATCTACACATTAAGGTTGTTAATCCCTGGAAGTTTAAGCAAAATCTGCCATCCGGTTTAAGAGGAGTTGCGTTCACAAAATTTCTACATAGTAATTAATGAAAAAATCAACAAAGGGCCATAATTCTGTTAAATTTGGTTGCAGCAAAAATTCCTTCCTTTACTGCCATCAACACATTAAGGTTGTTCATCCCTGGAAGTTTAAGCAAAATCTGCCATCCAGTTTAAGAGGAGTTGCATTCACAAAATTTCTACATAGTAATTAATGAAAAAATCAACAAAGGGCCATAATTCTTTTAAATTTGGTCGCAGCAAAAATTCCTTCCTTTACTGCCATCTACACATTAAGGCTGTTCATCCCTGTAAGTTAGAGCAAAATCTGCCATCCGGTTTAAGAGGAGTTGCGTTCACAAAATTTCTACATAGTATATAGTGAAAAAATCAACAAAGGGCCATAATTCTGTTAAATTTGGTCGCAGCAAAAATTCCTTCCTTTACTACCATCTACACATTAAGGTTGTTCATCCCTGTAAGTTTAAGCAAAATCTGCCATCCGGTTTAAGAGGAGTTGCGTTCACAAAATTTCTACATAGTAGCTAGTGAAAAAATCAACAAAGGGCCATAATTCTGTTAAATTTGGTTGCAGCAAAAATTCCTTCCTTTACTACCATCAACACATTAAGGTTGTTCATCCCTGGAAGTTTAAGCAAAATCTGCCATCCGGTTTAAGAGGAGTTGCATTCACAAAATTTCTACATAGTATATAGTGAAAAAATCAACAAAGGGCAATAATTCTTTTAAATTTGGTCGCAGCAAAAATTCCTTCCTTTACTACCATCTACACATTAAGGTTGTTCATCCCTGTAAGTTAGAGCAAAATCTGCCATCCGGTTTAAGAGGAGTTGCGTTCACAAAATTTCTACATAGTATATAGTGAAAAAATCAACAAAGGGCCATAATTCTGTTAAATTTGGCCGCAGCAAAAATTCCTTCCTTTACTACCATCTACACATTAAGGTTGTTCATCCCTGTAAGTTAGAGCAAAATCTGCCATCCGGTTTAAGAGGAGTTGCGTTCACAAAATTTCTACATAGTAGCTAGTGAAAAAATCAACAAAGGGCCATAATTCTGTTAAATTTGGTCGCAGCAAAAATTCCTTCCTTTACTACCATCTACACATTAAGGTTGTTCATCCCTGTAAGTTTAAGCAAAATCTGACATCCGGTTTAAGAGGAGTTGCGTTCACAAGATTTCGGGACGTACGGACGGACGGACTGACAGACTGACGGACGGACAAGTGCAACGCTATATGCTCCCACATTGTGGGGGCATAAAAATTGCAATACATTCATGTAGTCAAAAATAATCACCGTACTTTAATAAATCACTCTGAAGATTGTCTGGGGTCATGTTAGGAAAAAAAAGAGAAAACTAATGAAAGAACTGGTACAGCAGTGTTTACTGAGGGCATGTGGGATAACAAAACCTCAGCATAATAAAAGTTTAACAAATATTGCTTTAAAATATGACTTTCCAGCTGTTTTAGTACCTACTGGATGACACATACATATATATAATTCTCTCATTTCTACACAATGTATGTTATATAGCTTATGCCTCTAGATAACATAATTATACAAATATATGAGCCGTGTTATGACAAAACCAAGATAGTGCAATTGCGACCAGCATGGATCCAGACCAGCCTGCACATCCGCGCAGTCTGATCAGGATCCATGCTGTTAGCTTACCAACTCTATTACAAGTAGAGAAACTGATAGCGAACAGCATGGATCCTGATCAGACTGTGGGGATGCGCAGGCTGATCTGGATCCATGCTGGTCGCAAACCCATTATGTTGGTTTTGTCATGACGCGGCTCAAATAGATGTAATACAGTTATTACCTGCTGGGTGACATATAGATGTTATAGGAAGTTGAAACCTCAGGTCCCAGCATATATGAGTACCACTGCTTGTACCAACACCAAGCCAGCATTGTGATTGGTGTATGGCAAATGAAGTGATTAGTCCTGCAAATACAAAACTTTATATGAAACACAGTTTATGTTCAAACACACGTTTATGCACTTGAGTTCATGAATCTAAATACCTAAATTGATAATAATAATAAAATCATCCCTATTTAACAGTGGCTCTTTCACATTTTGGTGATCTGTATAAAGGAGAGCCCTCAACACTTTTGTTGTTGAGCCATCAACCAAAACAAAGCTGAAACAGGTAAACACAGTTTCTAAAAATATACGTCTTAAAAAAAGAATGTTTGTTTTTCAAAAATCAAAGAATGCTATGCCATGTAGAATATTTTTATCCTCATTTGGGATGCAATTTCCATTTTACTGCACAAAAGATCAGTAATCTGGACTTTGACTTTGGCACCAAGTTCAGTAGAACAGCTCTCCATATACTTTGAAACTAAGAAAATGTAAACAAAAATCAAAAGTAAGAAAGGGGATCAAAGCACCTACCAGTTTTTGGATCGTTTTTCAGGACCCAGGCAAGATCTGGTGATCTCAAATCCCAGCCTACAAGATGACCGTTGACTGTAGCATATGCTAGCACCGACTGATGACCTGTCCAAAACCAAAGAGTAAGAGTATCATAATAAAAACAACAGTAAATTATGTAAATTTATAATTTGAAGGTTGACTGCAAAACTACAGTAACTTATATCATGATATAAAGAAGGATTTTATAACAGTTTTGCAGTCAACCCTTAATTTGATAGACTGAAAAAATGTAAATAACTTACTCCTGAACTTCCTTGTTGTTTTTTTATTCTTTTATTTGGGTGGGTAGGGGTTGAGAGAGAGAGTTGGGGGGGGGGGGGGGGGGGAAAGATGGTATTGATTCAAAATTTGTTTTTGAGGTTTCTGCAAAACATACATTATTGTAATTCTCCATCTAAGTAGAGATTTAGTATTGTGGACAATAAGCATTCATAATTTATATTCAATTCCAGCAATTTTTAAAAACATACACGTAAAATAAACATTACTGATATACAAATTACAGCTGTAGTTGCAATTCAGTAATGCAAAAAATTATATCTGAGAAACATTAATAGTATGCATAATATCTAAATAATAGGTTAATAATAAGTGAAATATCTAAATAGGAAATGAAGAAATACAGATTTACCCGTATCAAAATGAGCCATATCAACAACATGGCCTTGACTTTGTATGTTAACTGTATGGCTGTCCAACAAACCCGCTTTTCCTGACTCCAGTCTGTACGTAACACGTGTAAAGAAAAAAAAATCTTTTACAAACAGCTATAAGAATCCTCTTTAGATAGTTATTTAATGTCCTGAGGCACCTTAATAAGACACCTTAATAAGGCACCTTAATAAGACACCTTAATGAGGCACCTTACCTTAATAAGGCACCTTAATGAGGCACCTTAATAAGACACCTTAATAAGGCACCTTAATGAGGCACCTTATTGAGGCATCTTAATGGATTTGTTTTTATTTTATGTATTACAATTTAATATACAGTAAAAATCTGAGGTATACAGTAAAGGGTCATACTTAAAGTAAATGTACCTAGATCTAATTTCCGAGTTTTATCTAAACTGAACAAATTTGACGCTTTAGCACCATGTGAAATCTCCGCATAGCTAATTCCAAAGTTCCCTTTCAATATACTTTTACAATAATTCATTGTCTTCAAACTTTTGAATGTTAAACTTTTTATAAAGAAGCTTTGATACGTCGAGGTAAGTTTTATACTTACTCATATACATTTATTGTTCCCTTATCAGTGGATGCTGCAAACTGATGAGATCCTTCAAAAAAGGTCACTTGCTTCACTTGGCCCTCTAGAACAAAATGCACATTAAGTCAACACTATGTATGAAATATCACTAACAAGACAAATAAAATGACATGATACTTATAAAAGATCTACAGTCAAACCTGTGAGCAAGGCCATCTATAGGAGAGACCAAACATGACTGTTATAGACAAGTGGTCTTTATTTGAAGGTAAAATTGTTCTATTTAATTATCAAAGGATTGTCAAAGAGTGGCCTTTATTTACAGGGTTATCTTAATTCAGAGGTGGTCTTAAACACAGGTTTAAGCATACATGTTTAATGAAGTTTATTTCTTGCATTAATATACGTTGGTGTGCCCAAATTCCATGTTATAATTATCAAAGTAACAAAAACAAGCTGAATACAAATTAAATGAGAGCTGTCCATGAGACAGCGCATTGACAGCGCGTTTTACTATTCTATGTGCTTGACAGTAAGAACAAGAGCACCGCTAGGCGGAGCATTATATGCCCGAAAGTGATTTTTTTTTAGTAAAGATGAAGCATTTGTAAGACATGGGAGTAAAATAAAGTATTACCACCTTCAAATAACAATCCTCCTTTGAAGTTTCAATATTGTGTTCCAAATGGAACTTTAAGTTATGCCCCAGAAACTGTTTTCAATTCTAAGGTAAAAGTGACCTTGACCTTGACCTTGTGACCCCAAAATCATTAGGGGTTTTCTACCCAATATGGACAATCATACTATGAAGTTTAAACACAGTAGGCCAAATGATACTTAAGTTATGTTCCGAAAACTGTTTTCAGTTTTAAGGTAATAGTGACCTTGACCTTGTGACCCCAAAATCAATAGGGGTCTTCTACCCAATATGGACAATCATCCTATGAAGTTTGAATATTGTGGGCTAAATGGAACTTAAGTTATGCTCAAGAAACTGTTTTCAATTTCTAAGTAATAATGACCTTGACCTTTGACCTTGTGACCCCAAAATCAATAGGGGTCTTCTACCCAATATGGACAATCATCCTATGAAGTTTGAACACTGTGGGCCAAATAGAACTTAAGTTATGCTCCAGTAACTGTTTTCAGTTCTAAGGTAATAGTGACCTTGACCTTTGACCTTGTGACCCCAAAATCAATAGGGGTCTTCTACCCAATATGGACAATCATCCTATGAAGTTTGAACACTGTGGGCCAAATGGAACTTAAGTTATGCTCCAGAAACTGTTTTCAGTTTTAAGGTAATAGTGACCTTGACCTTTGACCTTGTGACCCCAAAATCAATAGGGGTCTTCTACCCAATATGGACAATCATCCTATGAAGTTTGAATATTGTGGGCTAAATGGAACTTAAGTTATGCTCCAGAAACTGTTTTCAATTTCTAAGTAATAGTGACCTTGACCTTTGACCTTGTGACCCCAAAATCAATAGGGGTCTTCTACCCAATATGGACAATCATCCTATGAAGTTTGAACACTGTGGGCCAAATAGAACTTAAGTTATGCTCCAGAAACTGTTTTCAGTTCTAAGGTAATAGTGACCTTGACCTTTGACCTTGTGACCCCAAAATCAATAGGGGTCTTCTACCCAATATGGACAATCATCCTATGAAGTTTGAACACTGTGGGCCAAATGGAACTTAAGTTATGCTCCAGAAACTGTTTTCAGTTTTTAGGTCATAGTGACCTTGACCTTTGACCGTGTGACCCCAAAATCAATAGGGGTCTTCTACCCAATATAGACAATCATCCTATGAAGTTTGAACACTATAGGCCAAATGGAACTTAAGTTATGCTCCGGAAACTGTTTTCAGTTTTAAGGTCATAGTGACCTTGACCTTTGACCCTATGACCCCAAAATCAATAGGGGTCTTCTACCCAATATGGACAATCATCCTATGAAGTTGGAATATTGTGGGCCAAATGGAACTTAAGTTATGCTCCGGAAACCAAATTGCTAACGGACGGACGGACAGACGGACGGATGGATGGACTGACGGACGGAAGTTCTCACAGGACAGTAATTATGTGGCTACTCTATTGTTCTCTCTATTGTTCTTTTTAGCCACACAAAAGAAAATAGCCACATAAAAGCATTACGGAATGAATGACATCAAAGAGAAAGAACAGTTACCTATTGTCCCTCTAGCCACATAATTACTCTCCTGTGAGTGCGGACGGACAGACGGACGGACGCCAGGGGGTATAACATAATATGTCCGAAATTCTTTCTGGCATATAAAAAGGGGGCATAACAGTGTAATAAAGTATCTCAGAATTATGTCACATAAAAATAACAAAACATTTAAATATCCAAAAACCAGTTTAATCCATTGCAAAAGTCAGTGGGATAAAGGTTTAGTAGGATATTGATCTGATAACAGACAGGAAAATCACCGTTTTTTTCTGTTTTTTTTTAACCTATTGGTTTATATTTTTCCCCTTTCCAATCCCCCCACACCCCCCTTTAACTTGCCCAAAAACCATAAATTGGGGACCCATGAGAAAGAAAGGGGTTCATAACATACAGCAATTCTGCAAGAAATGATGATAATTATTTGAGCCGCGTCACGATAAAACCAACATAATGTGTTTGCGACCAGCATGGATCCAGACCAGCCTGCGCATCTGCGCAGTCTGATCAGGATCCATGCTGTTCGCTATCAATTTCTCTACTTGTAATAGGGTTGGTAAGCGAACAGCATGGATCCTGATCAGACTGCAGGTAAGCGCCGGCTGGTCTGGATCCATGCTGGTCGCAAACCCATTATGTAGGTTTTGTCATGGCACGGCTCATTTAATTTCGCGGTCGAGTATCTTATCGCTGTGGCAACATAGTGGCCATTTGATAACTTTCTAGATTTACTGATGAAGGAAAACCTAAGTTCTACTCCATGCATCATTAAATGCAACTCAACTGAGGTTTTTTAAAACTTTTTTTTTCATTTTACATCAGTTATTATCTACTATGATTAACAATATAATGCAATACTTAATTTCTCTTTAAGGCCTCTGGCCAATGCAAAAACATATTAATAAATAAATAATTTACACAAAGTTATAGCATGTGTACAGTGTTTAAACATATACTTTATAATATATTTAACTGAAAATGACTGTAAAACATCAACATTATCTAGGAGTTTCTCAAATTAATAGGTCAAGTCTTCTTTGACCAAACATGCACAATAGTCACTATATTATAATATGTGTGTCTTTTATCTAAGTCAACTTATTTGTTATTTCAGTGTAGCAACTGAATTAAGCCTGTCAGCCACCCTGCAAAAAACCCCTGTTAACTCTGGTTACTTATAAATGAAATATTGAGAAATACTGATGAAATAAAATGTGTATTTTCATTTTATGTATTTTCATGGTAAAAATTTATTTTTCACTGCAATAAAACATATTTTCTGCATTTTCACTTGCCAGACTTATAGCTGTCTTAAATTTAGCAAATACACACAATTTAAGGGGTATTTTTCAAATTGTAAAATTTAAGGGGTAGTTTTTCAAATGGTAAAGTCAAAAAAGAGAAAAATATATATAATAAACAGAAAATTCAAGTTTTTTTCATATAAATGCATCCTTTGTTTTCATCTTGTGGTATGAAAATTATCATATTTCACTCATGGCTACCGCCACTAGTAAAATATTTATTTTCATACCACTGGATAAAAATTAATCCCGTTTTTATAGAAAAAACTTGAATATCCTCTATATATCTACCTATTGACTGGACCTCTATGCTCGTGTAAGTGAGCAACAAGCTGGCCCTTGGGCTTCCAGTTGCTAGGGGGAGGGCGACTGTCCCACAAAATACCTTCCAACATGTCTTTAGTTGCAAGATCTGAGGAATACTGGGCCCTTCTTTTATGCACCAAAGTCCTCAAGTCTAGTTTACAATTTGCATAGCGAGCTGAAAAAAAGTTGCCATCCATAGTAATAATTTTACATGAAGTTTTATTGCAATTATGAAGTCCTACGATCCATTTCTGGGGTGTTCACTGAGAAAATAAACTTAAAGAATAGTTAACTTTCATAGACATAGCTTTCATATTTATACATAGAAAATATTAAATGAGTGTTGGTTCAATACAAGTCCAATGAAATTATATTATTCAAGCCTGTGGCGAGATAAGCATAATATTATCATAATTCTATTTAAGTTCAGCTCAACTACTCCCAGTGCTTGACAGTAATAAAAGGGGCAGAACTCTGTAGAAAATTAATTAATCAGAGTTATGTGACTTGTGCCAATCATGCAAATAATCACAGAGAGAGAACAAATGTGTGAACTTTCAACCCATTCTCTTCAGTAGTATTGGAGATACCAACTTGCATGCAAAACTTAAACGAAGTGTGATGCCGACACCTTTGTGAGTACTGAAGCTCTCCCTATTCTTTGAATAATTGAGCTAGAAAAAAAGTAAATAAAATTCAACATTATTTTGTATTAAATAAGAATATAAGAGATATTTAAATATTAGTCTATTTAGAATAACATTGTATATGAAATAAGAAAACTTGATTCACTTACTCTGCTGTGTTTGTCTTTCTCCCTTGATGGTTCCCGATCTGATAGAACTATCTAGTGACAGCCCAGAAACTGTGACAAGACTTCCTGTTGATGAAGCCTGGGAACCAGAAGGAGTTGTTACTTTACGATCACTGGTATCCAGCTTCTGTGAGCTCTTTGACTTCGGAGAAGAACTCAAAGATTTGTCGGAGGAATTAGAACCAAACATACTTTTCCATTCAGGATTCTGAAAGATGTTAAAATCAACCATGGTGAAATATCCGAACAAAAAACATACCATTCAATTGCAACGGAGAAATAGCAACAGTGAAAATAAAGACTTAAGTATGAATCTTTTACATTTATTCTCAAAAAACATTAAATCTTTTTCCCCCAAAGATTTTGTGCTGGTTAAATGGAAAGGAATTGTATTTCCAGTGACTGGTTTATATGCCCGACCTCAGTAATGATACAGGACAAAACTGATTCTGTGCTATAAATAGCACCAAGAAAACCCCAATAATTCGCTCCAAAATAAACTTGAGTATGTAGAAATCAAATCTTTTATCCCCCGTATGTTTCGAAAATGCCACTGAAGTACATGTAGTACTATACTCATTAGCATTTACAATACAATATGCTGAATATCTAAAAAGCCTTGTTGACTGATAACTAAAACACTACAGATGTATAGGGGACATATTCCAGTGGAATATGTAATATGTATTCACTATTCATATTTGTTTAAACATTTATCTCAGTAAAAATCTAGGTACGCTGTGTGCAACCTCACAGGGAATTTATTGCGAGGTACAAAATTGTAAGAGCTTTTTAACTGAACATTTTATGTGATGTCATCAAACATATCACAGCGTGACATAATCATGCAAATCCTACTTGGTCCCGGCTGTAATCTATATAATTTTATGTTTAATATCATTCTGTAATAGCTTTGATATTTATAATGCTACATCTTCTAAAACGTTTAGAGAATACATATAATCAGAAACAGAAATGTATTGTATTAACTTGCAATTGGATCTAGTTTTCATTTCAAAGAAAGAGTCTACCATCGTAAAATGGTTCAGGCAAGATAAAAATAATAATGAATACTACCATATTTTGGGTTTGTGCGTCAGGACCAGGCACTTTCTTTTTGCTCCTCCTGAAATTAGCAAGGTAGTAATAAAATTAATTAATCAGTGAAAATTAATTCAAATATATCTAACAATATATCTGAAGCAGAAAGCTGCAAAGTCATACAGTTAACTTAAAGGAACTCCACTGAGGTTTATAAGCCTAAAAACATAAACTTTTAATTTCTTACATAGATCAGCTAGGGCACTTAAAACAAAAAGATATGCAAAAGATAATAAAACAAGAGCACCGCTAGGCGGAGCATTATATGCCCGAAAGTGTTTTTTTTTTTAGTAAGGATGAAGCATTTGTAAGACATGGAAATTCGCTGTTCATCCTATAAAATTTTACAGCTGTAGGTTGATTAATACTTAAGTTATTAATAATGACCTTAGCCTTTGACCTTGTGACCCCAAAATCAATAGGGGTCTTCTACCTTATATGGACAATCATCCTAAGAAGTTTGAATATTGTGGGCCAATTGGAACTTTAATTATGCTCTAGAAACTGTTTTCAGTATTAAGGTAAAAGTGACTTTGACCTTTGACCTTGTGACCCCAAAATCAATAGGGGTCTTCTACCCAATATGGACAATCATCCTATGAAGTTTGAATATTGTGGGCCAAATGGAACTTAGGTTATGCTCCGGAAACTGTTTTTGGTTTTAAGGTAATTGTGACCTTGACCTTTGACCTAGTGACCCCAAAATCAATAGGGGTCTTTTGCCCAATATGGACAATCATCCTATGAAGTTTGAATATTGTGGGCCAAATGGAACTTAAGTTATGCTCCAGAAACTGTTTTCAGTTTTAAGGATATAGTGACCTTGACCCTTGACCTTATGACCCCAAAATCATTAGGGGTCTTCTATCCAATATGGACAATCATCCTATGAAGTTTGAACATTGTGGGTCCATTGGAACTTAAGTTATGCTCCGGAAACTGTTTTCAGTATCAAGGTATTAGTGACCTTGACCTTTGACCTTGTGACCCCAAAATGGATAGGGGTCTTCTACCCAATATGGACAATCATCCTATGAAGTTTGAATATTGTAGGCCAAATGGAACTTACGTTATGCTCCGGAAACTGTTTTTGGTTTTAAGGTAATTGTGACCTTGACCTTTGAACTAGTGACCCCAAAATCAATAGGGGTCTTTTGCCCAATATGGACAATCATCCTATGAAGTTTGAATATTGTGGGCCAAATGGAACTTAAGTTATGCTCCAGAAACTGTTTTCAGTTTTAAGGATATAGTGACCTTGACCCTTGACCTTATGACCCCAAAATCATTAGGGGTCTTCTATCCAATATGGACAATCATCCTATGAAGTTTGAACATTGTGGGTCCATTGGAACTTAAGTTATGCTCCGGAAACTGTTTTCAGTATCAAGGTATTAGTGACCTTGACCTTTGACCTTGTGACCCCAAAATCAATAGGGGTCTTCTACCCAATATGGACAATCATCCTATGAAGTTTGAACATTGTGGGTCGAATGGAACTTAAGTTATGCTCCGGAAACTGTTTTCAGTTTTAAGGTCATAGTGACCTTGACCCTTGACCTTATGACCCCAAAATCAATAGGGGTCTTCTACCCAATATGGACAATCATCCTATGAAGTTTGAACATTGTGGGCCAAATGGAACTTAAGTTATGCTCCGGAAACCAAATTGCTAACGGACGGACGGACAGACGGACGCCAGGGGGTATAACATAATATGCCCTTTCGGGCATATAAAAATATGATTAGAAATACATTGATAATCATATTTTTTGTTACATGTACCTTCAGCTCAATTTGAGAGAGAAAAGCATCCATCCATCTCTTTGGTATATGCTCCTGAATAAATGTGACTTACGTGCTAGGTGATATAAGGTTTTCTGTTTTCCCATCTTTTGGTTTATAAAGATCAGCGTGCCTGCGTGTTGGCATATTTCTGACTGTGTACATGTCCAATGATCCAGGTTTCCTACCACCATCACTGTTGGCGCTTGATTCAGAGGAACTATAAAACATAAAACATGAAAATAATATTTTTGTTCACTCAAAATTCTTATCCTGAACCGAACATGAACAAGTATTGAGTCTGGCCAGTATGCATAAACAGTGGGCTGACCGCAAAACTGATTCAAGTCCTTCTTTACTTCATATATATCATTGCAGTTTTGCTTTCAACCTTCAAAATATTCAACCTCTGACCTGGCTCTACACTGTTGACAGATTGATTTTTGTACTTGGATTATTGAAATCCCTTAAATTCGATAATGAACTGTTCCAAATTCAAAGCAGGGCAAGTCCATTACAGAAAATTTGGAACGTTAACGGTTAAGCTGAGAATTAAAATCAAACAATACAAAACAAATGTAACTTAAGCCTATAACTACATGTATGTGTTGCAACTCTTCAAACACAATCTCGGGGCATGTTTCTGGTGCCACAGGTCAGAATTGTTCATTATTTAGAGGAGGAGATGTGTAAGCGGATGGATAGATCAGTCGGTACAGACGCGGTATGGTAATCAAGTGAATAATTATTTTCTGTAATACCTTTATCAGAATTACATTAAACAAGAGGGCCATGATGGCCCTAAGGTCGCTCACCTGTATATAGGCCCCCCAAACCCCCCCCCCCCCAACGTTGCATGGCCAATTTAACCCAAGGGCTTTTATTTGCACAAACTTGGTAAGCACCCATAAGAAATGTTTCATGCTAAACATCTAAGCTCTAGCTCATTGTGCTTTTTAAAAGAAGATTTTTTTTAAGTTTTAACTATACACATATAGTTAAAAACAATGACACCCCTGGGGCCTGGCCAGGGCTTTTATTTGAACAAACTTTGTAGACACTTACTAGAAGTTGATTCATGAAATCAATGACCCCCGGGGCGGTGCCAATTTTGACCCCAGGGCTTTTATTTGAACAAACTTGGTAGACACCTATTAGAACATGTTTGATGCTAAATATCTTAGCCATAGCTCTTTGAGTTCTTTAAAAGAAGATTTTTTAAGTTTTTACTATATGCATATAGGGAAAATCAATGACCCCCCGGGGCGGGGCCAATTTTGACCCCAGGGCTTTATTTGAACAAACTTGGTAGACACCTATTAGAACATGTTTGATGCTCAATATCTTAGCCATAGCTCTTTGAGTTCTTTAAAAGAAGATTTTTTAAGTTTTTACTATATGCATATAGGGAAAATCAATGACCCCCCAGGGCCGGCCCAATTTTGACCCCAGGGCTTTTATTTGAACAAACTTGGTAGACACCCATTAGAACATATTTCATGCTAAATATCTTAGCTCTAGCTCTTTGGGTTCTTTAAAAGAAGATTTTTTAAGTTTTTACTATATGCATATAGGGAAAATCAATGACCCCCCGGGGCGGGGCCAATTTTGACCCAACGGCTTTTATTTGAACAAACTTGGTAGACACTCACTAGAAGATGTTTCATGCCAAATATCTAAGCTCTAGCTCTTATGGTTTTTTAAAAGAAGATATTTAAAGTTTTTTCTTTCGGTTGCCATGGCAACCAGAGTTCTGCATGGAATTAAATTCTTTGAACAATTTTCTAAGGTGACCACCAAAGGAACATTCCTGTGAAGTTTGGATGAAATTGGCTTAGTGGTTTATGAGGAGATGTCATTTAAAGTAAAAGTTTACGGACGACGGACGGACGGACGGCGGACGAAAAGCGATCACAAAAGCTCACCCTGTCACTTTGTGACAGGTGAGCTAAAAAACACCAAGAAACAGCAAGGATCAAAATTTTTGATGCTGTGAATTGGAATGTCAGGGGAGGTAACAATAATTCTTAGGATGTATACAAAATATATTTACCCTGCTCTGGCTCTGTGTAACTTCAATATGAAATCTTTCATGGCAAGTATTTTATCCTCATGAGACTCTGTGCAGCCAAGAAACGACAATTTCTTTAATATCTATAAAAACAATTCAATATAAAACACAAATAAATAAATAAAAACACGCCTTTTATGAAATATTTTTTATTGGAAAAGTAGTTCCTGCACTGATAAAGTAGTTTGTAACAAAAAGACACAAATTAATATGAACAAAAAATCTAATCTGTATGTGATTTGTATTGAACTTAAACTTTGGTATATAAATTTAAAGAAACATAATGATACAGCTCTTAGCAACCCACTCAAAGAATTAATTTCCGAATACAGTTGCCTAAAGGTTGAATGCATGTATATAGTGATCATAGATAACATAAAGGGTTAACCAATAACAACCCCGACAGGTCTTTCTTCAAATAGTACAGTTAAGGTGACAACGGAGTCAATTATCACTGAAAATACCTAAAATGAGACTTTTTGCTAAGTAGATTTATCAACCTTTTCTGAACACATTCGTGATTTAATTTTGGAAGCAGTTAGTCCAAAAAATGTGTTTTTAAACGATTTAAAACGGTACCTATACTATTTGTATCTGCTATTCGCGTAACCTGTCGATTATCGATAACGCTCCGCCCCCTGTTGAGGCATCAATGAGGGAAATCGGTAGTTCCAATATACCCGTGAATTACAGGTCCATACTGGTCCATACTTCGCGTAATACATGTATTTGTTTCATTCTACCGTACATCTTTTATGAATATCTCAACATTTAGCCTTTTTTATAAATTGAAGAAATTGTCGGCAATGTACGTTTACATAATGTATGAAACATAATAATTAAGCATAGCGGCAAAATCGCCACGACCACAGGGGTTGATTAAAAATGTAGTTGCTAAAATATCCATAATGTGTTGAAAAAAATGATTTGTCTATCCCCGTTAATCTGATATATAATAAAATTGAGTTGATTAGACTTTTTTATACGGATTTCAAGGGCTTACTTTACATTCAACCCTCTAGTTTTCTAACAATGTCATGTAAAACAACAACAGACGACATTTTTTATGTGAACGCTTATTATGACTTGTCGTTGGTAGGAGGTGTCCCTGAAAATTTCTAAAACCATTTTAGATTGTCTTAAGGATGATTATTTTCTCTATATGAATAAAAAAAAGATATTAAAATATATTTCATGAAAAAAATTGTTCGCCAGTAAATCCGACACAGTACTAATAAATCTGGGACAAATATATGAAATTTATTGTCTATCCCGGTTAGAAACTGGATCTTTATGCCGTGCATAGATGATATTCATTGATAATAGAAGTCAAGAAGGCCACATCATTTAATGATCGAGTAATGCCTTTTATTTCTATTAAAATATGTGAAGCATTATCAATTTGGTTTGGAAAAAAATATATACTATCCCGTTCTTATTTGTTGTACATCTACCATGGACTTTTAAAAGACTGTCAGAAAGCTCAGTTTTTTGTTATTTTATTTGATATTTTAACGGAATTTCATACACGAATACACAGGCAGAGTGGACAACTGGGTATAATACAATAATAATGCTGATGATAATAATAATAAACTTCAAATAGGAAACAATTAAATATCCCGCTAGCCGTTTCCCATTTGCCCCCCTGAGTGCCTCAAATTTTACCGATTGTCACGTGACATGTGCGACAGATACCAGTTACGGACGAACAGTAAATCACGTTAAGAATTGAAGAAATTTCGGCAATAAACTGATATTAATCAGCAGCTTTTTAATTGGTCAGATGTCACTGGGTCATAAAATGTTGTGTAGAGTATGTTACCGCCACTTGGTGGACCCTCTTCTGGTGCGATTTTTGGTGTATTATGCAATTATTTAGCGTGAAACGTAGGGGTCCGAGAAGAGAACAGCCGATTTATGACACTTCGTTTGATGCGGGGTCGGACTAACTTTGAAATCGGGCATAACTTTTTTAATAATCAAGCAATTAACATGCGGTTTAAAGCACATGAAAGGAAATTCATTTACAGAGGGAACCGTGTCAGGGATTTCTGTTTGCTCATCAGCGACACTTTATTATCTTTAATTACGTAATATGTATGGTGAAAAAGTCGCATATTTTGTTTGACGTTACGTTAATATTTTTTTGAGAAAAGATATAAAAAATTTGAGACACAGTTCCCCAGATAATATAAGTATGGTTATTTTCCAAAGTTTGATGACAAAAAAAAAAAAAAATGACTTTGATATGACGATTTAAAATTTTTTAGGATTTTTATTCAAAATCAATCATTTACAAAGGCATTTTTTTCAAATATGTTATTTTTTATGATGATCAACGACATTTAATGCACAAAGATTAAATGAATAACAATTATTACTAAAATAACTTGGTTTAAATTACATTTATGTGAGTACCACGGAAAGTGTCTGTTGTCACCTTAAAAATGTGTCATAAACTAAGAGGGTTAAACATACCTGTGACATGGAATCGTCCATCTCTGGGTAGGCTGGTTTATGCCCCTGTCTACTCACGTCCCTAATATAATGATGCTCTTGTAGAATACTAAATATTCTCTCAACCATAGGTGACCTTAACACATAGTCAAATACTGGTCTTGGGATAGGGTCCTGCAGGGCATTCAATAGTAACACCTGAAAACAAAATTGTGCATTTCAATATTCAAGGATTATTCCAAAAGTCCTCGGACCCATGTTCTCATAAATACAGAGGATTTTGAATAAGTTTATCCATATTGACTTTATCAAATTTTATTTAATGGAAAAGAACCCTACAATTTTTACTCGAAATCCCCTTTTTATCAATCATCAGTGGGGAGTAGTTTCTTTTAAATTTTCGGTACTGTAAAGTACAAAATTTTTAGCCCTATAAAATACTCTTCAAAGGGAATGAAATTTATTATTCAGGGAAATTCTGGAGCAGAACAGTTTTAAAGAAAAATGCACATTTATTGTACATGAAGTCAATTTTGTTATATTTACTATTTAGATGCAAGGGAGGTGGGCACCTGAGTAGAAACACTTTCGTTCAGTAAGCTAGCTAGATAGTTTCTTCACATTAAAGAATCCAAAGTCCCTGTAGGGATTTGAACTGAAAGCAGTGAGGGGCAAGTGTTCTTAAATCAACAAACTTAACCACTCAGCTACAAGCGCCCCTGTGGCATTTTATTGCCAATTTTCAGCTGTATAAAAAGTATAAAAATACATAATAATGAGCCGCGTCATGACAAAATCAACATAATGGGTTTGTGACCAGCGTGGATCCAAACCAGCATGCGCCTCTGCGCAGTCTGATCAGGATCCATGCTGTTCGCTTACCTACCCTTTTACAAGTAGAGAAACTGATAGCGAACAGCATGGATCCTGATCAGACTGCGCATCCGCGCAGGCTGGTCTGGATCCATGCTGGTCGCAAACGCACTATGTTGGTTTTGTCGTGACGCGCTCTATTATAAGTGACAGTGAATACCTACCTCCTTTTCTATCTGGAGAATCTGCGTATTAAGGAATGGTCGTAAAGACGGTAAAAGGTTACAGTGAATATCTGCTATGTTTAGTTTCGCTGCTACTGCCGAGACAAAGCCAACACTACCCTGTCTTATCCACATACCCTAAAAATATATATTAATAAATCTTGAGTATTACATGACTATATTCAGAGACACCATTGAATATATAAAATACAGGTTAGCAAATGTTTCTAGAATAGAAATGCCGCACCTGTGTGACAGGCTTACACAGGTTTACCAATATCTTACATCACAAAGAGCACATTGTCACCTTGGTGCAGTAATGGGTTAACTCAGAATAAAATTAATAGAAGTAAACCCGTTACTGCACTTAGGTGACAAAATGTATGATGGTCAGGATTACACTGAAAATTTACAAATATTTTACAGGAAACAGAGGGCTCTTGCTTCTTTATAAGGCTCATACAGGATTACAAACACTTGCATCACTAAGAACACGTTTGTCAGGATTGTTCAGCTTTACAAAAATGATAATTAATGTCTATTTCATATGTCATAAAATTTCTTTAGTTTTCATATGAACTATTTCCACAACAATTTAGTTGACTTCTATATTTGCAGATGGATATATTTCCACATTTTTTTACAACAATCATCTCAATGTCAGGTCCGTGATCTAAGGTGGAATTTTTAAACAATCATCTTTTCCATGCCTTTTTATGACAATCTTGGCCACAAAGCTATAAAGGCATCTTTTGTGTTTTTGTTAAAAGCTATTTTATATAATTTTCTACTTTTAATCTTAAACTAACTCAGAATTGTCTATGAACTTCTACTACATTTCTATGTAGAGCGATGCTCTTTTTGCCCTACGCAGATTGTTCATGCATGAGAAAATACTACTTCCAGTCTAATTTTCATAGCAAATATTATTCAGGCTTTTACTTCACAGTTTAAATAATTTTTACACAAGTATACAAGCTCTTACATGACCAAGAGGACAAAAGTTATTTTTTATGGTAAACCGAAAAACAGCATGCCTTGAATAGCTTAAATTTCACTGATTAAAATCAATTAAACATTAATAAAAAATCAGTTTTCTATAAATCTGACAACTCCTTTGAAATCAGTAATATACAATGAAATATATCATTTATATCTCACTGATAACAGACTATGAAGTATACTCAAACTCTGTATTATTGGCGCCACTCTATTACCAACATACTCTTAGTATTTTGTCATGTGCAGTCATGCATACGGTGAAGTTAAAAATCTTTGACCTCATTCAATAAAAAAGGAAATTTTTAGCTGACTTTGTTCTGCTTCACGCAAAATATTCATTATTAAAATTCATCAATGAAATTCAATGCAGCCATATAGGAAACGTTAAGTAAATGATAATACGAAGTATGAAGTATACAATTTACTGAACATCATTTTGACTTACTGGATGTGCAAGTAGAGGTACAACAATCTTCACAAAGTGGTGTAACATCTGTTTCTGTAGAAGACCAAGTTCTGTAAGAGACTTTAAAGCTCCCAAACTCTTGTGTACAATGAACTCTTCTGGATCTGATAAGCCCTGTATTTAAAGCATATAAACCAGGTATTTTGAAGATGTTTTTACGAAAAAATAATATATGTATATATACATCATAGGATTTTCTTGAAGATCCCTTTAACGAATGAAACCTGTAGATATTTTCTTCGATTATTATAATAGTTTTGCTAATAAACAAGTGCAATGTATTATCCAAATATCATATGAAATTAACAGAATTGAAAGTAGAAATGAGCAAACATTCAAACCTTGCAAATTTGTACATTTAGAATATAATAAAAAATTCGCAAAAATTTTACCCGCAAGAAAACATCTGACTTCACAGTACATTAAATGGCTAATGAGAAATGGCTATGAAGCTGTATGCAAAACCTCAACAAAGTAAAATGCTGATGTCTTGACAAGGGTGAGCAGAATGACTTTACTATTATATCAAAATCTGAGGAAAAGCCATAACCAGCTGTCCCATTCATTGATGCTAGGGTTTAGAAAGATAGGCCCTCTACTCATTGAATGGTCAATCTAGTAAATTTCTAACAATCCTCACCTGTTCAAGTAATGGTTTAACTATTTCTGAACTTTGCCAACCGACATAAGCTGCTATGCCAACAATGTTGTCGAAGAATGCACCACGTAAATGCCAATCAATCTGTGTCAAGAAAAATAGATAATAAATTATACTGCTTGGTTATCCTGAGGAATTATTCTGAACTCTAATAAGTCAGAAAATATATAAAATTTTACGAAATATAATGTTCTGTAATAAAACTGAAGATTCTTCAAACTACTTTTGACAGTACATATATTTGACAGTACATATATTTGACAGTCGATATATTTGACAGTAAATATATTTATCACATTTTAGTCATATGAGAGGGCATATTTCTCCTTTAATGTCAATATGACTGCGTGCATACTGTCATCTTTGTGCAATAACAAGTTAATTCCTACTAAATCATATAAGGAGTTAACCTGTTAAAGCACTAAGGTGACAATACAACCATGCTTATTATAGTTATAATCCATAATTCACTTTTAGCATCTCACTTTAATTTCATGGTTTTACATCAGTTGTCCCCTTTTTTATTTTATTTCTTGCAGACAAAAGAATTACAGCCATTAAGCTAGCTTCAAGTTAATCTCAAAACTTTCGAAGGAAGAGAAAGGAAATAAAAGGAAAGAAGGGGTCTTCAACTATACCTTGTCATTGAGGAATGTTATCATGTGTGACAACAACACATCATTTGCTGAAATGATAAAATAATATGACAAATATTAACTCATACACACAGCAAAATTTCTTTAACTGACTCAACCTACTTCTAATTTGAAACTGACCATTGTAAGTTTAATATCAAAACACTTAAAACAAGCGTAAAAACTTTGACACATCGGGACTTCGACTCATGAATTGGTCTCAATTTAATAACAAAATTTAGAGCTGTTGATGTTTACAAGCAAGTTACAAAAGGCGTATCAAAATTAAAGAGCGATAACTAAACCAGCTCATAGAAAATATATCCCAGGTGATTATCTCGCGACAACAGGTCATGGACACTATGAAATGAATCTAATTTGCACTGTTTATTTTCAAATACAACTATGGCAATATATTCTGTAAAACACATTTGAAGGCATATAAAGGCTGTTAAAACAGTTGGTTGTGTCATTAATATCTGTCATACAAGTTGACCGGGAATTATCATCGTAGCCAGAAAAGGTTTGAAAAATGTCTCGAGATTGAAGGTGTCAAAGTAATCAAAGAATACTTAAAATACCATAAGACCCTACCAAAAAAGAAAATGAACTAAAAATAGAAAGCTCTGCCTACCTTTTTGTCTTCCAAAGAAGACACATAGTCTGGTTATACCGTTATCGAGTAAAGCTCTCTTAACTGAGTTGTCATAATCGTTCAGTAATAGCACAACTTTCTCTTGTATTATCTCTTGTAACGCTTGTAGCTCATGGTCGTATGTGGACTTAAATAGTAAACAATAAATGAGCCGTGTCATGACAAAACCAACATAATGGGTTTGCGACCAGCATGGATCCAGACCAGCCTGCGCATCTGTGCAGTCTGATCAGGATCCATACTGTTTGCTATCAGTTTCTCTACTTGTAATAAAGTTGGTAAGCGAACAGCATGGATCCTGATCAGACTGCTCGGATGCGCAGGCTGGTCTGGATCCATGCTGGTCGCAAACCCATTATGTTGGTTTTGTTGTGACGCGGCCCAAATGGTAAAACATAAAATAGCTTGTCTCGTTTGAAATTTGAGCAAAAATACCAAATAGGACTTCATATTATAACGGGTCATTTAAATACTGTGTGATTTGTTGCTTTTTTCACTTAAGAAGAAAAATTATAACATTATAGAAGAATTTGACAATTTGACAATGCACCTAAATAATATGTTTACATTGATGTTTCATTTTTTGCCAATTATATTATATTGAATATTGACCCCCAAAATGGCTGCCACTTTGGCAAGGGAGGTAAATATTGTAATTGATAACTATCTGTAAGTTTCCAATAGCAGCTTACAAAGTCAGTGGTATCCTCCTTCACTTCTGTGTCTTCTATATCACTCAGCTGCATCATTTCTACAACACTGAAACATGCAAAAACACCATCAGTTTCAAAAAGTCATAATATCGATGGCTCCATAAACTCCATATAAATCATTATGTAAAAAAAGTTACAACCTGAATGCAATTAATCTTTGATATATGAAACAAATAAAATTCCACATATCTTTCTTCTTTAAAATCTTTTTAAAATGTTGACTGTTAAATCAATAGATCTGTTAGTCAACAGTACAGATTTGTCAGCCAACAATATAAACTTGTCAGTCAACAATATAACCTTGTCAGTCAACAATATAAACTTGTCCGCCAACAATATAGACTTGTCAGTCAACAATATAAACTTGTCAGCCAATAATATAAACTTGTCAGCCAACAATATAAACTTGTCAACCAACAATATAAACTTGTCCGCCAACAATATACACTTGTCCGCCAACAATATACACTTGTCAGCCAACAATATAAACTAGTCAGCCAACAATATCAACTTGTCAGTCAACAATATCAACTTGTCAGTCAACAATATAAACTTGTCAGCCAACAATATAAACTTGTGAGCCAACAATATAAACTTATCGGCCAACAATATCAACTTGTCAGCCAACAATATAAAATTGTCAGTCAACAATATAAACTTGTCAGTCAACAATATACACTTGTCAGTCAACAATATCAACTTATCAGTCAACAATATCAACTTGTCAGTCAACAATATAAACTTGTCAACCAACAATATAAACTTGTCAACCAACAATATAAACTTGTCCGCCAACAATATCAACTTGTCAGTCAACAATATAAACTTGTCAGTCAACAATATAACCTTGTCAGCCAACAATATAAACTGGTCAGCCAACAGTAAAAATTTGTCAGCCAACAATATAAACTGGTCAGCCAACAGTAAAAATTTGTCAGCCAACAATATAAACTTGTCAGCCAACAATATAAACTTGTGAGCCAACAATATAAACTTATCGGCCAACAATATCAACTTGTCAGCCAACAATATAAAATTGTCAGTCAACAATATAAACTTGTCAGTCAACAATATAAACTTGTCAGTCAACAATATCAACTTGTCAGCCAACAATATCAACTTGTCAGTCAACAATATCAACTTGTTAGTTAACAATATAAACTTGTCAGTCAAAAATATAAACTTGTCAGCCAACAATATAGACTTGTCAGCCAACAATATAAACTTGTGAGCCAACAATATAAACTTATCAGCCAACAATATCAACTTGTCAGCCAACAATATCAACTTGTCAGTCAACAATATCAACTTATCAGTCAACAATATCAACTTATCAGTCAACAATATCAACTTGTCAGCCAACAATATCAACTTGTCAGTCAACAATATCAACTTATCAGTCAACAATATCAACTTATCAGTCAACAATATCAACTTGTCAGTCAACAATATCAACTTATCAGTCAACAATATCAACTTGTCAGTCAACAATATAAACTTGTCAGTCAACAATATAAACTTGTCAGTCAACAATATAAACTTGTCAGCCAACAATATAAACTAGTCAGCCAACAATATCAACTTGTCAGTCAACAATATCAACTTGTCAGTCAACAATATAAACTTGTCAGCCAACAATATAAACTTGTGAGCCAACAATATAAACTTATCGGCCAACAATATCAACTTGTCAGCCAACAATATAAAAATTGTCAGTCAACAATATAAACTTGTCAGTCAACAATATAAAACTTGTCAGTCAACAATATCAACTTGTCAGCCAACAATATCAACTTGTCAGTCAACAATATCAACTTGTTAGTTAACAATATAAACTTGTCAGTCAAAAATATAAACTTGTCAGCCAACAATATAGACTTGTCTGCCAACAATATAGACTTGTCAGCCAACAATATAAACTTGTGAGCCAACAATATAAACTTATCAGCCAACAATATCAACTTGTCAGCCAACAATATAGACTTGTCAGTCAAAAATATAAACTTGTCAGCCAACAAAATAAACTTGTCTGCCAACAATATAGTTTTGTCTGCCAACAATATAAACTTGTCAGCCAACAATATAAACTTGTCAGCCAACAATATAAACTTGTCAGCCAACAATATAAACTTATCGGTCAACAATATCAACTTGTCAGCCAACAATATAGACTTGTCTGCCAAAAATATAAACTTGTCAGTCAACAATATAAACATGTCAGCCAACAATATAAACTTGTGAGCCAACAATATAAACTTGTCAGCCAACAATATAGACTTGTCTGTCAACAATATAGACTTGTCAGCCAACAATATAAACTTGTCAGCCAACAATATCAACTTGTCAGCCAACAATATAGTCTTGTCTGCCAAAAGCAGAGATCTGCCAGGCAAGAGTACAGACTTGTATAACTGTTAATATTCATTCATCATTCAAAAGTTAATCTTTTCTATCCAACTGTATATATTTATATCAAATTACATTGCTTCTATAAAATGCATCTGAAAATCATTAAACACAGTTTCGAGTATGAAATTTGTTTAAACAACTAGAAGTACCGTAGTGCCGTCTCTGCCAGTTGAGCAATATTTTCAGCAAACGCTGCCCTAACAGTTGTTGCTGGATCTTGGGCTAGTGGAGACTGGAAATACAAATATATCAAATGGGTCAAACACAGAAAAGGCCGGGTTGCATTTGTACACCAAATATCATGAGGCTGTGATGTTACAAAAAAAATTTACCATTGACCCATTAATATACAAAATTTAATTAAGTGGGTAAACAGGAAATGGATGAGCTACACACCTTAAATCAAATCCCACAGTATGGGACCATGTGTCAATGCTGTATGCCAAATATCAAGAGGCTGTGATAAGTAGTTGCCAAGAAAACTGTTACGAAAATTTCCTGTCATTGACCTTTTGTCGAAAAATTTAACTAATTTAACTAAGTGGATAAACAGTAAGTGGATGAGCGACAGACCTGAAATCAAATCCCACCGTATGGGACCATGTGTTAATGCTGTATGCCAAATATCAAGAGGCTGTGATAAGTAGTTGCTGAGAAAACTGTTACGAAAATTTTCTACCATTGACCATTAATGTTGAAAAATTTAACTAATTTAACTAAGTGGATAAACAGGAAGTGGATGAGCGACAGACCTGAAATCAAATCCCTTGGTATGAGACCATGTGTCTATGCTGTATGCCAAATATCATGTGGCTGTGATAAGTAGTTGCTGAGAAAACTGTTACGAAAATATTTTCCACGCCCAAACGCCTGCCTGCCCGCCCAACATTCACCATACTATAACCCGGATTTGCACCAGTGCAACCCGGCCAAAAATGTTACTCCAGCTAGAGTATGGTCAAAAATCTTGTCCACTTAAAATTTGTGACAATAAAGAAGATGGTCTTGAGATATTTGATTTAAAGTGAAACTGACAAAAAAAATTCATTAAATTTTATAAATGAAACAGGAGCTGTCCATAAGAAGCATGACAGTGTGGAAAAGGGGCATAACTCTGTAACAAGGTTACTCAACAGTTATGGAACCTGTGTCCATCATGTAAGATAATCAAAGTAAACAAGTGAGTGAAGTTTCAATCCATTCCCTTCAGAATTATTTGAGATCCCAGCTTGCACACCAAAACTTAATCAGAGTGTGAAGGCTACACAGATGCCAACAACAGCTCTGCTTACTCTTTGAATAGTCGACCTAAAAGTGACTTAAGGTGCGTTTCTCCATGAACGAGCTGCCATATCAGTACAGCCACAGACATGCGTTTAGTTTGAATAATAGCTACAACCCGCAAAAGAATTTAAGGACTCTTCAAAGATCACAGGTATTTATAGCTTATAAGCAAAATTCAAAACACCCAGCTGACTTCTGCAATAATTGAAAACATATCATTGCTCTACCATTTGAAATATTTCTTTCATTCTTAAAAAAATAGAAAAAAAAAATAATAAAAACTCACCAGATTTGGGAAGACATACTCTTGAAATACATTGGCATCACTGAAATAAAAAAAAATAACAATGATGTAATCAACTGAACAAAAAAAAATCCAGACTGAAAGTTCAGTTTTGGTTTCCAGACCTACACTTTTTTATTCAAATGCTACAACCCTTGATTTTTTTTGTCTGTCCTATTTTGAGTGAAGACGTTGGCAGAAGTTGGCACATACATGTGGAAAATCAGGTCAAGATCTTTAAACACTGGTAAAATATCCATTCACTAACGAATGACTCAGAAAAAACTTGTGTTGAAACAAACTACCATAAAAATAGTGTCACTATTTCAGAAGTGTTTTCTTTGTATTTTCGCTTCAAATGTATATAGAAAATTCAGGATAATATCTTGTTTCTTTTTGAAAAAAAAACCCTCAAAAATCCCGAATTTTACTATGATAAAGAAGGAAAGAAGAAGCATAATATTTTGGTATAATGAAAACACCATCAGTGTTAGGTTTTTATTGTTTAGTGTTTGGTTCCAAAGTATTATTTTTTTTTCCATAATTTTTTTAGAATAAAAAGGACTTACTTTCACTGACTTACTTTCGCAAGTACAAACAGTTGCATTTTATCTCAAAGTAGACAAATCAATATAAGTTTAAGTCAGTGATCTAAAACAATTAGATCAATCTGCCATGTAGGCTACATATGCATATAAGCAGAGTAGGCAATGTGTGTATAAATGAAAAGTCAACTAAATACTGAATCATTCTGTACATTGTTTACTTTAAGCTTGAATGGACTCTTCCAAAGTCCAAACAGGGCATTTCCATTATAGAAAAATAGCAGGGCAAGGATAACAATTGCATTCTGGGTAAAGACTTACCTTCTTGGTACATTATGTAAATCTTTGAGACATCTGGTTACACAATTCAACATTTCTGCTCTGACTTTAGCCTCCTTATCTAAGGCCATATGCATCTGTAAGATAATGTTTTGTATTGTACTTTTCACAATAATGCTACAAATAATATAACAGTATAATCTTCCACTTCACAATAATGCTACAATTATCTTATTTTTATTCTTCACAATAATGCTAGCAATGCTAAAACAGTATTAACTTATACTTCACTACTTAACAATAATGCTATAAATACTACAATCGTGTTAACATATTCTTCACAATAATGCCACAAATGCTAAAACAGCATTAACTTATACTTCACAATCATGCTATACATACTAAAATTGTGTTCACTTATATGACACTATAATGCTACAAATGCTCAAACAGTGTTAACTTATTCTTCACAATAAAGCTACAAATGCTAAAACATTATTAATTTATACTTCACAATAATGCTACAAATGCTTTAACTCCATGGCCCATAACTTAATAACTGATATAACTCTATTTGTATCTTAAAAACTTTAAACTTTTGAAAAAACAAACCCTACAAATTTAATGCACATCTTCTGCAGGGTGGCAAACAGTTAATAAACCAAACAGATAATCTGCTCTCTTAGAGGATCAAACTTTCAGGTAAGAGATTGACTTACAAGATAGGGCAGTATTCTATCCAGGATAATATCTGATGTTACATACTGAGCAAGCTCCGTCATCAATTCTAATGCCATCAGCTTAGCATTGCAGAACTGTAAATAAAAGCAACATTGAATACTGTTAACTTTTTTTATTGAGATTCACAATATTGACATCAATTTACACTGTATTAAAGCCGCATGCCACCAGATGAGCCAAAATATTTCAAGAATATCAAACTGGAGAAAAGAAAAATGTAGTAAAATTTTAAGTACAGTTAACAGTATTAAGATTAAAGTCATAAGTTACAAGTAATGTGTAATTAATAGACTGATTTTGAAGTTTTTATCACCATATATTTACTATACAAGTAATGCAGTAAAGGCAATTTTGGTAATTTACATGCATTATAAGAGAAGTTTGCAAGTGTGACTTACTTTCATTCGCAATATTTCACTTTTTAATATATTTTGAAATTTTTTATGAAAATCAGCATGACTCTGGAGGCAAACTTACTGCAATGCTTTCCTGCCTAAACATTTATAACATCAGCCAATATCGTAATAAATCGGCCATTTTCGGAACGTTTGTTTACACAATTTTTGGTATTCAATAATTTAACAGTTTATAACCGGTTTAGTACATAGCAATAAAGGATAATTGATTGTAAATAATTTAATGCCCAAGATTTTGAAGAAAAAAAATTCCGGAAATAACCGATTTGCTTCGATATTGGCCCATGTTAGATTTTTTTGGCCAGAAAGCAATACAGTAAGACTAGCTTAAGACATTCTGCATTTTTCATTGCTATGCTTCTCAATGTATACAGTAGAAACCAAAATTCTACATTTCACTGAGATTTCAAACAGAGTGATATGACTTGTATGTCACTGATAAATTAGGGGAGTCCGTGGCCAAGTGGTTAAGGTTGCCGACTTCAACCTACTTGCCCCTCACCACTTTGGGTTCGAATCCCTACAGGGGCTATCGAGCTAGCTTAAGGAACATTGGTGGTTCTACTCAGATGCCTGTTTGTGCCTGAAATAATGCACAAAAGAACCCCCGAGGTCTTCCTCCACCAGTAAAGCTGGAACGTCACGATATGACCAATACTGTGTCAGTGTGACATAAAACCAAATCATTATCAAACAAGCAAACAGTATCTTATATAAATCAAGAAGTGTTACACAACAAGAAATACTTACCAATTATGTTATGCTGAGAACTATTCCAGTGATGTGATAAATCAGAATGAAGAAAAGTTACTGAGTTGAACACATATACTTACATTGGCTTGCCTTGAACTTGAACCAACCAATGAAATGATCAGTGTAAGAACACTGTTGTTTTCTGGGTGATCTTTGTCTATTTTTAGATTTTCCAGGATCAGTTCCATGTCTCTTTTCACCCTAAAACATAATAAGATACTTAAATATTTGTTTGATTGTTTGTTTGTCTGGTTTTAAAGCTGCAGGCCTCCAGATGAGCAAAAATATTCGATAAAATAAAACCTGAGTAAAATGTACTAAGATTTTAGGAAAAGTATAAAGATTGAAAATTCTAGTAATAATTTACATGTTATGTGTGATTAATTACTGATTTTTCAGTATTTATAACTATTTTTCTACTGCGTTACTAACGCAGTAAGGTCTATTTCTGCATAGTTTGACCTCTTTATGGTAATTTACATGGGTTGTAAGTGCCATTTATAATGTGTAAATTGCGTTCTTTTGGTAACTTCACAATATTATACTGTCAAATACATTTTCAAATTTTCATGAAAATTAGCATTAATCTGGAGGCGTGCTGCTTTAACACAAATTTCAACAATTTTTTTCTCTATCATTGTACCCCATAGTCTCTGGCTCTATAAAATGAGAACGGTAAACTGTCACAAAGAGTAATTTTTCAATGATGCGACTGAAGTGTAACACTACCATTAGCGTGCTTTAACGCTATGTTTATCTTTAACGCAAATGACATCTCATAAAAGTGTTATTACTTTAGTGTAATATCGTTTTATTAAATGGCTTTATTACACTCCAGTGCCGCAGTTTATGTGAGAACAAATCTGAGTCTCTCTCTATTAAGCTGGCAGTTGAACTTATAACATTCAAATTCTGGACAATTGGAGCAAGCAAATTATCTAAATTTTGCACAGTCATTAGTCCAGACTTTCATAGAATGATACACAATTCTCAAATAGAATATTTCCAGTCCATTAATGTCAAAAAACCTCAGTGGAGTCTCTTTAAGTATTAAAACATGACAAGAAAAAATATACCTAACAATTCTGTCATCAGGAGATAGGATAGGTGGGGTTGCAAATCTTTGTATGTAAAGTTTAAGGAATGTATAGAAGTATTCTGGGAAGGTTTTTGACCGCTGCTGTATCAGATATTCCTCCGCCGACAATCTGTGACTCGGTTCCCTCTGCATCATGTGACGTACCAAGTCCTAAAATATAGTACATGTATATATCCAACATAGAAATGTGTCAAGCGGACTGATTCTAGTCATTGATTAGATGAAGATTTTACATCAAATGTCACTGTGACCTTGACCAATTGCCTTAAATTTAAATAGAGGTCAGTTACTGGCCATGGGCAATGTCTTTACCAATTTCAACAAACTCTGGCTTATTCCTTCTCAAGTTAATGAATGACCAGACAAGGATTTTACACAAATAGTCACTGTGACCTTTGACTTTATGACCTTTTTTCAATAGGGGTCATCTATTTGCCATGAGAAATATTGCTACCAAGTTATATAAACATCAGTTTATTCCTTTTTTCAAGATATTTATTGTACAAGGATTTTACACAAAGTATCATTGTGACCTTCACCTTTGACCTAAGGAACTCAAAATTTACAGGGGTCATTAATTTATGAGAAATGCCTCTACTAAGTATATAAACCACAGCTTATTCCTTTTCAAGTTATAGATCAGACAAAAACTAGAACTGCCACTATCATGGCGTGAATACCCCCGCATACCACTTTGTCAGAATCAACAGTGGCCATTTAGAGCTCAAGGACAACCCCCCTGCCAAATCTGAGGTTACTAAGCCAGTGCATTGCTAAGTTATGTATTCTACATGCTTCAAATGTGAAAATGTCAAAATCAAAACATTGCGGACAGGACATTCTTTAGCAATTGAGAAGAAAAGCTTTTTTTTGTCAAGGTCCCTGTGACCTTGACCTTTGACTCAGTGACCTCAAAATCAATAGGGGTCACCTTATAGTCATGATCAACATCCATGCCAAATATGAAGACTGTGGGTCAAAGGAATCTTAAGTTAATGGGTGGACAAACTTTTTGAAGTCAAAGTCCCTATGACCTTGACCTTTGACCTGGTGACCTCAAAGTCAATAATAATAATAATAATAATAATAATAATATCTTTATTTAAAGAAGGTTACACATTAAGAACATATAATAACAATCATATATATCTTATTTCCAATGTGGCCTTCTGAAATAGAAGTCTGTTTTCTCAATAGGGGTCATCTACTAATCATGACTAACCTCCATGCCAAATATGAAGACTGTGGGTCAAAGGAATCTTAAATTATTGGGCTGACAAGCTTTTTGAAGTCAAGGCCCCTGTGACCTTGACCTTTAACCTGGTGACTTCAAAGTCAATAGGGGTCATCTACTTATCATGACTAGCCTCCATGCCATATATGAAGACTGTGGGTCAAAGGAATCTTAAGTTATTGGGTGGACAAGTTTTTTGAAGTCAAGGCCCATGTGACCTTGACCTTTGACCTGGTGACCTCAGAGTCAATAGGGGTCATCTACTTATCATGACTAACCTCAATGCCAAATATGAAGACTATGGGTCAAAGGAATCTTAAGTTATTGGGCGGACAAGCTTTTTGAAGTCAAGGCCCCTGTGACCTTGACCTTTGACCTGGTGACCTCAAAATCAATAGGGGTCATCTACTAATCATGACTAACCTCAATGCCAAATATGAAGACTAAGGGTCAAAGGAATCTTAAGTTATTGGGCGGACAAGCTTTTTGAAGTCAAGGCCCCTGTGACCTTGACCTTTGAACTAGTGACCTCAAAATCAATAGGGGTCATCTACTAATCATGACTAACCTCCATGCCAAATATGAAGACTAAGGGTCAAAGTTATTGGGCGGACAAGAAAAAACCGACGGACAGCCGGACGGACGGACAAGCTGATTCCAGTATACCCCTCTTACAACTTTGTTGTGCGGGGGTATAATAATAGGGCATACAAGCAGATGGATAGACAGCACACCCCATTACAGTATGCTCCCCAACTTTTAAGTGAGGCATAAAAACATTTACATGTAATTTGATTTACATACATGTACTTTGTCATGACTAAAGTTACATAAACATCTGTTGATTCATTGGCAACTTTTAAAGTTTACTGATGGAGGACTTGTGTAATTTTTATGGCTTGAAATCCAAAGACGAAAAAACTATGTTTCTTTTTCTGTTGTTTTTTTATGCCCTATTGAACTATTTAACTAATGTTTAGTAACATCTTGGTGGTCAGTCCATCTAACTGGCTTTCCTGAATAACAAACCAGTAATTACCAATTTCTCTGCAAATGACAGAGTACTAATACCACAAAATTTCTGAAACCGCAGTGAGAGACAAATGACCATTAGACAAGTCAATGTTCAAGATCAGTCGTCATGCAAACATTACACCTCATCCAAGGATCAAACCAGCAACACAAGGATTAATAATCAGATGCTTTTTCTTTTAAGAGAAATGGACAGACAAGTAAAACAACTTCTTTTTACAAGAGGGACGACAAAGAATGCCAAAATCAATACTCGAGTACTCGGTCATTTTTCTGATCGAATACCCGCTTACTTGTTAAATTTACAAGTATCATTTTCGCACCTCTGTAGATGTTTTGATTACATTTAACAGGTATTCATGAAGATACATGTACATCTCAGAATTTCTGAACTAATTGGATACACCAATCTTTCTAAATCGCAAAAAAAACAAGAGCCACCGCTGGGCCGGGGCAACGCTGGACTTTTTACTTTCTCCAAAAGCAAACAAAGAAATGTTTGAACAAAATCTTAACGTTTCCTTTTTATAGAATTAATCAGTCTGTCTTGTCACATAAGTTTTGTGTATATATTTTGTATATATAAATATACTAAATTATATATATAAATAGAAACACGCCATTCTATAAATAGAAAATTCTATAAATAGAAACATGCAATTCTATAAATAGAAACACGCAATTCTATAAAAAGATACACGTGGTAGAGTCACGTGGTCGAGTCACGTGATGGTGTCACGTGGTGGAGTCATGTTGTGGAGTCACGTGGTGGAGGCAAGAGGTGGAGTCACGTGGTAGAGTCACGTGGTGGAGTCACGTGGTAGAGTCACTTGGTAGAGTCACGTGGTAAAGTCACATGGTGAAGTCACGTGGTGCAGTCACTTGGTGCAGTCAGAGTCACGTGGTGGGGTAACGTGGTGGAGTCATGTGGTGAAGTCACGTGGTGGTGTAACGTGGTGGAGTCACATGGTAAAGTCAGGTGGTGAAGTCATGTGGTGAAGTCAAGTGGTGAAGTCACAACAAGGTCTTGTCCCTAAGTATGTTCTGTTATCATATGAAGTTGATCCCTTCAATAATAGCAAAGTTACAGCCAAAACAACGAAAATTTCAGTAATTTGAACTTCAAAGTCAAGGTCATTAATGAGTGAAGGTCAAGGTCTGTCTGGTTATTTTTAAGGGTTATCCTTGAAGATTATTATGTTCAAGTTTGAAGACAATCCATTCAAAAATAACAAAGTTACAGCCAATAATAGCCAAAAAAATGAAAATTTCAATAATTTGACCTTCAAAGTCAAGGTCATTTATGAGTGAAGGTCAAGGTCTGTCTAGTTATTTTTAAGGGATATCCTTGAAGATTATAATGTTCAAATTTGAACTTTGAAGACAATCCATTAAAAAATAACAAAGTTACAGCCAATAACAGCAAGAACAAGCAAAATTTGGACTTTTAACCTTGAAGGTCAAGGTCATTTATGGATGAAGGTCAGGGTTAGTGTGGTCTACTGAAAGGTCTTGTCCCAAGGGTTGTTGTGGCCAAGAATGAAGACAATACATCAAGAAATAAAAAAGTTATGATCCAGGTACAAGTTTGCGGACGGCAACGGCAATCGTTGCGTAATTTACAAATCAGCAGGTGTAGCTCTGAAAAGATTAACCAACAATGCCTTAATTACTTCCTTCATCCATCTTAGTAAAAAAGTGTTCCTTTCTTGGTAGGAAAAGAAACATGTAAAGAAAAGATCACTTTTTGTTGACGTACCCTAACATTTGTATCTTCAATAGTCTCAAGTATTTTCCATGGGCTATATTCCCTGTTTCTGTAGGCCAGAAGTTGTGACAGATCAAATGGTGGACTCCCTTCTGTGAACAGCTCGGTTATCACGCATCTGTTACAAGAAAGGTCATTATGATAGAATATTTGTTAAATTTTAATTTCCAGGTATTTTATTAAAGTGCTGTTATGGTAATTTTTTCACTGTCAAGTTGGGTTGAATTAGAATATATTTCAAAAGATTGGCTATTAAAATGATTATTGACCAATTGTCAACAATTGATAAAGAAAAATGTTTTATAATACAAGATATAAACAAACTAAATGATTATAAGACAGTGTCCCACTCTTTTTAAGAATTGCATATTTCACATATGTTCTAAGGGATATTTTTATAGACATTTCAATTAGGCATCTAGATTACTGTTTATTTTTTCATGGCAAAATCTAAATTTGAATATAATTATGACATAACATATGTCAAGTTATTTTGATTTTTATCTTTTAACTGACCATTTTACAATAGATTGGCATAATGTCACTTTAAGTATTGCACTATAAAAAGCATTACTTTTCAGATTTCTGGTTAGAAGAAAAACTTAAGTACACCTTTGTGCTTTATTTCAAGCAGGCACTCTTGTAGAACAACTGACCTTCCATAAGCTAGCACCTGTTTGCAGAAAGGGATTTAAAGTCAGAAACTAAATCTACACAACCATCAGTGTCAATTGTAAATATTTGTTGACAAGGCATAATGTCATAAAAAAATTTACCACTAATTAAATTAGCTGTAAATAGTAAAAATTTGTAATAGGTGATCCTTGTCATTTAAAATTTCAGCATCAAGATTAAATACTTATTTATAGTATGTACCCTGCGGAGAAGATGTCCATGGCAGGTGTAAGGTCACCAGTTTTTACTTCCCCTGTAGCTGTAAGGTCAAGGTTTTGACTTTGACCTGCGACCTCAGCATTGCGAGAACTGCTGTCAACAAATCGCTCCGGGGCAATGTAACACGTTCTCCTCCTTGACGTGTCAAAAAAGTACGAGAAATCCGAGGGATTGTCCTGAAAATATAACATACATGAATCATTTACAGATGTTCACAACAGATTTCATCCGAAACTCGGCAAATGTGGGTTTTTCCCAGCTAATCTGTAGGTACGAACAATCCTTTACCGTTTTAGCTTAACGGTGTGCTACCCGTCACAATAGATAATGTTTAGTAAACATGTTGCGCTTATTTTCGAAGCTATAATTGTAAAAGTTTGTTGTACCTATGGACTGTTCCTAATAACCCAATATTCTTAATTCCCCGAGTTATTTTTGTCAGAGAGATAAGGGCATATCAAATGACTGGTGACCAATTATTCCCGATAAAAAGACACCATAAATAGTAGATATATATTACTAATAATAGAGTAATAATTATACCAGCACAATGATTTGTATCCCATAAAAGTAATAAGTGTTCTTACCTAAAAAAAGATGACAGGCCATGTTAAAGGTTTTTATAGTTATTGTCTGGGAAAAGTTTACTTTAATCATGTTTTTTTTCTCAAAAAAATAAAGAAAATAAAGACATAAATTAAAATAAAGTTTGAATGGAATGCATAAAAGATCAGATTTAACCCTTTATTTGCTGATTTTTTTAATAGACTTATCCACCTTTCATATTTGGAACTTTCCATTACCAATATCCAATATTGAGATATCAAAACAAAAAACCAACTATATAGGGCCTAGTCAGGCTGTACGGAGGTACATGCTGATGGCAAAGATAATGGATTTAACTCATTACAGCATTGGAGCAGTACCTCTAGACGCTTGCAGAAATTTCATTTTTTATTTATTATCGTACATAAATCTTTGTGAAAAGATGAATTAGACCTTTTAAAGTTTGTTCCGTTGGGTAAAAAGACAAGATTTTAGCATTTTATCATTTAAGTGCCTTGTCTGGTATATACCGAAATACGGTATTTAGTGTGGTGCTCCAATCCTTTTTTTAGTCTCAAATCACTTCTGTCTGGTTCTCATAAAACTATGATTACTAATTATCCCAAAGAAAGAAAATTAACAGAAAGTAAAAGCTAATGTATTACAAGGAGTACTTACATCTGGGAGATAGGTAGGTTTAAAGCTAGCAAAGTCAGTCAACAGCAACCAGTTCCAGCCAGTTATCATCACATTCTCTGACTTTATATCACCATGGCAAACCTGTCATGTAAAAAATCTCTCACCTTAACATCATGGTTACATAAATTATGGTAATAAAGAAACATATTGTGAAAAAGATAATAAAATATCATTTTTCTTACTTAATTGGAAAGAGACCTAGGCTCTTTATTTTAAGCAAAATCATCACTGAAATTGATAATCTGGGAAATAAAAAAGCTGGCATACATTTAGATCTTTGGGAAAAAAACACAAATGTAAAGAAAATTTTGATTGGGTAGAGGCCTGCTATGGGCTCTTTTACATAAGGTGAAAAATCAATGTGTAAACTATGACAATTTACAGCTTTACATTTTTAATATTGAGAACTGATTTTGAAAAATGAACTTCAACAAAGTGACTTTCAACAGCAATTGATTCCATAGTTGACAGAAACATAGGATTTGACTTTGTATGTGGCTTTTAACACAGGTTTGAATGTAAAATATGCTTACAAAACTGCTTGTTTTTTTAAAATGTTCTTCAAAACAGGGTTTTGAATGTTAAAGGGGCCATCAACACAGGTTTGAACTCCCATACAGGTTTAAATAAAGGAGTGGTCTTTAACACAGGTTTTACTGTAAAATTTCAAATATACTCTTCAACTAAGAGTTGTCTTCAACACTTATTTTACAGTAAAATTGGCATTCATCACATAATTTCTTATTTTATAATTAAGTATAAAAAGCAATCTACAACATAGAGGGCTTCTGTGATTTTGACTTGTCACCTCCAAAATGAAAATTGAGCCGCATCATGACAAAACCAACAAAGTGGGTTTGCGACCAGCATGGATCCAGACCAGCTTGCGCAGTCTGATCAGGATCCATGCTGTTCGCTTATCAACTCTATTACAAGTGGAGATACTGATAGCGAACAGCATGGATCCTGATCATAGTGAGCGGATGCGCAAGCTGGTCTGGATCCATGCTGTTCGCAAACGCATTACCTTGGTTTTGTCATGACGCGGCTCAAATACTTTTCCTTCTTTACCTATAGATACAATGTGACTTCAATTGTGGGACATTTTACAGTCTCGGACTTCCAAATTTTTGGAACTAAATTTTTTTGGAAGCCCTGACATAAATTTGATTTTAATAAAAGAATGCCAGCACATCATACCTTCAGCTTGTGACACTGGTTAAGTGCACACAGAAGTTGGCATGCTATCCATTTCTTCTCTATTGTATTGAGGAATGGCCGTGTACTGATCCTATCATACAAACTGTCCTTCACATATTGTCGGAACAAGAGAGCTGCCTTGTCTAATTGCTGAAATAAATTGAGCACCTTTAAAGCTGCATGCCTTCAGATGAGCCAAAATATTTTTAAAAAATCACACTTGAGAAAAATGTTCTGAAATTTTAAGAAAGGTAAAATGATTCAAAATATAGTAACAATTTTCAAAGTTATTTGCAATAAATGGCCAATTTTAAAGTATTTTTCACCACATTTCTACTGTGTTACTATCGCAGTAAGGGCTACTTTTGCACATTGTGATCTTTTTTTAGTAATTTACATGGGTTGTAAGTGCCGTCTGCAATGTGTAAAATTATTTTCTTTGTTCACTTAACAATATTTTACTTTTTAATACATTTGCAAAATTTTCATGATAATTAGCAGGAATCTGGAGGCATGCTGCTTTAATATATCTGATACTAATACAAGAACATGTCAATTTCAAGACTGAGGGTTAGGTGTTGGTAATCAGTTAACTATAGTGTCATTATATGGATTTTGCAACAGTGTTTGATCAGTTTGGTTTTTATGCCGATTGTAACATATTTTTGGTCTTATCTTGGTAGGCAATACACCCAACTGCATTTTCTAGATAACTAATGAGTAATTACAAATTTCTCAACATGTCACCGACCACAATATGTGATACAAAAACAAAACATGTCAATTTGAAGACTGATGACAATCTTAACAATTAATGACATATTTATTTGAAACGTGTCATGATTTAAAAGTCTTACCACAGCCCTTTGAAATGGTATACAATTTGAAGTCCCCTTCAGATTTACACATATCTCTGGAAAAAACAACAACATATTAACACAGATTGTCATGCAACAATAAAATTTACCTATTAATTATTTAAACAGAGTTGTGTCAAAGATTTTGTGCCATCCTTTTGTAACTAAAAATATCTGAATATGCCTGAATGGGAACATCTCGCCTTTTCACCCAAAAAATTGCACTTTATAATGGCTACTTCGTTTCCTCACACCAATTTAAATAGGATCATGACTAAATAATGTAAGAATGGCTGAAAAAAGCAATAATTTTTCTCCTTTTGATCATAATTTCGATCAAGCTTCTAAAGGTACTGCTCCAACACTGTAGTGAATTTAATCCTATATACATGTACAAACAGTATTTTTTTTTAAATTTTTCAAATAGATTTAATTTTACTAATTAGCAGGTGTGCAGTTTTTATAAGCGGCCTTCAGCTTTAATTATTTGTTGGAAAAACAATTCTGTATCGGTTCAAACTAAGTATTTCACTAATTCAGTAATTTTTTCTTGGAAATTTAAGTGCATCATATCACTGTTAAGCCTTCTTCAAAACAGCATCCTTAAGAGCTATTTATAGCGCATAAGTGACGTTCGTTTCTAGAAATATAAGATCGTAAAACTTATCGTCCACTTTACTAATTTACATACAGAAAGTGGACCGATAGATTAGAAGTATTGAGGACCTTATTGTTTATGTACTTTATCAACGGCAAAATTCATGTTCCACCTTAATTCTTTTGATTTAACAATTATATGAAACGATTTATCTACAAATAACATATTTAACATTTAGAAAAACTGGAGGCCACTTTTACAGCTGTTAACATACCATCTAGTCTTGTTTTATATGATGCCAGTGGTAATGAAGGGTCATGAATGACAAAAACTTTCACCACCACACTGCCCTCTTTGCACTTCGCTTTGGCAACCTTGAAAAATCTTGTACTACCCAAACTGAAAACAATCAAAATATTTCCTAATAATACAGCTGCCAGTCCCTTTTGAAAATACTTTCGCATCCCCTCTGAATGACTGATGATTTTTTGATAAAAATTTCATATTTCAAAATATAACTAACTGTAGGTAATTGTTGTCATTTGCAAGACTGTTGTTGCCTACTGATATTAAGAAAAAAAATTTAAACCACAAGCAATTCCCAAATTTGCATGAAACACTGCTAAAATTCCAAATTTTTGTCAAAACAGTGCTAAATTCCCAACTGTGGTGCTAAAATCCCAAGTATGTGTACATGCAACAGTAACAATATTAAAATTCACCACCCAACTTGGTTATTTAATCATAATAGCATTGAAAAGAGATATTTAGCTTCATATAAAATACAACTTCTTCAAATGGTTACCTTATAACACCATTTGACAATTTTCACTGGTGATTAATTTCTTTTACCAAAATTTTACCTCTGGTAAAACAATTAATGCAAACCATTTATACATTTTCTAAACTTCAGGTAAATCAAAATTATCCCACTGTTTTTTTGTGTTTTTATTTCTTTTTCAAAAAAAAACAACAAAACTTTAAGAACTGCTAAGCATATGATACTCTCCCCAATTTTACCAGGAATGCTGCCATTCTAAAAACATTTCAATTAACAAACCAGTTACACGTTGAAAGAAGATGCATATATTACCTGCAGTCAAACTCTGTGTCAGGTAAATCTGTTAGATACTGCTCCACAGGTAGAATCTGGGAGGGTGCTATACCCGTCAACTGGTTACCCATTTAGATTACCGGTACTGCTTCATTACATTTAAAAACTTAAAAAAAAAACAAAAAAACAAAAAATAAAAGATCATTGACAAAATGTGTAACTAATCTGAGCAAATATATGCTATAATATTAATTTAAAACAAGCCTAGTCAAGGAATTGTTAGGCTGGAAGATTATGTTTGTTTTGTTTGTTTGTTTCATTTTACGCCTTTTCCCGTCATGCAGGCAGGTAGTTTCCTAACCATCGTTCCTGGAGAGTTACACCAGTACTAAACCACCTTCCTCCGCGTTTAAACTACCAAAGCACCTCCCGGGGATGGAACCAATGGCAGAGAGGTAATTGGATTAGAAGTCATCGACTCTAAGCCTCGACCACGGAGGCGGTATGACTGGAAGATTAAACAACAATTACTGGCCAATACTGGTACAGTCTAACCTGTCTATAGTGGTCAGCATGAGGACTGTGCTAAAATGACCGCTATTATAAGACAGGTGACCACTATATCCAGGTAGACAAGGCTATGGTTAAATATTATAAAATATGGCACCTGGTTCCATGACGATGCACTATTTAAATATAATTGTTTTATTACAAAAGCAAATAGTACAAAAATTATTTCAATATAAAATATACTATGTTTATCATATAGATTATGATACAACTGCTAGAGTCACAAATTAATCATATTTCTTTTGTAAAATAGTCTGTTTTTGTTTTCTTTTTGTATTTGTTTTTTATGCAGTATTTACTGTCATTCTTGTGACAACTGTCCTCTTACTGGTAACACGTTCTTTTAGAAGTAACCATAATGTATTGGCTTATAGATAACTTAAAGCAGAGATGTAGATAACATGTGCTAAAGGTCATGTTAATTTAACAGGGCACCTGCTTTAAGTTCTATATAAATTCATAATTTTAGAGAATTTTCATCATTTCTTTACATTTTATCATTATCAAGTGAAATTTATCCTTTTTTTAAAAAAAAATTGTAATGATAATTTAAGAACAGTTCAAAAGTTTATCAATATTTCATTTCCACTAATGATAGCTCTAATTTTCAAATTCACTATAATTTTTCCTTATTATCGAAACATGTCTCAAAATTTATAATAAAATTATGATCCATAAGTTTTTGGATTGTCAATATTTATAAGACAAAGCCTAAACCAGTTACTTTAACAGTTATTTAAGTCTGCACTAGTGTCACTGTCTCAATATATCTTTGAAAGGGAAATTTGTTGAAATTTTTGACAGTCAAATAAAGAAATTATGTAGAGCTGATTTTCCTCTGAGGACAGGAGGCAAATACAATGTATAACTTTATTTCTTTCTCATTTCTCTAATTTATCAATATTCCACAACACTGCCTACAAAAGCAATAGTGACGGCCACTTCTGATTAAAGGGAATAACTACATACCGAATATAAATTCATATTTTAGAATATGAAGAGAATTTCATAAGATTTTGGCATTATAACTAACATATACCATGGTGAATATTTGCTACATGTACTACGTAAAAAGTGAAAAAATGAAGTGTTATTGACAAGTTGTAAATAACCATGACAAAATGAAAGTGATAAAACCAAAATACTGACGCAATATTTTATTTAGAAATTATAAAAGTACAATTTCTCTTAATAAAATTGACATGATCTGTCATCATATATTATATGAGAAATTAATCCAAGTTTAGTGTAAAAATCAGGACAGTTTATACAATGGATAATTTTTTTCAAAAATACTGCGGCAAATATATATGCAGCCCTGAATATGGACGAGGATGCTGAAAATGTATATCAATATAATAATGAATGTTTGGCCTATATTATTAATTCAAAAACACAAAATTTTCATATACATGTAGAATAATTTATATTTCCTTTCGTGTGTTTAACTAATTTTCACTAAGCAAATATAAAACATAACATACATGTATGTATATGTAAGAAATAGCGTCTTTTTTTCATTTTTGTGAGATATTTTAAATATAAATAATAATGTTCATTATTGTTATTCTCTATCATATTCGGGTATCTTTCTGTAATTAATTCAGCAATTCAATTTCTTTCATGATAGAAGTAAATAATACATAATCAGGGCTCTTGTTTGGTAAAATTTCGGGCCGAATATCGGCCCCATTCCCCCACCAAAAAAGTGTGTTTTTTCCCCCTAAAACTGAAAAAAATCTCCCTTGAAATCCCTTGAAATTAATATTTAACGGGCATAGAAAACGCCGATCGGCGAATATATATTCCGCGAACGGCAACCGGAAATTAGTACATATTCCACAAACGGCAAATGTCGCACAATTTCAAGTCTTACCGAAAAAAAATTCCCCCTTGAATGAAAAATATTTGAAAATCATGCAAAATCCCCCCCTGCATGGACCCTGGCCCCAGTCTCAAAATACTAACGAGAGTCCTGATAATTGTACATGATTACATATAACTTCTGTTGGCGAAAAAAACCCACCCAAAACAGCTGATTTTTAATAAAATATATCATTCGCTTAAATGGGTAGGCAACATACTAAATGATTCCAAATTTTTTAATGGGGGCCATTTTCCCGTAAAAAGTTGAAAAACGCCATAGGCATAGAAGGGGTTTGACAAGAAGAAGAGAAAAGGGGAGGATTAAAAATTACATATACTTGAAACAGAACAGAAAGTTTTGCTTATGAAATCACATTTGACATGCTATTGATTCAACATTGAAGTTCATAAAAATATACATTTATAAACTTATTCAAAACTTGATCTTAAACATTAATTCATCAATGAGATGTGTGGAACTGTATCCAAAAATGTTATCCGTATACTATTCAACTTAAGACAAAGTTGAAAACAGAAGTAAAGGAAACAAAAAGTCTTTGAAATATCTATCAACCAAGTTTTCCATTTATATTTCTATTCAATCATACGAAAATAATAATTTTCTTGCCTTAAACAGGGACGACACGTATTTCTCATAAATTTTCCTTTGAGATTACGATTATTTCGTACTCATGTTTTTCCGCTCCAGAAGTTATTCGTCCCTTTAGATGTTCGACCTATATATAAAACTTGATATAAGCCGTTTTGGAAAAAAATCATATTTCAACGTCTATAATAATACGTTGAAATATTTTTTTTCAAAACGGCTTATATCAAGTTTTGTTGATATATACAGTATGATCAGTAACGTTACATGTGCTGGGATTGACAAATATACATTATTTTTTTTATTTTAAATCGTTTTGAGCTCCACATCCCAAGTGTCTGTCGTTATTTTTATTTTTTAAATTGATGATAGCCCCCGCAACTTAAGAACACATTTCTTTGTTGAATATTAAATCTATTTGTATTTTAGTTTGGGGAGACGATGCTTCGGAACCATATTCAAGCTAAGGTCTGACTAACGTCTAGTAAGCAATTAACATTTATGTTTCTGCGTAGGAATCCGAAGGTTTGGGTTGCTTTCTTGGATGTCCTGTATATGTGGGCATACGGGCTGTCCATGTAAGGATTTTCTGATATACCCAAGCCTATGTGTTTATCTCAGGAAAAGGTTTGTAATTGGACACCATGAAGGTTGTTTTGTGTTGGGATAAGATGTTAAATTTTTGTGACGTAGATAAATTGACAGTTTTAGGGGATATATAGAGGATATTGAATTCAGTGTATGCTCAATACTGAATTTATTGCACGAGTTGAATAAGATTATATTATGCGAGTCTCTGGCGAGCATAATATTAATTTATTCAACTCCTGCAATAAATTCAGTAATTAATGAACTTACACGAATTTGATATTCTATTTATCACATAAACAAAATAAATATTGTTTAAGGTGAAATAAGAGTCATTTTGCATTTACACGCATATAGTATAACGCTAACATTTAGCGCGTCTTTACACTAAGTTTGTATAACGCTAATGAAGTCACGTCAAAATATATGCAAGGCCGTGCAATACCATATTTACGGAGTCGTAAAATCGGCAAGGGTGTGTGTTATAAAATTTCATATAACTCAACGCCAACTCCCACTTTTCTAAACGATTTAGGTCATTTTGGAGGGTTAATTACTGACTGGTTTGCAGATGTCAGAGCAATGTACATATATACATGTTCCGGCGCATTCGACAAATTATTACGTCATCTAAACTGGAGCGTAACAATGGCATCTAAGACGGTAACGTCCTACTATTTCGTCAGCGAGTATATTGTGACGTCAGTTTCCAAGACGGTGACGTTTTCGACGGAGCATAATAAAAAGACGATGAAATAAGTAACATACTGATCGCATTTTATCACGTGAAACTTGCCAATATATGAAAATTACCCGAGCAGTATATTTACTAATTAATAGGTCGGTTAAGTCCGACACCAGAGGCACCAGAAACGCAGCTGGCTGCATACATTTCGTGCACAAGATGTCTGCAGCGTCATGCTACCGCGAAAATATGTGACACAAATGTGTCGTCTGCTATAAAAGTGTTATTTAATTGAGTTTCTTATGGTATTTTCATATCAAACAGAAACTAACTTGTGTTCTCATATGTAACATTCGGCTTACAAGAATGAACTCGATGTTTCCTGAGTAAAACGTTTCATAGCATTTTCGTAGCGCTGATTATCGTTATTTCAATTCATAAATGAATTGCAGTACTCCGTCCCCAAGATGTATTGTATAAAAGAAATGAAAACGATATGTACGTTACAAACGGTATACGTAATGCATATACCTAATAGCATATGGAGGTGGATATACATGAAATAAAACACACAAATACGCACCCGTGTTATACACAATAAGTACGTACAAAGTGCTATTTCATGAAAGAAAAGCCCCATTTACTGAAAAGTAAATAGTTGTACAAATAGGGTTCAGTATATACACCCCCTACGCCCCATTATACTGGTCGAATATAAACTTGTGAGATATGACTGTGTGTTGGCTTTTGAGAAAATGCGATTGAAGGGTTAAATTAACGTGTGCATTATATGTACAAAGTCAAACACATGTTCAGCTTTTTCTCATATTTCTTCTATTATCTCATTCAAATTACGACTGGAAGTGACTGTTGTCTCCACGCGAGTGACTTATTTGCGAAAAAGGCAGCCGTTAAAGGGACGCAATAGCAGTTCCGGTATCGAGCTACTTTTTGAATGACAATGGTGAATGGGAGATAAATCTGTTTTCTATTTTAATGTATTGTGTGCGCTCTAAGATAGTGTTACAGACACATCACTTTCTTGAGCGATTCATTCACACAAAGAATGGTGTTTACACCAGAATCGAAAATGAACAAACGCATTCTTCATTTGGGAATAATTCCATGTTAGGAAAGAGGAAACAAACGCTCAAGTAGAGCTAGTCCTTATGCTTCAAATTGACCCGAGTCTAGAAACTAACGATCTACATTAGAACGATTTTTGACGTAAAATGAACTATTTATTTTTTAGAAATGCATAACATGTTTTAAATTCATTCGTTTGGTTAGTGTTGTTATATTTTTCAGGTCGTTCGGGATCATTGATTCCAACACTTTTAAGTGTTGAAAATTGAGTACCGTTCAAGCCGGTGCTAGGGGGCGTAAGGGATGTTGCACTCTTTCATTTTTCCTCGTGTACAGGGTATGCAATTATCATGCAATTTTGTTGTGATTAATGCTTCCGAGGAATCGCACTTTCTCCAGATTTTTGAATTCCTGCTTTTAATTAAAGAAAACACACCCTTCTGTATAATAGGATGATGATGATAATGGCAATAAAATCATTATCATCATCATCATTATTATTATTTCTTTATATTATTTGTAATATTTTTTATATTGTTATCATTTTCAATAAATAGTACCAGTATCTTTATGATCATTATTTCTTCTTCTTTTTCATCTTCTTCTTCTTCCTTTTATTATTATCATTATTACATTATTATCATATTATAATTATTATAATCATTATTATTATTATTATTATTATTAATATATTAAGTTGCATCAGTCTTAGTTTCCATTTGTAATGTAAAGATTTTTGGTTTTTAACACATTTCCCTGCATCCTAACGTCGAATTAAAATATACCGACGCATTCGACGCATTATTATTTCGTCAGAACGTAACAACGGTATCCTAGACGGTAACGTCCTACTATTTCGTCAGAAAGTATATTGTGACGTCAGTTTCCAAGACGGTGACGTTTTCGACGAAGCATAATAAAAAAAAAGACGATCAAAAAAGTTATAAAATGATCGCATTTTATCACATGAAACTTGCATTATATGAAAATTACCCGAACAGTTTATTTACTAATTAATAGGCCGGTTAAGTCCGTATCCGCACCAGAAACCTAGCTGGCTGCATACATTTCGTGCACAATATGTCTGCAGCGTCATGCTACCGCGAAAATATGTGACACAAATGTGTCGTCTGCTATAAAAGTGTTATTTTATTGAGTTTCTTATGGCATTTTCATATCAAACAGAAACAAACGGGCCGTTCAACTTGTGTTCTCATATGTAACATTCGGCTTACAAGAATGAATTTGATGTTTCCTACGTAAAACGTTTCATAGCATTTTCGTAGCGCTGATTATCGTTATTTCAATTCATAAATGAATTGCAGTACTCCGTCCCCAAGATGTATTGTATAAAAGAAATGAAAACGATATGTACGTTACAAACGGTATACGTAATGCATATACCTAATAGCATATGGAGGTGGATATACATGAAATAAAACACACAAATACGCACCCGTGTTATACACAATAAGTACGTACAAAGTGCTATTTCATGAAAGAAAAGCCCCATTTACTGAAAAGTAAATAGTTGTACAAATAGGGTTCAGTATAATTTTGAATTCATTCGTTTGGTTAGTGTTGTTATATTTTTCTGGTCCTTCGGGATCATTGATTCCAACACTTTTAAGTGTTGAAAATTGAGTACCGCTCAAGCCGGTGCTAGGGGACGTAAGGGATGTTGCACTTTTCATTATTCCTCATGTACAGAGTATGTAATTGTCATGCAATTTTGTTGTGATTAAATGACACCTTTTGAAATGCAATGTTTTTCTTCTGAAAGTCTCATGTCGCCCTTCTGTATCTTTATGGATATATCTTTATGGATAAAGCAGTGAGATTTTAAACATTTGGCGCCATTCAACGCTGAATTTTTCGCACGCTTAACTCATGCTCGTGACAAATAAGATGTAAAAACTTGACGATGATTAACCTTAACTCTCGCATGTTTCACCAGTGACGGTCAGACACTCATTAATTTTCCCATAGACTTACATTATAAGAAATGGTCCCTAATCCTACCTTAAAAATGAGGTTTAATGCTAAAGAGGTGGTTCTTCAAGCAGAATGAAATACCTGACACATAAAAATGTTCCTGTTATATAGCGGTAGCCAACCATTTTTTTGCAAAATGACTTCAATGAGGATTACCCCTCCCCCCAATTTCATTGAAATTTTCTGCTGATCACATGACTGACATAACATACACTTTTCATAAATCAAATATCCAAGTCACAAATTATCACAGAGACTCATGAAATATTTCATTTTCTTCAGAAAACAATATAGTGTTACTTTCTAAATAAGTTTCATACTTAAAAATACCCCATTTTCATCCAATCACCTCATGTCCAATTGAATCTTGCGGTTTTTCCTGCACTTTTTTCAGCCAATCGCTGGAGCCCATGTTACAATGCGAAAGTATGACTTGACTAGTAAAAGTTCTTCAAAAGCGAATGTTGTGTCTCGCTTCTTATCTATTAACAAGAGCAGTGCGCTCGTATTTTCACAGGGCTTGATTTTGTATATTTGTTTGTTGTCACACCGACACAGTATAGGTCATTGACCTCAGGTGCCCTTCCGTGCATTATTTCAGATCGAACGGGCACGTGAGTTTAACCACTGAAGTTTCTTCAATTAGTCGAGCTAAAACAAGAGATTTAGCCAATCTAATATCTTAACAGGCGATATTTTAACTGCCTCAAACAGGTCACCATAGAAACGAACGGAAAGTTGTAGCGAACTTAAAAAAATGGATGGTCATTTCTAGGAACAGAGCAACTGTTGATTCCAGCATTGAATGAATTTTCATTTGTTCTTTGTAGGCTGCTGAAACTCTATAAAAAAAAACAACAACAACAACGTGTTCCCATCACCAAACAAATAAGGAACTAACCAAAGTTGAGGTCCAAAACGTTATCCATATAACATTAACACAATAAATGCTTAGCATAATCGATTTAAGTAAACATCTATTGAAGGCAGCCATTTTAACATTGAATTAACGTTAATCTGTCCGATTAAAATAAGTGCACGAAATTAAGTGCACGAAAATTTCGTACAAATACAAGCTGTCACACCTTGCACTGCCAAAAGGCCGTGTAAATATTTTCTATAGTTTCATGTTTTCAACAAGAACGTACATTATTTTCAATTAGATTTTTTTATTATTAAATGCGAATATACCTGATTATATCGTCGTATAAGTCACATACAGTTACTCGTACATGTATGTTCAAAAATGTGTGCTTCTACTTCTACGTCTTTATGTTCTTCCTCCGGTCGGTATACCCATAGGTCCGTCTGTCCATAGGGCGGGCGGTTGGTAGGTAGATATATAGTATACTTGCATGTGGTAATAAAAGTGGATGAAAGATCCTAAACTGAAGAGCACCTGATATACCTTACGTCTGCCCGCGTCCTACCCGAATTTAAACCTTTTTCAGATAGATTAATGTATCGCAAAACAAAAATCGTTCGTAAAACAGATAATATTTGGTATATAATATATAGCTGTCACTGAGTTATGGGCCTTGAAAGTGGTACGTATTTGTTGTATAATACTATTCATCACTGCCTTTGATAAAGAACATGACACGTTTAAATTAAGAAGTTGCTTGATTTACAGTCAACTGATATGTTGAGCAATGGATATATTTTCAACAAATAATTGTAAGTAATAGCTAAGTAATAGCTATGGACTTTGATTTTGCAGAATATTATATGCTTGGTCACAAACTTCTTATACTATATTATTGCAAGTTTCGTGGCAATATCTTTGAAACTTATCAATACATCTTATATTAGATTATTAATATAAAATACCAGACGAAAATATTGATAATCATTTCTCAGCCGGCAAAATACAAGGCTATTCAAGAAGCTCAAACTTGTTGAGCGGACAAAGGGTTAGAACTCCCTCAAATGGCAACATATCCTACCAAACTTGATTCGACAAACACATTTATGTAGAAAGTATGAAAAGAAGAAGGTTATATCTTTATAAATGACCAAATGACCTGATGTTTTACATAATAAACATTTACTTGAGTGTATTGAATCATGTTAAAATATCACCAGACATATTTGAAAATAACAAGAAATATAATAACATCTTAACATTGTTTAGAATTTATAGCTTTTGAAATTTTGATATGCTTTGCTTGTTTATATGGAATTTTGATGATTGACCACTGTATTTCCGATTATTTTTTCTATGCTTTACATGTTTTATTGTAAATCATTTATATGAATTGTATATAGTTGAAAGTGACTTATAGGCCCAACGTGGCCGGGTGTTGTAATTTGTTATATGTATGTTTATTATATTGTACATAACACAATGTCACTATAATAAAATTTACTTACTTACTTACTTACTTACTTATACTAGCCTATCTCGGACATGCTATTGTATTACGCAGTATCAGCGGAAGCACGGACAACCTATGCATGCCGCCATATCCGGTTTGTGGAATAGAGCCTTGGGGCTCATAGGAGCGAGACAGAAATTTTTTAGATGATCATATGTATTTAATGTTCGGCTTAACGTTGGCAAAACATGAATTTATTCCCCGACGGATACACTTATACATGTGGACACAGGCCCATACGCACATAACCATATCCGGTTCTGTCTTATTGGGACTGGTGCTCGAAGGAGACAGTCGGGACATTCCGAGACTTTATTTCAAATAATCATCTGCATACAATTTTTCGTTTAAAGTACCACAACATTCCTGACGGCCACACTTATACCAGCAGACACAGGACATGACGTTCCTGGATAACTAACAAGCACTTACCATTTTCTCCGCATCTGAGTAACTACTTATCCCACCTGATTTCCCAATCAGCGTGTGAGAGCACGAGAAAAATTGTCTCGGAGAAATGTCACCTCTACCACGAAAAACTAGCGATCTAATTATCTCCCTGTAATTGAGCTTAGTGGGCGGACAAGCCTAATTCCCTAGTTTTTCAGATTATATAACCGGTATATTAATGGTGAATTTTCATTTTAAAAGTCATAAATGTCACAAACATACAGGGGTAATCTTCCAATTATTTTTATTATTTGAATTTTTAATGCTAAAACTGGCCATTTTCAATGGTTTTGTCAATTGAAAAATGTTTATATTTGGTCTAAAATCACTGCTTTAGAGTACTACCAATTTTAAAAAAATGACTCTAGAGCATTTAACATGAGCCTTATTAATATCGTTTTACTAAGTAACAAAAATAAACAACTACTTAAATGTTTTCTGTTAAGGAACAACAGCAAAAAAAGACAATAGATCGTTATTTTATTCATCTTTTATTCAAATATAAATACAAGAAATGTCGAACGACTAATATGCGCCCCTTTCTAGCCTTTGACTCACATTTAAAGGTTCGCTTTTTAACAAATTCTTAAAGTCTTACCTGTATTTTATTATTTATGTGGGTCTTTTTAACTTTTAAAACTACATTTGACTTGAATTTGTGACTTGAGCAATATTGATGTTTTAATTTGTTTTTTAAATACATGTATGTATCATTTATTTGGTTTAGGTTACTGTACAGTATTTTTGAATATGTTAATGTGCATGAAAAAAGTGCTTAAGAAGTTTGGTATATAATAATAATAATAATAATAATATAATTATAATAGACACTTGCCATAAATGGGTACATGGAAGTGTTCAATTATGGAAAAAAGAAAAATAATGAAGACTTTGTGATAAATAGTTTTCAAGATAATGCCAGCGGAAACCATTTTGACATTTAAGGCCTCTGTGACCTTGACCTTTGAACTATTAACCCAAAATTAATAGGGGTTATCTAATATTATGACCAACCAATATTAGAAATATGAAGAATTTGTGATGAATAGCTTTCAAGATAATCAACGGAAACCATACTACCATTCAAGAACCCTGTGACCTTGACAATTGACCTAGTGACCCCAAAATCACCAGGGGTACTTACTAGTTATGACCAAACAGTATGTGATATATGAAGACTTTGTGATAAATAGTTTTCAAGATAACCAGCGGAAACCATTCTGACATTTAAGGCCCCTGTGACCTTGATCTAGTGACCCCAAAATCAATAGGGGTCATCTGCTAGTTTTGACCAATCACTATGTGAAATATGAAGACTTTGTGATAAATAGTTTTCAAGATAATCAGCGGAAACCATGTGGTCTACCGACAGACAGACTGACGGACCGACATTAGCAAAACGATACATGTATACCCACTCTTTGTCGAAGGAGGGCATAATAAAATGTATGCCAATTCAAGGAACTCCACTGATGTTTTTTGACATGATGGGATAGGAAAGACTTTTTCAAAATTTGTGTACCATTTGATGAAGAACCGTGGACCAACAACTTAAATGCAAATTTAAATTTTCAGATTATTCTTTCACCAAGTTTTTTTTCCAGAATAATCATTTACATTGTGCAATATGACCCAAATAAGAAAAGCATTGCAATCTTTATTATCCTATTTCAATGCTTAAACAGATCTATGTAAGAATTTCAAATTTTATAATTTTAGTTTTTTTTTTTACCTCAGTGAAGCTCCTTTAACTCAAAATAATAAATAACAAAATTCATAACAGTGTACATTTGTATTTATATTGTATATGAAATTAATATCACAGTCCTTTGAGCTTAAAGTGAATTGTTCCATAATGGAAATATGTGTAAACAAGATCAATAGGATAAATGTATTACAGTTCACCTTGTCTGGATTTCTTTATCTAGACTATTTTAATGCAAGATTAACATATCAACGGACAACGATATTGTATATTTTATGTATTTTAACCATTTGATTATTATCATACATATTAGTATAGAATAGGAGTCAAGTTGGCTCATTTCTAAAATAATTAAAGTATATGTTCTGTAATTCCACAAACAATAATGTTGATAATACTTAGTATCATATGTGACAATAAACTACAAAATAATCATTAGTGCGATATATATGATCATATAGGACATATCTCTATACAGCAGATAACAAATTGTTCTAGAACAAACTATTATTATCCATCATACAAACGTCCAATTACTAAACCAATAAGAACTTTATCAATATTTTTTTCTTCCAAGAAATATTTTTCTTAAGAATATCCAAATAATACATATAATAATAATATTTTATCAATATTTGAAATATATTGTACTCCCATGGCAGACAAATCCACCTTAAGTTCTAATATACCACCTTAAGTTCTAATATATACAAGTTATACAGACAGACAAGTTATTAATGTAAATAAGTCACTATAGATATCAGTCTGGTTGAAGAACTAATTAGATTCCTATGGTATTTCTGAGATCAGAATCCGGTAAACAAAGTCTTTGAAATATAGAAAAAAAAGCCCCTGAGCTTATATACATGTACACAAATGCAGTATTAATGCCCGTCTGCTTAGGCCAAACTTATAAATAACCAATTTTTCTATAAATATTGGCAAATTTATAAATAACAAAGTTTTCTATAAATATTGGAAAACTTATAAATAACGAATTTTTCTATAAATATTGGCAAACTTATAAATAACCAATTTTTCTATAAATAATTGCAAACTTATAAATAACCAATACTTCTATAAATATTGGCAAATTTATAAATAACCAATTTTTCTTTAAATATTGGCAAACTTAATAATTACCAATTTTTTCAATACATTTTGGCAATCATATCAACCATGTAACCAATTTTTCTATAAATACGTATATGTATTTGCAAAATTATCAATAACCAATTTTTCTATAAATATTCGAAGTTAAAAAGGGGAATAATTCCTAAAAGTAGTGCTCTCAAGATTATGTACCCTAGCATACTATGCCTTGTAATGATAATCAAGAATTCAAAGTGTCATGTTGATAGCTTTGATAGTTTTGAAGTACTTAATTCTGCTTAATAAGCATTTTGATGATAAATTCAAAGTCAAAAAGGGGCATAACTCTAAAAAATGTAGCTTTCAGAATAATGTCCCTTTGTCTTACAACTGGGCCTTGTCATGTAAAAACAACTATTTTAAGTTTCCTAATCATACCACTTTAAATACCATTCATATTTTGGAAATCATTTTACTTAACAAGCATATTTTGAGAAGACAAAAATAAGTTGAGAAGGTGCATAACTCCAAAAATATAGCTTGTGAAATAAATTTATTAATTGTCTTAAAATTGTGCAGCATCATAATAAACAAGTATTTTTAAATTTCCTTACTTTACTTTATATAGTTTTGAAATAATTCAACATTGTACTTTATAGGCAATTTTGATAAAAAAAAACATCAGCTAAAAAGGGGCAGGTCACTCCAATATATTGCTACCAGAATAATACCCTTATCTAACTCAAAATAAGCAATTTTCCAAGTTTTCACTAATCTTGATTGCAAGTTAAAAAGGGGCAGTACTCTAAAATATTGCTACAATAATAATGCCCCTTGTCTAACAACTACACCTTTGTCAAATTAAGCAAGTATTTCAAGTTTTGTGTTGACACTTTTTAAAATATTTAGGATTTTGCACATCAAAGAACAACACAGCTTTCATAACTGTTTTTTTTCTTTGAAAGTTAAAAATCAAAATAATAGAATATCACAGAGAAAGATATCTTATCAAAGTCTATCCTATATTTAAGATTCATGTCAAAGTTTCTCTATTTCTTTTTGTTAATATAACATCTATTCCATTTGCTGGTTTCAACATCAGCTCTAATAAAGGGCACAACTCCTCCCTTTTTTGAGTACTCTTCACATTGAAGTTACGAAATATGGTTGAAAGGATAACTTTCTCCTCTAGAACTGCAAACTTCTGACCTACAAAACAAATAAAGCCAAATAATTTGTATAGCTAAATGTGAGGGAGAACTAAACTTGAATAATATATAATTTCATAAAAAGGACTTGTAATCATTGTGAAAGGGTATATTATTTTCCGAACTAAACAGCGAAAATAAAAGTAATGTAAAGCAAGCAGCGTAAGACTTTGACAGTCATTAAGTATTCAAATGTTATTTACATGTTTTTATGAAAATCCAATATTTATCAAATGATTTTTTATTTGGTTACAATTTAAGAAAATGCTGTACACTATGGAAACTTTACCGCTTTACTTGTAAGTTCCTCACTATGCATTATTTTAGAACACAAGAAGACACCAAAGTAGGAGCAATGAACTTCAGTAAACTCACTGGATAGCTTCCTCACACAGAAAAATCCCCGACCAAAATTGATCACATTCAGAGCAAAATAAAGAAATACATGACTGTATATCATAGAAATAAATTCGTACCTATACAGTTCCTACCCCCAGCAGAGAAAGGTATGAATGCAAATGGGTGTCTTGACACAGAGTTTTCTGGTAGAAACCTATCTGGATCATATTTCAACGAGTCAGGATAGATATTTCTATTTCTATGAATAGCTGCTGAAGCTATAACAACAGTAGTGTCCTTAGCTATATTTACCCCACCTGAAAACAAACATAAACCTGGGCATTTATCTGTTGGTTGGACAGCATGCTGCACTTTTTGTTAAAATTTCAAAAAGGGCCATAATTCTTTAAAAATCCGTATAAGAGTTATGGGCCTTATTGGAGAGTGACCCATTATACTCTCATATAAGTGAAGTTTCAACCCATTTCATTTAGAAGTCTTCGAGAAGCCAACTTGCACTCAAAACTCAAAAACTTAATCAAAGTGTGACGCCAATGCCTCTTGTGTGTACAATATTGAATAGCTCTAAAATCGAGCTAACACATATAAATCAGTAACACATTCAGACTTTTCTTTTTGCTTTTACTTCAAAAAGTGAGAATACTTAGTAAATAATCAAAGTTTTTTTTTTCGTTTAAAATGTTTCTGTTATCATATTCTAACAACATGCCAAGTTTTAAGAAATTCTATTGAACAGTTTTAATTTTGCCTGTATGTCTATATGAAAACTCCCGAAAACGTCTTTAAATCCATCAAGGATTAAAGAGAAAGAACATACCTATAACAGTGTCCTCTGTCAAACTTCTACCAAACAATGCAACAGATGGAAATATCCTCAAAGATTCCTGAAATTGTTTTAATTAATAATTCCTTAAAGTTATAATGGATTGATTTTCAGGATATTAATGAATTATGTTTTTTTTTTCAATTTAAACTATATTTACTGTAGGATCTACTCCTGCAACCCAGTGCACACATAAGCAGTGGAAAGTCACCATATGACTTCTATTACATTGGTGTGAGGTAAAAGCCTACCAACCAAAAAAAAAAATTTAAAAAAAATCATATTATATAAGGAAAATTTTTCTCAGTTTATTGAATATCAATGGGATATTTTCTATATCTCATTTCTCACCTTAATACAACATTCCAGATATTTCATTTCTTTGAGATCATCTATGGTCACATCTCTATCATTTTTACCTAGGAAACAATTATAATGTACATCTTAATTAAAGTGTATTGGTCTATAATGGAAGGTCTGTAATACAATATACATGCATAATTATGTTGATATTATTTAGTAATCATAATTATAATGTGACATCAAAGCAAGAAAAGAATATATATATGGATGTTGTTGGTAAGTCAGTTATTAAAAAAAAATCTTATACATTGTAACTTATCTATATATATATAGCGCTGATAGAACAAAATATTTTTTAATGCGAGTGCCCATTCTAAATCTCTTACAACTTTACCATGATTTTTTTCCAAGAAATATTTAACAATGTATATGAATATGAAAATGATGCATTTCTGTTGGTTTTTATCAATATTAGACATACTTATGGTAAATATGCCTGTTGACGACCAATTCACTGTAATCAAAATGCACAGTCAAATCTGTGGCAAGACTAGACCACAGTCATGTGAATTCACATACATGTATATACAAAACTATGAGCAAATAGAAAAGCTGATGTTTATGACCACAGCTTTTACTTGACTCACATCTTTCAAAGTAGAAACCTTATGTTTTTAGAGATCATCTAGCAAAAAAAAACATTTTTTTCAATTTATATATGAAATGGTGTTCATTTATTAGTTTGACTGTACTGTACTCCACACAATTATCTGCATAATGATTGTATTAAAAGTTAAAACATTATGTTACCAAATATTCTATCCATTTCTTCATGAACTTTTCTCTGAACTTCAGGGTTGGCCCCTATGAAATGTAGAGCCCAGCTTGACGCAGTAGCTGTAGTATCATGACCCTAAAGCAAAAGAAAAGGAAATATTATGAGTTATCACTGGAATGGATTCATTATTCTCAAATGAAAGTCATGCCACAGTCACTGGATCTTTTTTTTCTATAGATATACCATCAAAGTCATACAGTCACCTTCAAGAACAACAATAATTCTGTGTTAAATTGAGTGCATCATTTCGGAGCCCGCTGTCTGGCCTGGTTCTTTACTGGTGGGCAAAAGAAATTCATGGTGGCTGCCTTTATTTTGAGGATAAAAATAATTTATGCATTCACTTAAATAGCTTCTATGATTTGTCTATAGAATTTGGTATCATAATTTAACTCTTGTAGGCATATAACAAATCATAGTCTTTGACAATATGGCTGAAATATCACATTTTCCTGCCATCAATCTTCCACCAATGCTTCAAATAATTTGATGAAGGAAGCCTTGGTAGATGTTTTCTTCTTAAACAGATAACTTCTGCAGAAGAAACCCTAATCTAGCGTTTCATATACAATCCTAAATCTAGCATTTCATATACAATCCCAAATGTAGCATTTCATATACAATCCCAAATTTTAAGCATTAAATATACAATCCTAAATCTAGCATTGAATATACAATCCTAAATCTAGCATTAAATATACAATCCTAAATCTAGCATTAAATATTCAATCCTAAATCTAGCATTAAAAATACAATCCTAAATCTAGCATTAAATATACAATCCTAAATCTAGCATTAAATATACAATCCTAAATCTAGCATTAAATATACAATCCTAAATCTAGCATTAAATATACAATCCAAAATCTAGCATTACATATACAATCCAAAATGTAGCGTTACATAATTATACAATCCTAAATCTAGCATTGAATATACAATCCTAAATCTAGCATTAAATATACAATCCTAAATCTAGCATTAAATATTCAATCCTAAATCTAGCATTAAATATACAATCCTAAATCTAGCATTAAATATACAATCCTAAATCTAGCATTAAATATACAATCCTAAATCTAGCATTAAATATACAATCCTAAATCTAGCATTAAATATACAATCCTAAATCTAGCATTTAATATACAATCCTAAATCTAGCATTTAATATACAATCCTAAATCTAGCATTTAATATATATATACAATCCTAAATCTAGCATTAAATATACAATCCTAAATCTAGCATTAAATATACAATCCTAAATCTAGCATTTAATATACAATCCTAAATCTAGCATTTAATATACAATCCTAAATCTAGCATTTAATATACAATCCTAAATCTAGCATTAAATATACAATCCTAAATCTAGCATTAAATATACAATCCTAAATCTAGCATTAAATATACAATCCTAAATCTAGCATTTAATATACAATCCTAAATCTAGCATTTAATATACAATCCTAAATCTAGCATTTAATATACAATCCTAAATCTAGCATTAAATATACAATCCTAAATCTAGCATTAAATATACAATCCTAAATCTAGCATTAAATATACAATCCTAAATCTAGCATTTAATATACAATCCTAAATCTAGCATTTAATATACAATCCTAAATCTAGCATTTAATATACAATCCTAAATCTAGCATTAAATATACAATCCTAAATCTAGCATTAAATATACAATCCTAAATCTAGCATTAAATATACAATCCTAAATCTAGCATTTAATATACAATCCTAAATCTAGCATTTAATATACAATCCTAAATCTAGCATTAAATATACAATCCTAAATCTAGCATTTAATATACAATCCTAAATCTAGCATTAAATATACAATCCTAAATCTAGCATTAAATATACAATCCTAAATCTAGCATTAAATATACAATCCTAAATCTAGCATTAAATATACAATCCTAAATCTAGCATTAAATATACAATCCTAAATCTAGCATTAAATATACAATCCTAAATCTAGCATTTAATATACAATCCTAAATCTAGCATTTAATATACAATCCTAAATCTAGCATTTAATATACAATCCTAAATCTAGCATTAAATATACAATCCTAAATCTAGCATTAAATATACAATCCTAAATCTAGCATTAAATATACAATCCTAAATCTAGCATTTAATATACAATCCTAAATCTAGCATTTAATATACAATCCTAAATCTAGCATTTAATATACAATCCTAAATCTAGCATTAAATATACAATCCTAAATCTAGCATTAAATATACAATCCTAAATCTAGCATTAAATATACAATCCTAAATCTAGCATTTAATATACAATCCTAAATCTAGCATTTAATATACAATCCTAAATCTAGCATTAAATATACAATCCTAAATCTAGCATTTAATATACAATCCTAAATCTAGCATTAAATATACAATCCTAAATCTAGCATTAAATATACAATCCTAAATCTAGCATTAAATATACAATCCTAAATCTAGCATTAAATATACAATCCTAAATCTAGCATTAAATATACAATCCTAAATCTAGCATTAAATATACAATCCTAAATCTAGCATTAAATATACAATCCTAAATCTAGCATTAAATATACAATCCTAAATCTAGCATTTAATATACCATACAAGTCTTATCTTGCTTGAACATAACATGATTCACCTTTGTCAACCGTACAGAGCCAAGCTGGCCTACCCATCTTCATAGTCAGACCTGGCTCTATACTATTGGCAAAATAATATTTTTTTTTTTTTTTTTTTTTTTTTTTTTTTTGGAACCACGTTTAAGGCCCTTTTATTTACTTTTCCTTTTTACATTATAAATTCTTATACATCTTACATTTTTCAATTAATTATTTTACATAACATACGTTACAAACTAATATATATGTTGTTGTAGACATTTTAAAATAATTTCAAAGAGCTTAAACGTGAATCTCTTTAAGAAAAAGTTAAGAAAACGGATATTATATTTTAAACAAGATAGAGTTTTGTTAAATCAATTTTAAAAAAATTTCTTGAGTCAGTTGGAAAAATGCTGACAATTTGGGGAGGTGCTAAAATATAAAAGGATAATTTGCAAGAAAAAAAAAACTGTAGTAAACAAAAACATATTTTTCAAACAAACTACGATAAGAAAAAAAAAATAGGTAATTTTAAGAAAGAAAGGCTGCTTTGGTAATATACTTCTGACATATCATCAATCAGTTCTTATAACATTATTAGAAAGTTATTCCACTTCCTGTTGAAATCATCAAGAGAATCATTTTGAAATGCTATGTATTTTTCTAAAGATATTCTATCAATCAATTTTCTTTTAAACACAAGATTATTTGGTATTTTCTTTTTGTTTTACAACTATATATACATGTATAATATTTGGCAAATAAGAGAATATATGATAAAAATTGATTTCAAGAATGAAAAAAGGACAAAAATTTGTCTTGGGTTGCATGTTTACCAATTTCAACCAACCATTTAAACAATTCATTCCAGAAAATTTGTGTTTGTTGACCGTACAGAGCCAAGCTGGCCTACCCATCTTTATAGTCAGACCTGGCTCTATACTGTTGGCAAAATAATTTTAACTTTCATCCTGATGTCCCCAAAATTGGTTATGGACAGTTCAAAAATGGAAGCTGGACAAGTCCATTTAAAGAAATTCAGCAGGGTAATTTCAAGTGTTTAAGCAGACAATATATTTAAACAAGAGCTGTCGGTAGGACAGCACGCTCGACTATTCTAAGTGCTTGATAGTAAAAGAGCCTTGATAATGTTAAATTTTTTAAGTTCACAAAAGGGCTAATTTTTTTTTATAAATTCATGTTATAGGCCTAAGAGAGAGTCTAATTATACAGTAATGTCACAAGGGTGTTTTATTGAGTATAATAATACTAATTACCTATGAATAAATAAATTTGACAGAAAAGGTACAAAGGCTTGTTATTAAGATGTTTTATCAAGTCAATCACTGCTTTATTATTATGAATGCATAAAATTGTCCCAAAAAAGGCACAAACCCTTCAGTAGTTATTGAGATAACAGCTTACAAGCAAAACTTTACCATGAGTTTCGAAGTTGAAAAAGGGGAGAAAAATCAGCCTAAATGCAAGATAGAATTATGGATCTTTGTCAGTGACCTACAATTATGACCCTAAATGCATATGTGAAGTTTTAAATAAATATCTTTAATAGTTATTGAGATATGTAAAACTTGCATGTAAACATCAACCAAGAGACTAAGTAGAAAAGGGGATATGAATCAGCCTTAATGCAAGATAGAGTTATGGAACTTGGTCAGTGACATACAATCATGACCCTCCAATTATGACCCTAAGTGCATGTGTAAAGTTTCAAGTAAATATCTTTGAAGACCTTTAATCTTTAACCAAAATTTCTAAGTTTCAAAGGGGCAAATAATTCTGCAAATATTTTAGGCAGAGTTATGCAATTTTGCAAACTGATGTACATTGTTACTATAAAAAAGTATTTTAAATTTCAATTGAATATCTCAAGCAATCATTGAGATATTTATCTTTACAAAAAAACTTTAACCAAAATTTCTAAGTTCCAAAGGGGCATAATTCTGTCAATATTGTAGGCAGAGTTATCCAACTTGTCAATCTGATGTACATTGTTACTATAAATAAGTATTGTAAGTTTCAATTGAATATCTCAAGCAATAATTGAGATATTTGACTTTACAAAAAACTTTAACCAAAATTTCTAAGTTAAAAAGGGGCATAATTCTGTCAATATTGTAGGCAGAGTTATCCAACTTGTCAATCTGATGTACCTTGTTACTATAAATAAGTATTGTAAGTTTCAATTGAATATCTCAAGCAATCATTGAGATATTTGACTTTACAAAAAACTTTTACCAAAATTTCTAAGTTAAAAAGGGGCATAATTCTGTCAATATTGTAGGCAGAGTTATCCAACTTGTCAATCTGATGTACTTTGTTACTATAAATAAGTATTGTAAGTTTCAATTGAATATCTCAAGTAATAATTGAGATATTTGACTTTACAAAAAAACTTTAACCAACGCAGACGCGGACGCCGACGCCGGGGCGACTACAATAGCTCTCATATTCTTCGAATAGTGGAGCTAATCATATTCTTCGAATAGTGGAGCTAAAAATTAGCAAATCAGACATTATGGCAAGAGCAAATCTTTATCTTTGAAATATATATATTGAGGGTTGACGGCAAAACTGTTGTAAGTTCTTCTTTATTTCATATAAGTTACTACAGTTTTGCAATCAACCCTTTAAATATAGTCATATAAACTTCAAACCTCAAACATAAATGTATCCACTTCTTCTCTGATATCTTCATAGGTCAATTTCTGTGGTCCTTCCGTTGCACACAAAAGCATATCTAGAAACGCTAGTCTTTTTTTCGTGCCTACAGAGTTATCTTCCCCTTTCTCTTCTATCAATTTCTCCATTGTAGTGTCACTGTTATGCCTTGTAATAAACTCTGCTTGCCTTTCTTGTATAACCTATGAAAACAAAAGATATTAAAACTGATCACTTGGCTCCTTTTAAAATATATAAAATATACTTGTCATTTTTATACAAAATATGTAATTATTCTGATTTCTATACAAAAAATAAAATCAGATATTTTTATACAAAATATAAAAATATGCCTATTTTTATACAAAATATAAAAATATGCCATTTTTATACAAAAACTATTTTGACAGTTTCTGAGAAAACTATGTGAATTGTCCAGAATCCATGATGGGAAGAATAGCTTGCATAAAAATCCGAAACAAAATGGGTAAATATAGAGGAAAGTCAGGAGGGTAGAACTGCATTTCAGTTTTCTTAAAACAATAAAATCTTTTAATTTTATATAAATGTTTAAAAAGTTGAAATTTACCCATTGATTAACTTATATGGTGTCAAAGCGCACATGGATCAGCGAAAATTCTCATATATTTTTTACCAATGCTCTATTTTGAGATATTTATGGGGTTCACCCCCGTGTTACAGTGTTAATATTTCACCTTTTCTGTAAAGTCATGTAGTATGGACAAGCATCTGGTATAGTCCTTGCCTGGACCAATCAGATTAAAGAGAAAATCTGACCATAACCAAGGTGTCCTTGCCCTCAATATTGTATACTCTGACATCCTGAAACAAAATCCTGAAGTTAATCCTGAAAGAAAATTATAAAAGAAAATGCTTGAAGAAAATGGTGAAGAAAATCTTGAAAGAAAATACCATGGAGCTAAATATAGATGGAGAAGAAACTGTGACACACAGTTACATTCATTATCAACAAGATTGTTTTTCCGCAAGTTATATGTTGCGGGATTTTCTGAGATTTGATGCATCCTGGGTAAAAGTACCCAAAATATCGCCATATTGAATTCCCGGAGGTAGATCAACAAAAAAAGACGAAACATTTTCTACTTATACAAGAAGCAATAGTTATTTATTCTAAATTCTAACACTCACGTGATTTTGTCACTATAGACAAAGAAGGAAAAAAACTAGTGTTAAACTGACAATAAACACCGGTTAGGGACTACTTGTATATGCGCTGTTATGTTTTCACCCTCGATTGTATAGTTTACAAAGCATTTTAAAGCAACAATAAAAAGCATTTTTATTTATATTTGCAGTTCTTATAATGTTTTCTTTTCATACAATACCGAAATAATATCTCACATACACTAACGCCACATATTAGATCCATATCAGTTAATAAATACTTAGACAAAACCGCGCCAATCCGTAAGCAGCGTAAATGACGTCATCCTAAGTAAACAACTAATTCATAAACAAGCTGACGTTATTTCATACATACAAGAATGATAAATGGGGCACTGATGTAAACACGATACAACGTAAGTTTTTATTGTTGAAAACTTGATAAAATAACGTTTTTTTTCTTATTATTTCTTTTGTTTGATAATTTCTATATCTTCGCAACAGTAGGGTGCGAAAATCGAACAGCGTTATACGAAAATCGGCACCGGAAGTTATTTCCGCTTGTAAAATAAGTTTAGTGATTTTCCTTATTTTATCGTGTTAGAATCGAAATAACATCGGCCAGAGAGGTGTATATCGGCTATTTAACACCGGTTTTGTTGTTTTGATGTGACAAAATTAACCACTCAGGCCTACCGCCTTCGTGGTCAATTGCTACGCATCAAAACTCCAAACCGGTGCTAAATAGCGGATATACACCTCTCAGACCGATGTTATTTCTTAAACAAACAATACACACTTTTCCACACAAACACTGATGAAAATCCATGTCGGCAATATAAACAATAATTCACGAATATCGCCAAAGTTGAACAAGAGTGCGAAAATCGGAGACTAGCGGGAAAACCCAATTTTCACCGAAGCACGCAAAGGATTGTGGGTCTGAATCTGACAGGGTCTATTTTTGAGCTTCCTATCCATCCATTGTATATATATCTGTGAAAATTATAAGAAAATCTGGAGAAAAAAAAACATAAAGAAAATCATAAAAGAAAGTCCTGAAAGAAAATCCTGAAAGAAAATCATAAAAGTAAATCCTAATGAAAATCCAGAAAGAAAATCATAAAAAAATCATAAAAAAAATCCTGAAAGAAAATTCCAGAAGAAAATCATTATGTAAATCCTAATTAAAATCAAGAAAGAAAATCCTGAAAGAAAATCAAGAAAGAATGTCATAAAAAAATCCTGAAAAGAAATCCTGAATATCCAAAAAGAAAATCAGGAAGAAAATCCTGGAAGGAAATCATGAAACAAAATCCTGAAAGAAAATCATACAGAAAATCCTGAAAGGAAATCCTGGAAGAAAATGCTGAAAGAAAATCTTGAGGAAAATGCTGAAAGAAAATCCTGAAGAGAATCCTGAAAGTATATCCTAAAATGAAATCCTGAAAGAAAATCCTGAATGGAAATACTGATAGAAAATCCAGGAAGAAAATCCTGATAGAAAATTCTGAAAGAGAAAATCCAGAAAGAAAATCCTGAAGATAATCCTGAAAGTATATCCTAAAAGAAAATCCTGAAAGAAAAATCATGAAGAAAATCTTAAAAGAAAATGCTGAAGAGAATCATAAAAGAAACACCTGAAAGAAAATTCTGAAAGAAAATCCTGAAGAGAATCCTGAAAGAAAATCTAGGAAGAAAGCCCTGAAAGAAAATCCTGAAGAGAATCCTCAAAGAGAATCCTGAAGCACAATTGTGAAGATATTTTGTAGCTTATCTGAAGCACTCTAGAGCCTGCTTACTGAAAGTAATCAGTACTGGTGTTATATGAGGAAACATGGTTGTGACTAGTTCTGTAACTTCTGTACGTGCCAGAGCAGAGATATAGTTTGATTACCGTAGAAAGGTTTTCATAATCAATCACAACGAAAGTTATCTGCAAGTTTAGGAATCAGAGCCTGTGTCGATGGATTCATAGTCCAACACTCTACATATTAAGCTAACCAGACAATTAAAAAGTTTCAAGGTAATAAGGGGGAACCATTCTTACATTTAAGGCCGCTGTGACCTTGAACTTTGAAAGTGACCTCAAAATCAATAGGGGTCATCTACTATCTATGACCAATCAATATGTGAAAAATGAACACTGTTATAAATAGTTTTCAAGATAATGAGTGGAAACCATTCTGACATTTAAGGCCCATGTGACCTTGACCTTTGAACTATTGACCCACAATCTATAGGAGTCATCTTCTAGTTATGACCAATCAATATGTGAAATATGAAGACTTTGTGATAAACAGTTTTCAAGATAATAAGCGGAAACCATTCTGACATTTTAGGTACCTGTGACCTTGACCTTTGACCTAGTTACCTCAAAATCAATAGGGGTCATCTTCTACTTATGACCAATCAATATAGTTTTTAAGATGATCAGCGGAAACCATGTGGTCTACTGAGGGACAGACTGATCAACTGACATTAGCAAAACAATATACCCCATCTTTTTAGAAGGGGGCATAATAAACAAATTGAGCTACCAAAGTTATAAACAAGAACTGTCGGAGGACAGTAAGGCTTTTGAAAAAGTTGTCACAAGGGTATTTTATTGAGTATAATAATGCTTACCTATGAATATACAAAATTGACCGAAAAGGTACAAAGGCTTGTTATTAAGATGTTTTATCAGGTAAATCACTTCTTTATTATTATGAATGCATAAAATTTTCCCAAAAAAGGCACAAACCCTTCAGTAGTTATAGAGATAACAGCTTACAAGCAAAACTTTACCATGAATTTCTAAGTTGAAAAAGGGGAGAAAAATCAGCCTAAATGCAAGATAGAATTATGGATCTTGGTCAGTGACCTACAATTATGACCCTAAATGCATATGTGAAGTTTCAAATGAATACCTTTAATAGTTATAGAGATCTGTAAAACTTGCATGTAAACATTAATTACGAGACCAAGTAAAAAAGGGGGAGATAAAACAGCCTTAAAATACGTGACACAGATATGAGTGCTGTTCAAAGATCATTATCTATGACCACAAATATACATATGAAGTTTCAGAGATATGCAAAACTAAACCAAGAAAAGGAGATTTTTTTTAGTACATAAGGGAGCATAATTCTTTCAAAATACATGGCAGAGTAATGAATCTTGAGATGTGATCTTCAATTATGACCCTAAGTACATGTGTAAAGTTTCAAGTAAATATCTTTGAAGACCTTTAACCAAAATTTCTAAGTTTCAAAGGGGCAAATAATTCTGCACATATTGCAGGCAGAGTTATGCAACTTTGCAAACTGATGTACATTGTTACTATAAAAAGGTATTGTAAGTTTCAATTGAATATCTCAAGCAATAATTGAGATATTTGACTTTTCAAAAAACTTTAAGCAAAATTTCTAAGTTAACAAGAGGGCCATGATGGCCCTGAGGTCGCTCACCTGTATATAGGCCCCCGGAGCGAGGCCAGTTTAAACCCAAGGGCTTTTATTTGAAAAAAATTGGAAGACACCCATTAGATGTTAAGTTTTTACTATACCTATATAATGAAAAACAATGACCTCCTCCCCCCCCCCTGGCAGGGCTAATTTTAACCCAAGGGCTTTTATTTGAACAAACTTGGTAGACACCTATAAGAAGATGTTTTATGCTTAACATCTAAGCTCTAGCTCATTGGGTTTTTTAAAAGAAGATTTTTTAAGTTTTTAATATACACATATAGTTAAAAACAATGACACCCCTTGGGCGGGGTCAGTTTTGACTCCAGGGCTTTTATTTGAACAAACTTTGTAGACACTTAGTAGAAGATGTTTCATGCTTAATATCTTAACAGTAGCTATTTGGGTTTTTTCAAGAAGATTTTTTGCTATAAACATATAAGGAAAATCAATGACCCCCGGGCAGGGCCAATATTGACCCCAGGGCTTTTATTTGAACAAACTTGGTAGACACCAATTAGAACATGTTTCATGCTAAATATCTTAGCTCTAGCTCTTTGGGTTCTTTAAGAGAAGATTTTTTAAGTTTTTACTATATGCATATAGGGAAAATCAATGACCCCCTGGGGCAGGGCCAATTTTGACCCCAGGGCTTTTATTTGAACAAACTTGGTAGACACTCATGAGAAGATGTTTCATGCTAAATATCTTAGTTCTAGCTCTTTGGGTTCTTTAAAAGAAGATTTTTTAAGTTTTTACTATATGCATATAGGGAAAATCAATGACCTCCTGGGACGGGGCCAATTTTGACCCCAGGGCATTTATTTGAACAAACTTGGTAGACACTCACTAGAAGATGTTATATGCCAAATATCTAAGCTCTAGCTCTTTGGGTTTTTTAAAAGAAGATATTTAAAGTTTTTTTCTTTCGGTTGCCATGGCAACCAGAGTTCTGCATGGAATTAAATTCTTTGAACAATTTTTAAAGGTGACAACCAAAGGAACATTCCTGTGAAGTTTGGATGAAATTGGCTTGGTGGTTTATGAGGAGATGTCATTTAAAGTAAAAATTTACGGACGGACGGACGCCGGACGAAAAGCGATCACAAAAGCTCACCCTGTCACTTTGTGACAGGTGAGCTAAAAAGGGGCATAATTCTGTAAATATTGTAGGCAGAGTTATCCAACTTGTCAATCTGATGTACATTGTTACTATAAATAAGTATTGTAAGTTTCAATTGAATATCTCAAGCAATAATTGAGATATTTGACTTGACAAAAAACTTGAACCAACGCAGACGCCAACGCAGGAATTACTACAATAGCTCTCATATTCTTCGAATAATTGAGCTAAAAATAGTATAGAGCCTGGTCAGGTTGCACTGATGCGCAGGCTGGCTTGTCCCTCTACATGTGGCAAAGACTAATCACTTCCCGTTCCAACAAGATATATTTAGGATTAAAACATACTTGCATACTGCCTGTACATATTCTGAATCACTATTTCTCTGTGCATTTATGCTCCTTCCCATGGCTGTCTCTATAAATAGATAGAAAAACATGTTTCTTTTCAGAACAAATGGCAAAAACTTAAAAATAAAACATTTCATGCCTATCTTTAAGGAGAAAATTCACAGCCAAAAATTTTGTTTTCTGAATTTTAAACATGTACAATGGTCTATGATACATGCAGCTGCCTTGGATGCATAACAGGGAAAATTGTTATCAGAATACACAAAACATTTAAAAGATGGATACCATGAGCCGAGCCTGTTGAATCAATATGGAGAAGGTAAGGTGAAGAGACAGACTCATGAACAGACAGACAGACAGGGATAAGAACAATATTTCTGGCATATAAAACAAAAATTTCAAGTGTTTGCACGGGTGCTGGAAATGTCATTTTAAACCCTGTGGGTATAAAATAATCATGTGATTTGATCAGTGCTTCCGAGGGATCTCTTTGTTTCCAGATTTTTATACTTAACAACAGCAGGTGTGGCAGCTGTAAAAAGTTGCCCCATACTTCACTTCAGTGTTATTTTATTTTTCTGGTAATTTTGGATCATTGATGTCTGCACTATTAAGTGTTGAGAATTGAGAACCCTCATGTACAGACTCAAACTGAGTCTGTAATTTTCATGTAATTTTGTTGTGATCAATCCTCCAAGGGATCACTTTGTTTCCAGATTTGAATAATGTTATTTGTCTGCTGTTGTGAAAATTTGTTGTTTATACATACAAATTACAAAAAATTTTCAGTAAAAACAATAATTTTTTATCATTTCATTTGTAACTACATGTATAAAAATATATCTATGAAGAAAATAAACATGCTCAAGAAATAGAGTCAAACATTGGTTTCCATGCAAACAGGAATAATTGACTTTAGGAGTAACGGTTCAAAGTGGTAACAAGACTGTACGCACAACCAGAGAAAGATATCTTACAGAAGTACGGTAAGTTTTCGGTAAAATGAAATAAATTAAAAGCAATAGCGGGAAAAACAACAAAGCTGCATTTATAATGAACCAAATAAACAGCTTACCACTGACCACGTACCACAGATTATATCTAGAGCACACAACGTGATGTCATCAAACACGTTATAAACAGTTTTACCATCTGCATGAGCGGTCATCTTCTCCAAGAGTACCTTTGCCTGTTCATTAAACACGCCGACAAAATTGTGTAAAATTTTAAAGTGAAAAGATGGTGTTAGAAGTTTTCTTCTGCTTTTCCATTTTTCCCCTGTGCTGTAAAAGAAATAAGAACAAATTTTCTACTTTCCTAAAATAACAAATCCCTTTTTTTAAATAAATAATACAGAAAATAAAACATGTCAAAATGCAGAGAAATTTTAAAGTTGGGCTACTTAAATCAGGTGGACATTAGTGGTGTATCACAAAAGTCTGAAAGGCAATTTTTAATGTTTAGTTTGTGTCTGGATCTCTCTAAAAAATGGAAAGGTATCAACAGAATGTATGGCTGTCCTTTTATCAACACAGACTCAGTGATTCCTTTTTCAATTTTCAAAACATTGAGACCTGTGGCTGAATCAGAAAAAAGCAGGAAACCTGAAATCAAATTCCAATAACTTAGAATGGAATTTAAACACACATTTTATAAATTTTCCATCTTGATTCAATTTAATATGCATGTTGCATACCATAGGCTTTATATAGGGACAGCTTTCAGTCAATTAAATTTATCAACTTGCTGATATGAGTCAGCTGCTGTTGAGTCATGGTTCTGGTGAAGAATGTGCATAGGGCATTCCTGGGGAAAATATAGGGGAAAGTACATCTATTTTGGGCTAGGGCAAACAGTCTTTATTCAGCTGTAAATCACATGCAAAAAAAAATCACCGAGACTGTAATTCAACAAAATGGCTTCTCATTGACAATAAATAGTGTTTTAGTAAGGTAATCTGAGAAATAAGTAATTTTGTAAATCAGAAAGTAAAAACTTCCTTTTTTTGTAGTTTTCCTACAAGATAATTTTTTTCATTCAAAATGTAATTTTCATAATTTTTAGAAAATCCTTTCTAGTGGCTACTGATACACAGCATCTGACATCTTGAAACCCATCATCCAAATAGCAAACAATTGTAAACAGCCAAATGATCAATTTCAAAGCACTGACTAAAGAAGTCATGCCAAAGATACCTTCAAACATCCACAAAGGATATATCAACATGAAAGTTCAGAGTTTCAGATATTATAAAAGGAGATTTCAGTTTGAGTTCAGAAATATTCTTTATAACTTTGGAGCCTGAAAGTATGATTTTTATCCAAGACTGGTTGGAACTCATGACCTTTGTGTTAATGTGAGGCAAACAACTTTACCACTAGGCCATCTCTCTCTAACCCTTTAATAAGCTAGCCAGAAACCTTCCGAAAATGAAAGAATTTCATGCAAACTTCTGGATTTAAACCAAAGAGACTGAAGGGCAGAATACTCACCTTGTTAATAGCCCTGTACCTAACCATGGTTGAATGAATCTGTAATCTGAGGATTTATCTAGGTGACTTGAACTATTTAATAAAGGCTGGAAATACAACAAGGCATTTGACATCATAAGACAATGACTTTTATGTATCAAAAGTTGTCACCTTTACATATGTTAATTATATGTGGCATCTTTAAAAAATCCACATAATTCATTTTTTTTAAAATCTGCTTACTGAAAGAAGCGACTAGCAAAATGTATACAAACACACTGACGATCACTTTTGTTTTTAAAGTGAATTGGTCTATTATAAACGTAAGGTGACTGTAATAATCTTTACTGCAAAATATAAATTTATAGTGCATTTGCACTAAATGGTGAAAATATATTTTGTGCACAAATTTATGGTTATTGCAAAATATTATGATTTAACTTAGAAAGTAACAATTATACATGTATAGTTACCTCAGCCACCTCAGGACTACAAACAAATATCATAGGGTGCCATCCTATCAGTAGACGGAACACTTGTAAGTGTGAAAAGTCATCAAACAACTGTAACAATTGCTTGGTAAATTCTGAAAAATTAATTTATTTAAATAAAACTTGTATTGTGTGATCAAAAATCACTTAATTACTGATATGTACAGGTTAATGTGGTACAATTTCTGTACTTTGCATTTTAGATGCTACTGTATTTTGCATTTTAGATGCTGCAGGAAATAGCAAGGTATAAATCTTTTAAAATATATAATTGTGTCTGATAGTTCAAAAATGTTCACAAATACGGGCAAAAGATGTGTAAGTGGCCTAATAGCTTAGTGTCATGGAATGGTTTTTCAAGGGTCCCGGGTTAGAATCTGAATCAAACTGCATTTTTTTCTCACCCTGTGAAATTCACAACCCAATGGGGGGGACTGTAAGGGTACATAATTACAGAGTTCTGTGAGCCTGTTTAAAACTCAAGGATGAATTTCAACATAGTGGGAGAGTGTGTTGTGGTTTTGTTGATAGAGTAGTAGAGCAGTATTCTGAGGGTCCCAAGTTCAAGTCCTGGTCAGGCTGCATTGTTTTCCTTGTAACCCTGTAACATCCATTTCTATAAACTTTTGTATGCAGCATCTTGATATAATGCATAATTATGTTTATAAATCTTTGATGAATCAGGGTAAGCTTTGTGAGACCCACAAGCCATCCCAGCACTTAGTCTAGGCTTATAATACTAATTAACTTGGCACAGGTCCACTGTACATGTATCTAAGCAAATGTCTTTTCTTTTTCTATTTTTATTAAGCATTTGTGATTTAATAATACCCATAACAGGTATGTAGATCCAAAAACTTTCAACTGTTGCGGGGTAGCTTACATTTGAAACAACCAAACTAGCCCCTTCTTATAGTGGGAGGTACCTTCCCCAGAAAAAATGAAACCTACATTTTAAATGGTGGCTTAATTATCTTTCTTTGGATACTAAATGATGGCTTCTAATCATGTTTGGGTGCACATTTTCACCGTAGGGAACGTGTTACAGTATCGCCTTTTTCGGTTACAGTATAGAATTTTCAAGATGGAGGATTATTTATGGGAAGAGAGGTAGGTGATTTTTATTCAGGTCCATACAACTAGTAGTGTAGTTCTAAAAGATGTTTTTGTGCTTTGCTTGTTAGGAACAGAATCCGGTATCTAGTAATATATTTCTTCAGACCCTGCACCGCAGATTTATCTCTATATTGTCACATAAATGTGCAGATTTGACAGTTTAAAAATTTGAACCGAGAGACCAACGCATTTTTCTCCCATTCCGACATTATTTAAGCATGCCTAGATAAAGTAAGTCTACAAAACGTTAGTCATTTATGTTTAGAAACGTTTGTAAAAGTAAATGACCAGTTGAACCTATTTTCCTGTTGGTAAAATGCGTTTGAAAAAATAAACAATGTTACAGTATAGAGCGAGGTTAATTTTGAAGGGTTACAGCATAGACCTAGCGACTTTGATCCAATTTTGTTACAGTTTATACCCAGATTTCTGTTACAGTTTAGATACTTGCCAAATTTCAAACAAAGTTCGTGTATCCATTATTTTTATGAAATAACCCATACGTTTCTATTTAATACATTCTTGAAAGGTTGTATTACTTTTTTTCTTCAGCAGAAAAGTTATAGTTTGCTATTTTTCTTACTTTAAGTTTCAGATTGAGACTTTTTGCAGAATAAGTTATGTCCTAAGTAAGGACTGTTTTCACGACAAAAACAGTAATTTTTATCGAATTGTAATGAGAGAAGAAAGATTATTGCTTGATTTCATTACACATTATAATAATGCCTATTAGTAATAAAATAGAGAAAAAAGAATCCTAAACAGAAGTCCAACACGGAAAACATGAAAATGTTGCAGGCTCAGTTTGACTAAACCTGTTCATGGACGGTAGTGGTAACTGCAAGCTACCGTTCACGCCTCCTAGCACCGATCAGCAGAATTCACATTAAACATGAACTGGTACACTTCAGATTTTTTAACATCTTTGGATGTGTTCATATGGCGGTTATCATGGAACCTTCAATGTGACACGTTATTGCCATTCTATGAAACGCGGCATATTACCCCCCAGGTTAAGAATTGCGTGTGGCCTAAACGAGAATACAATGAGTGAAACTAAACAAAATGAAATTTTGAGAGGGTATCGGAGGTTATGAAGCCTGCATACCATAGATAAGCTGTAAAAAGACACAATTAACAAGCAGGCAATACCCTAAGAGTAATTAAACAGTATTTAACTGAGCAATACTGCAACCTTAAATTCTATTTTAAGTTGGAATTTCCATCTATCATAATGTATTTTGTAAGTATTTAAAAGGGTTTAAATGAACATTTTCAATTTTGTTGTGTTGGAATTTCTTTAGGGATTCTGTTTAACTCTATTTTGTTACGTTTGGCTTTCTTGGATTTTAAGTTTCAACGACACTGAGGTTATGTAAAAATATTCCTGCTTTAGTGTAAAGAAAGACCCCAGATACCCTTTGTGAAACATTTCAGACACGAGCGCCTGACTAGAACCACCGACCTTCCGTAAATTAGCTTGATAGATTCCTCACATACAAAGAATCCAAAGTCATGATTGGATTTCAACTACGGCAGTAAATGAAAGATGATTTGATATGGAACGCCGTGATTGTCTTACGTGATCATTGTTTTTGCTATCATGTGAAACGATGATATTATTTTGTCGTTTGAGCATGTTAACATGTGCAATTCACATCATGTCTTGTCAAAGAATCATGCTGACTTGTTCAAACAGCATGTTACCTTGTCAAATTATCATGATGACATGTGCAAAAAAGATGTTAATTTGTCAAAGTATCGTGATGACTTGTGCAAACAATATGTTAACTTTTCAAAGTATCATGATGATTTTGTGAAAACGACATGTTAACTTGTCGAAATTTCATGATGACTTGTGCAGACAACATGTTAACTTGTAAAATAATCCTGATGACTTGTGCAGACAACATGCTAACTTGTCAAAGTATCGTGATGACTTGTGCAAACAACATGTTAATTTGTCAAAGTATCGTGATGACTTGTGCTTATGACATGTTAACTTGTCGAAATTTCATGATTACTTGTGCAGACAACATGTTAACTTGTCAAATAATCGTGATGACATGTGAAAACAGCATGTTAACTTGTCGAATTATCATGATGACATGTGCAAACAACATGTAAACTTGTCAAAGTATCATGGTGACTTGTGAAAACGACATGTTAACTTGTCCAAATTTCATGATGACTTGTGCAGATAACATGTTAACTTGTCGAATTATCGTGATGACATATGCAAACAGCATGGTTACTTGTCAAAGTATCATTATGACTTGTGCAGACACTATGTTAACTTGTTAAAATGTCCTGATGACTTGTGCAGACAACATGCTAACTTGTCAAAGTATCGTGATGACTTGTGCAAAACACATGTTAACTTCTCAAAGTATCATGAGCATGTCATCACGATAATTTGACAAGTTAACATGCTGTTTGCACATGTCATCATGAAATTTTGACAAGTTAACATTTCGTTTGCACAAGTCATCATGATACTTCGACAAGTTAACATGTTGTTTGCACAAGTCATCATGGTACTTTGACAAGTTAACATGTTGTCTGCACATGTCATCATGATTATTTGACAAATTAACATGCTGTTTGAACAAGTCAGCGTGGTATTTTGAAAAGATATGATGTAAATTGCACATGTTAACATGCTTAAACGACAAAATAGTATCATCATTTCACAAAATAGCAAAAACATTGATCACATAAGACAGTCGCGGCGTTCCATAATTTGAAGTCGACGGCCTTATCCCGACTCTGCCACTAGTATGTACCTCCATCAGGCTCACTAGAGAAGATATTGTAATTGTCTGACCTTAATTTATACTCTATAACTTTCAATATTATTTTCTTTTTCACAAACATGAAATCTGCTATACAGGATGTCTGAAATAAAAAAACGACTTTTAATTTAATAATGACAAAATAATCGAACTTCAACAAAGAAGCATTCGAAATGACGCCATGATCATGATTTGATTTGAATGCTTTTGGTTCGAGATGAGAAGGGTCTTTAATTAAACATTGCCTTTTATCAAAATCTATGTTTTGGGTTTTCGTATCCCCAATGGCAACCGAAACCATTTGAACAACTTAATTGGTAGAAAGTCATGTAAATTTCATCACATTTAGTCAAGAAGTTACTGAGCGGATGAGATTGCACACACATGTGTACCACAGACGGACGAATAGCCATCGGGCCAATTAGCTCACAGAGATTAAAAGTCTATGTAAGATTCATACATTTTACCCAGTATAATTACATAGAAAATATCGAAGTCTAAACTGTAACCGAAATCTGGGTACAAACTGTAACAAAATCGGATACAAATCGCTAGGTCTATGCTGTAACCCTGCACAAATTACGTCGCTCTATACTGTAACATTGTTTATTTTTTCAAACGCATTTTACCAACAGGAAAATAGGTTCAACTGGTCATTTACTTTTATAAACGTTTCCTAACATAAAGGACTAACGTTTTGCAGATTTTACAATACATGTATATGTTTCTACATTTCCCTGAAAATTTCAGACATGCAACAGTGTTGATAATACCACGCAATCATTTGATAGAACTTTCAAAGAAAAAAATCTTTGAAAAAGTGGCTTACAAAGATTTGGAAGTTAGAACTACATTTATGTAATATAAATCCCTGCTGTACATGTATGGTGTATAACCAGGCAGGGGAAACTGGGCCCTTACAGATTTTACACAAGAAATATTTGTACATAATTATAACATTGTCACAAAGTTATTGACAAATGCAGATAGTAACTAGATCTATGTCCAATAAGAGACTGAGTTAGTTATTTAATAATTTATTGAGTTATCGACCTCAATCAGACCTTTTGGATTTCTTTTCAGCTGGTGCACATTTCCTATTATAGGCAGTGATTTTGGTCCTCCAAGTCTGTCTATATTTCTTCTAAGTCTCTCAAGTTTGAGCAGCAAAATTGAAAATAAACTTATAAAAATGCCTGTCAAAATTATTGAAACGGCAACCATTTTGATAAATCATGTGACCGATCACGTGACAATATTTAAATGGCGGGAATTTTTAATATGTTTAGAAAGCGTACACACGTGTACGGGTTTAAACTTTATTTTGAAATAGGGAAAAACAGCGTTATTTATTTTAGATTTGATCTAGTTTAATAAAATAATATTTATATTATTCACGTTTGCAAGAATCTACACTCGCAATATTCCACTTTCAATAGTAGAAACTGATGATCTCTGTAATTCTTTTAAAAAGCGCGCACTGCAAATTAATTAATTAAGGTTTTGAGTTGAGTTATTAAGGATGGACCTACTTTGTAAATCAATTTGAGTGCGGTGAAATTAAAGTTATCTTTAATCTAATGCATGCTAAATCTACATAGATCTCATATTATACTCAAACAGAGACATAGACATGTCTCTGACTCAAAGTAGATCTAGATTTTTTTTTATATCTGAATATTTTGAAATATCTGTAAAATATTTTGGGAGGTCTTCCATGAATTTACTTAAGATATCTGAAATTGTATTTCAGCACTCTAGAATTTTAATTCAATAGCTTTATAATTTAATTAATTTGTAGCGCACTTAAAAAAATATAGAGGTTTCCTATTTTTATCAGTTAGAGACCTCTTCAGTATATTTAAAGAGCCTTTAAAACAACTGAAATATACCTTATTAATAATTGATATATTCAGCTAAATTGGAGAGGTCTTCAATTTATTTATCGTGCACTTTAAATGATTTTTTTAATATAATTGAATTAGAGACCTCTTCAAATATTTGAGTATAATTTATGCAAATTTGACGTTCCATAAGAGGGACATACAGCTCGTTCTTAAATTTTAAATAGGAAAAATTGTGTACTTAATTTTCGGTATATATATATGACGTACCTTGCTGAACATTCAAAGATCGAGGCACGGATTAGTTAATTATTATTTAAACTAAGTCCGTGCTGGGACATTTATCATTGTATTTTAATCTGCCCCAGGTGTTTGTTAGAGGCTACATGTATTTTGAGGTGAAGACATATTGATCGAGAAAAATTATTAAGATCTAAACGTTTCAGTTTAAACATATTTTATTGCAGCACATGTATACATGCTAAGGGTGTGGAGGTCCAAATGCATTATTTAAAAATCCAAACAAATTTTGTATCAATCCCTACACATATGCCTATCATGATACAAATAAAACCTAATAAACGTTGTTTTGAAAATAAAATCATATTTCAATGTCCATCTGAGACACATAATATAGTAGACCTACGTATACCAAATAGCGGTACAAGCCGACAACGATTTGTGTCAGTATTCGCATGAATATTAGTTTCTTCCAAGCGCTTGTTCGACACAGACCAAGGACATTTCACGGAAGACGCCGGTAAGTTTCAAGTTTGGTTAAATTACTATCAAGTATTGAGTATTGATATTCTTTCTTACTTAGAAATTAAGCAATATTAAATACAATGAGTTCGTAGTTATGACGTTTAAAATGAAAATGCTCTTTAAATCGCTTAAATTTGCATATTTTCGGGAGTGACCTTGACTTATTGAGATTTTTTTTGTCGATTGTGCTTCCTGTAACCTTGACATTGAATGATATTTCCTTGTACAACGGCCTTGTCAGGTCATTTCAAGAAATCCTGTCATTTTCTTTCTGCAAGGTTCCTAGTGATAACAAGAAAAATGCCTATCAAATCAGTGAAAGCTCGTCAGATCTTCGACAGTAGAGGTAACCCAACAGTTGAAGTTGATGTTACTACAGAAAAAGGTAATTTATTTTAATTTATCTTTTTAATTGATTTGAGCAAGAAGATCTAGTAGTGTAATGGATATTTTTGCAATTTAATTCAGTTGAGCATGTATGAATCGTGAAGTGCCTTTACCCTGACAACATGAGGGTTGAAGTGTCTTGTTTCCTGAAACATTGACATTGTTCTGCAACACTCCAGCCCTTAAAAATCAGAGAATATAATCAGTTTAGTAAAATGGCAGCAAAAGGACAAAAATATATCTCTCTTATGTTATATGAACAAATGAATATTCTATCTATATATCTTCCATTAATGTCAATTTATATATCTTCGGTTCCTTTAATGTCAACCCCCTTGCGTGACATTGACATGTCTGCGTATCAAAATCACAAAAAAGTTAAAAGAGTTGTTTTAAATGAGAATAAAAGGATATTTTTGTCCTTTTGCTGCAATTTTACTAAACTGTTAATATTCTCTGATTTTTAAGGACTGGCATGTTGCAGAACAATGGATACCATTTTTTTTGCATATAACTGCGGAAAATGTTTTATATTAAGCCTGTAAGACTTACTGTTAAGCAAAGTTGTTTACAAATTGTTCCTGGGTATGTAAGGGGAGCTACTCCTGGCGTCCCAACAAGTTTAACATGCGACTCTTAAAATTCTGCTGTCAATATTTTAGATCCGTATATTAAGAAAAAGCGACGTATTTTAAACTTGTGTTGCAAGAGTTGCTCCCCTTTTCTACTCACTGGAAAGAAAACTGTCAAACAAAAGTAAATCTTACAGAGGTAAGTGATGTATTGAAATATGCATTGGATTCGTTTTTTCTTCATTTGTGAAGAAATAAAATTCCCCCTCCTTTTGCATTTTTCCCCCTCCAAACGGCACCGACCCCCTCCCCCAAAAAGTGGAAAAAAACGCTGCTGTACGTCTGTCCGTACGTCCCGAAATCTTGTGAACGCAACTCCTCTTAAACCGGATGGCAGATTTTGCTTAAACTTCCAGGGATGAACAACCTTAATGTGTAGATGGTAGTTAAGGAAGGAATTTTTGCTGCGACCAAATTTAACAGAATTATGGCACTTTGTTGATTTTTACACTATATACTATGTAGAAATTTTGTGAACGCAACTCCTCTTAAACCGGTTGGCAGATTTTGCTTAAACTTCCAGGGATGAACAACCTTAATGTGTAGATAGTAGTAAAGGAAGGAATTTTTGCTGCGACCAAATTTAACAGAATTGTGGCCCTTTGTTGATTTTTAGTTTTCAACTTGCGGCACATGTAGTCCAAAAAATATTTGACCTAGAGTCATAAGATTGACAGAACAGTGGCGTGTGGCGGCATCCGTGTCCTATGGACACATTTCTAGTTATCCCCCGCCGATGAAATCGGGAGGGGGATATAGTTTTGGCGTTGTCCGTCCGTACTTCCGTCCGTCCGTCCGACTGTCCGAATTTCGTTTCCGGAGTAGTTCTCTGCAACTAATGGCTGGAATTCAACGAAACTTTATGGGAATGTTGATAAGCATGTGAAGTTGTGCACCTGGGTATTTTCGTCTGGATATTTTTAGTATTTTTAGAGTTATTGCCCTTGACTTAGTAAAATTTTTATTTTCGTTTCCGGAGTAGTTCTCTGCAACTAATGGCTGGAATTCAACGAAACTTTATGGGAATGTTGATCAGCATGTGAAGTTGTGCACCTGGGTATTTTCGTCTGGATATTATAAGTATTTTTAGAGTTATTGCCCTTGACTTAGTAAAATTTTGCAATTTTCAACTTGTGTCGCATGTAACTCAAAAAGTATTTGACCTAGAGTCATGAAACTTTACAGGAATGTTGATCAGCATGTGTAGTTGTGCACCTGGGTATTTTCGTCTGGATATTATAAGTATTTTTAGAGTTATTGCCCTTGACTTAGTAAAATTTTGCAATTTTCAACTTGTGTCGCACGTAACTCAAAAAGGATTTGACCTAGAGTCATGAAACTTTACAGGAATGTTGATCAGCATGTGTAGTTGTGCACCTGGGTATTTTCGTCTGGATTTATTTAGTATTTTTAGAGTTATTGCCCTTGACTTAGAAAATGTTTGCAATTTTCAACATGTGTCGCATGTGACTCAAAAAGGATTTGACATAGAGTCATTAAACCTTATTGGAAAGTTGCTCAGCATATTTAGTGTGTTCCTGGGGTTTCGCTTGTGGATTTATCCAGTATTTGTAGAGTTATTTCCCTTGACTTAGTAAAAACTGTTTCATTATGTTGTTATTTGATCCTTGAGTGTTAGAATCGACCAACTTTACAGGAATAATGATCAACATCACTAAATTACAGGAATAATGATTCACCTCACTGTGAAGCTATGAACCTGGGACTTTGCATGTGGATTTTTTTCAGTTTTGTTAGAGTTATTGCCCTTGAATTACAGTAGTATAAATTTGCAATTTTCAACTTGGGGTTTGCTTGGGGATTTATTCAGTATTTGTAAAGTTCTTGCCCTTTACTTAGTAAAAAGATTTTTAGTTTTCAAAAATGCAAAATTAAAAAATCTTGTCTGAAAGTACAAGGCCTAGAGCTTTGATATTTGGTATATGATATAACCTATAGGTCCTCTACCAAAATTGTTCAAATTTTAGCCCTGGGGTCAAAATTGGCCCCACTCCAGGGGGTCATAGATTTTCCTTATATGTATATAGTGAAAACTTAAAATTTCTTCTTGTTTGAAAGTACAAGGCTTCAAGTTCAAAGAATATTACAGTTTATGCCATGATTAATATATAAATAAAGCCTTATGTCTTCATTTGTTGTGTTAATAATAACCAGTACTCGGCGGGGGATATAAATTCAACGAATTTGCTTGTTTTTACTTATTCTGACAAGATATCCACAATAAATTTATACCATTAATCAATATTAAATGTAAATTAAAATGACCCTACAGTTAATTTTCATAACTTTACAAACACATTGTTTATGTTGAAAATGTTCTTTGTGAATACATTTTGATATTCAACAAGGCCAAAAAGATTATTCAATGCTAAAATTCCCATATTGTAAAATGCTATGATATAAAATTCGCTATAGAAAACATACATTAAGTTTTCAAGTTGTATCAGTAAATTCAGTATGACTTATCATGGTCATTGTAACAAATGGTTTATTTGAAGATATACATACATGTACTTGGATTTATCAATTTTGTGCACCATAATCCTAATATCATAAGAGGGAATTTTATTTGGCTTATTTTATAGCCGATGTTCGGTCATATTCCCAATTGTAAATAGTATATTATTTTCCCA